CATCCAGAGAGGGATTCTGCTCCTGTAGCACACACCTGAGGAGCAGGGTGGGGATGGGGAGAGGGCTGGAGCTCAGAGTGGGGGAAAGCCCAGTGCTCCCCTTGGGGCATCACTGTCCCATGGAGCAGCTCAGACTGGGGGAAAGCCCAACTGCTCCCCTTGGGGCATCACTGTCCCATGGAGCAGCTCAGAGTGGGGAAAGCCCAACTGCTCCCCTTGGGGCATCACTGTCCCATGGAGGAACAAACAGGGGATACATCCCATGAATGCTCCATGGCCCTCTTCAACCATCAGGAGTTGCCCACATCAAGCAGCAGCCTCAGGGCTCTGTGACAGTCCTGGGGTGGGTGAGCTGGTGAAAACCCAGCAGCAGCCTGGGGTCCTGGGCTGTCCATGCTGTGTCTGGAGCTGTCTATGGGCAAGGGGCCACCCTCAGTGGGGCAGGGACTGCTGCACAGGAGGGGACAGAGCACCCGTGGGGCAGGGCCTGATGTCCCAGATTGCTGCACAGGAGGGCACAGGGCACCCGTGGGGCAGGGCCCTGCCTGTGCCGCTGCAGGAGCTGGATTTGCCGCAGGATTTGCCCTGGGGGTGCCAAAGGTGACACCGAGGGCAGGTGACAGGCAGCCGGCCGGGGTGGGAGCTCTGCCCTGTGGGATGTCCCGGTTCTCCGGAGAGGGTGAGCCCGGAGCAGCTGCAGGTGCTGGGCAGGGACGTGCAGCAGCCCAGGGGCAGCCCGGGGACAGCGATGGGACAGCCGGGGGGCACAGGGAAAGCAGTGGGACAACCGGGGACAGCGGGGCAAGCGGGACATCGCGGGGAAGGGGTCAGGAGGGAGGCGGAGGGGCTCGGGCGCTGCCGGGACTCGCCGGGGCTGCCCCGTCCTCACCCCGGTCCTGCCCGGTCCCCGCGGGACGCGGTGGCGGCGGCGGAGTCGCGGTGCCACCTAGGGCCGGAGCCGGGCCATGGCAGCGCCGGGACTGCGGGATGGGATGGGGAATGGGGCGTGGGATATGGGATATGGGAGATGGGATAGGGGATATGGGATATGGAATATGGGGAATGGGGTGTGGGATATGGGATATGGGAGATGGTGAATGGGATATGGAGAATGGGGTATGGGATGTGGGATATGGGATATGGGATGTGGGATATGGGATATGGGATATGGGAATGGGATATGGGATATGGGATATGGGATATGGGATATGGAATATGGGATATGGGATGTGGGATATGGAATATGGGATATGGGATATGGGATATGGGATATGGGATGGGGAATGGGGTGTGGGAATGGGGTATGGCATATGGGAATGGGATATAGGATATGGGATGTGGGAATGGGATATGGGATATGGGATATGGGTTATGGGATATGGGGAATGGGGTATGGGGAATGGGATGGGGAATGGGGTGTGGGATATGGGATATGGGAATGGGATATGGGGAATGGGATATGGGATATAGGAATGGGATATGGGATATGGGATGTGGGAATGGGATGGGGAATGGGGTGTGGGAATGGGCTGGGGAATGGACTGTACTGTTCCTCCTTGAACAAAGAGGAATTGATTTAATTTTTACTTTGCCAGGCAATATTGAAAATAATCCCAAGGCACTGCAGCTGGGTGTGGGGTGTTTACCTTTCTTTTATTGAAAGAGCAGAAGGGAATATCCTGGACTGGGAGGACTGGGAGAGGGGGATTGGGCTCTGCAGGGACCAGCCTGATCCTGCATCTGCTCCTCCAGGGGCTGGGGCAGATTGCAGATAAGAAAAATAAACTCTTGTTTAATGAAGCTCCCTTGGTTACACCTTGCTGTTGGCTCGTTGAAATCATTCTACATTCAAGTATTTCTGAGGCCGAATGAATTTTTTCTCTTATTTAGTTGCCAATATCTTTGCATATTTATTTTTGGGGGTTTTATTTTGAAGGTTTTTTCCTGGCTAAGGCAGTGCCTGTCATGTCATGAATTGTTGCTGAGGAACGAGACCTTTTCAGCAAAATGCCACTAATCTGAGGGATGAGCCACCTGAAAGCTCACCTCTTAAAGTAATCCTCCCCACAATCTCCATTCAAATCCTTTATGGCAAAAGAAGCATTGGCAAATTGCTTTCTCCTCATGGACTCCCTGTCTGTTCCCCATCCCTCGATGCCACTGGTAACTCAGTTATCCCTCAGGAAGCACAGGTCTGCAGGGTAAATCTGATAATATAGGGATAAAATGTTTCTAAAATCATAGGATATACAGGGAGGGTTGGAAAGAAAGGTTGGGCCTGGTAGGCCCTGGGAAAATTTTAGGCTTTACTGGATCATGCGAAACTGCACCTGTAAAATCATTTAATGACTATGATAAATGATATGATTGTTAAATGATAAATGATATGATTGCTAAATGTGATAATTGTTTGGTAATTGGACAGAATTATTGTTTAATTGTAACAAGAATAATGAGAAACGATGTTTGGGGGGGTTTGATGGAAATGACAAAATTCGTGTTCGGATGAAATCAATGGATACAATAGAACAATATAAGTTTAATAATGAATATGTAGTTATATAATGATAAGGGTATAAAAACGTGTTCATCCTGAAGCCATGTGGGAGTCAGATTTGGGTCTGTACCCCTGGCACCCAGAGCTCTTCAGTAACAGCTCCTGCATATCCTCATTCCATGTTCTGTGTTTCTGAACAAATGCACCCCTGGGGCTGTGCAGAGCCAGGCTCAGCAGGATTTAACGTGGATCCTCTGAGCTTTTGGAGCTCTAAGCTGCAATGCTGAGAAAGAGGGGACCCTTTGTGAGACCCTCCTGCTGTCCCATCCTATATTCAAAAACCTTTCTGCTAAGCACACGTATCTGTGAGATTTTCTTGTCAAACTTTCATCCTTCCCAACACCTTGTGCCTGGGGCCAGCATCTCGTGGTTATTGCTTTGCCCTCGAGATCTACTTCCCGCTAATTTTGCTTCTTATCTTGCCCAGACTGGTTACCTTTGTGAGCCACTGACACACCAAACTCTTCATATTGTCCTGTGCTGTCTTTAACCTGTGTGTAAACCTGCTCTTTTAATAAACCCCAGGCCCCAGGGGATGATGATAATCAGTGGAATACACAGCAGTGGAATACACAGCAAACAAAGGGAGGTATAGATTTCACCTTGGGGAAATCCCAAAGATAAGGATCCCCCTGGCTCTGTCAGTGGGGTCTGTGGGGATATTGCTTTTAAATCTCCCTTGTGGCATGGCTGATGCTATCACTGCAGCTGGATGTTGGTCCACAGGTCCTGAACAGGCTCCTGCAATGGGGGAGCCTGGTTGTGGTGCTGTTCTCAGGGGTCCCAGGACGAGGGAAGAGATGAGGATCTGACTCCATGTTTCAGAAGGCTGATTTATTATTTTAGGATATATATTATATTAAAAGAAAATTATATATTAATACTATACTAAAACAAATAGAAGAAAGGATTTCATCAGAAGGCTTGCAAGGAAAGGAATGGAATGATAATAAAATCTTGTGACTGACCAGAGAGTCTGAGCCAGCTGGGCTGTGATTGGCCATTAATTAGAAACAACCACAATCAAAGATGCACCTGTTGCATTCCACAGCAGCAGATAATCATTGTCTATATTTCGTTTCTGAGGCCTCTCAGCTTCTCAGGATAAAAGATCCTAACAAAAGGATTTTTCATAGAATGTGTCCGTGACAGCTGGTGTGAGAAATGGTTACTCACTTGTCATAATTTTAGAAAAGTTTATTAAACCTTATCAAAAATACAACAGGAGACTGAACAGAGAAAATACTACAGTGCTGGGGAGCAGAGAATTTTCCCCACTATGTGCTCAGCCACACAATGGAGGTTTTTCTCCTTTTTAACCCTTTAACCCCTCCCAAAGTTCTGTCCATTGGCTCCTTCTTCCCTGTCCAGCGGTGGAGATCATTCCTTAAATCCTGATTGGAGCTCAGGTGTTCCACAGTGACAATCTGACCCTCCCAAATGTCCCAACCCCGGCTGTCCCTTGGTGACAATGCAAGAGGCTAAAGCATAAGTATAAATCTATAAAACTTTTCTTAAGCTATATACTTGATATTTGTCTCAGTTCGTATCACATATATATTATAATACATGATTTTTGTCTATTGTCAATCATGGCATGACTCATCTATCATACTGGGGAATCCCAGTGAGTTAAAAAAAAAAATAAAATTAAATCTGCTTTTCTAAAAAAGTCCCTTTAAAAGTTCTCTCCCAAATTTGCCCTAAACCGAAACAAACACCCAGGGGTTCAGAGGGTTCTGAGAAGCTCAACCCCCCTGATGGAGGTCAGGGCTCCCAGGGCTGTGTCCCCCGAACTCCGGCAGGGACCGGACACAGAACGGGCCGGACCCGGTACAGAACCGAACAGACCGGACACAGAACCGGCAGTGACCGGACACTGAACCGGCAGTGACCGGACACTGAACCGGCCGAACTGGACACAGAACCGAACAGACCGGACACAGAACCGAACAGACCGGATACAGAACGGGCCGGACCGGGTACAGAACCGAACAGACCGGACACTGAACCAGCAATGACCGGACACAGAACCGAACAGACCGGACATTGAACCAGGAATGACCGGACACTGAACCGGCCGAACTGGACACAGAGCCGGCAGTGACCGGACAGAGAATCCCAGCAGTGACCGGACACAGAACTGAACAGACTGGACACGGAACCAGCCGGACCGGAATCCCCCGAACACCGACCGGCAGAGCCCAGTCACGTGTCAGCGGCCGGGCAGCACAGCGGCGTCTCAGGGGCGGGGCTGCACCCGCCGTTCTCACTCCCCATTGGCCCGCCTGCATGACGTAACGAAGGGGCGGTCCTTCCGCGGGCATTTCTCTCCTCTCATTGGCCGCGGCACGCTGGGCGGGGCGGGCACGCGGATGTGGGCGCTGGCGCGGCTGCTGCCGCCGGGCCGCGCGCTCGTGTGGCGGCGGGCGGGCCCCGGTGGCGCGGCCCGGGCCATGGCCGAGGGGCCCTCGGTGGCGGGCGGGCCCCGGCGGCGCCCCAAGGACGTGCCTCGGCACGTGTGGGCCCGCGAGCGGCGGCGGAGCGCGGGCGCCGGCCTGGCGGGGCCCAACACCGTGTACGTGCAGGTGGTGGCGGCCGGCAGCCGCGACGCGGGGGCTGCCGTGTACGTGTTCTCCGAGTTCAACCGGTGAGTGCGGGAACGGCGGCGGCGGGGCTGCCCGGCAGGCCCGCCCTGACACCGCTGTCCCCGCAGGTATCTGTTCAACTGCGGCGAGGGCACGCAGCGCGCCATGCAGGAGCACAAGTAAGTGCGGAACAGCGGGGGGACACCGGGGCTCAGCGGGCCCCGCTCACCCCCGTGTGCCCCGCAGGCTGAAGATCTCCCACCTGGACAGCATCTTCCTGAGCCGCGTGTCCTGGGCCAACGTCGGGGGGCTGCCGGGTGAGTGCGGGCAGGACGCGGGCACTGCCCGGGGCCCGGGCGGTTTGTGGGGTGTTCCAGGCTGCCCTGGGGACTTCTGGGGCTGGGCTGGGGCTCTGCGGCAGATTTTTTCCTGAAATCTCCTGAGCAGGAGGTGTTGGGCTGGGGCTTTGTGCAGTGCAGACACGTGGTGGGACAGACCCTGCCTGACCAGCATGCCTGGATTCGCTTTCTCAAAATCTCCTGAGCAGAAGGCGCTGGGCCCCAGCCCTGTGTGTGCGGCACTGCAGGCACGTGGTGAGACAGGTCCTGCCTGAGCAGCAGGCCTGGATTCAGCTGCCCAAAATCTCCTGAGCAGAAGGGGCTGGGCTGGGGCTTTGTGCAGTGCAGACACGTGGTGGGACAGGCATGCCTGGCTTCAGTTTCCCGAAATCTCCTGAGCAGGAGGTGTTGGGTTGGGGCTCTGCAGCACTGCAGAATCACAGAATAATGAGCTTGGAAGAGACCTCAAAGATCATCGAGTCCAGCCTGTGCCCTAACATTCAACCAGACTCTAGCACCAAGTGCCATGTCCAGGCTTTTTTTTTTAAACACATCCAGAGATGGTGATTCCACCACCTCCCTGGGAAGAGCATTCCAGTGCTTTATTATTCTTTCAGTGAAAAATTTCCTCCTAATATCCAACCTATCCCTTCCCTGAGGTAGCTGGAGACTGTGTCCTCTGGTTCTGTCAGAGACCGACCCCACCTGTCTGCAGCCTCCCTTCAGGAAGGTGTAGAGAGCAATGAGGGCACCCCTGAGCCTCCTCTTCTCCAGGCTAAACAGCCCCAGCTCCTTCAAACGTTCCTCACAGGGTTTGTGTTCCCAGCCCCTCTCCAGCCTTGTTGCCTCCTCTGGATGTGCTCAAGTATCTCCACATCCTTCCCAAACTGAGGGGCCAGAGCTGGGCACAGCACTCAGTTCTCACTGCAGACACGTGGTGGGACAGGCCCTGCCTGTCCAGCATGCCTGGGTTCAGCTTCCCAAAATCTCCTGAGTAGGAGGTGTTAGCAGTGTTGCCAGCAGGGAGGTGGATCAGGCAGGTTTGAGTTCAAAGGAGCACACAAAAGTTGGTGGGCACCATTGTGCTCAGTGCAGGATGAGGTTTGGATAGATGGCTGTGGGTCTTGTCCATTAAAATTCTGGAAATCTCCAAGAAAAGGAGATTAATGCTCTGTTCTGATGCCTTGCTCCAGATTAATTTTATCAAGATGTGTATTTTCTTTATTTGTAGAGGCAAGTGACTTGTTGGAACTGCCACAAAATTCAGGTCCGGGTTCAGTTCTGGTCTTTGTGGAGAGGCCAAGCACTCCTGAACAGAGAGGGCTTTTTTTGGGGATCTCCCAGTGCTCAGTGGAGCTGTGCTAAAGCTGTTTCTCTGCTTGCTCTCAGGGATGATCCTCACCCTGAAGGCCATAGGACTCCAGAGGTGTGTGTTCCTGGGGCCACCAAAGCTGGTAAGTATGGCAAGGTGCAGAAGGCAGAGCAAACCCTCAAAGGGTTAAAGCTCCCCCTGGAACTGGGAGAGCTGAGAAAAGGCAATGTCTGTGCGGGTGTGAAATGCTGCTCTGAATTTGTGTCTGCACAAAGGGCTTGAAAATCCAAATCTTCTCAGTTTTCTCAAAAGAAGTTTCCTCAGAAATCTTCTGCACCTGTGTTGTAATCTCATATCCTGATAAATCAGCTTTGGGAAGAGGGGAGGATCTTGGTTCTCTTGTCTGCTCCCTCCCTATTTTACATTAATAGGAGCTCAGTCTCTGCTCTCCTGTTTGATGTGGTCCTTGCCAGCCTAATGCCATGTCTGGACCAGAAATCTGCAATCCTCAGCATCGTTGGAATGGTTTCATTTCCTTGCAGTTTCTGCTGACTAATTGCCCAGCTGGAGGGGGTGGGGACAGTGGCTCTTTGCCTTTCTGAAGCCACAGTGCCTGCCCTGAGCTGTCTGAGCTGCTCAGGCTGGTCTCACTGGGTGTTTGGTGTGGCACTGCTTGTTCCCCCTCCTGACAGCCTTTCTCTTCTTTTCCAGCAAAACTACTTGAAAGCCATTCGCCTGTTCCCTGGGCCCCTCAAAAGGATGGACTTAGGTAGGTCAGGGATGTGGAGCAAAGGAATTTGGAACTTTGTTTCATCTCTAGCCGAGGTTGCATTGCCGAGCAACAGCCTCAGGTTTAGGTTCACCTAGAGGATGTTTGAAACATTTTTTTTTTCCTCTGCTACACTGTTAAACCCCTCGCAACAGTGTTTCCAGCTCTGTTTCTGCTCAGGGGCTCCAGGCTGGCTGATAAAAACAGCATTTGGTTCTAAATCCCTGAAGGCAGTTTGCTTCCAGAGTCTGCCATGAATTTGCTCATCATGGCCCCATGAGGATGATGGGCTTTAAAAACTTTATTTGTTCATTGGGGTTGGGCACAGAAAGGGAAGGGGAACATTCAGCAGGTTGTGTTTAAGAAAGACAAAGACATTTTTCTGATTTATAATATCCTTGAAGAGTGTGAATCTCTGTTCATGCACTTGTTAATGGTGGGTTTTGATCTCTTCCCAGCTGTGCAGTTGCACACAGAGCCTGAGTACAAGGATGAGACAATGACTGTCTACCAGATCCCTCTGACAGGTGAGCCCTGCTGCTGCAGGGAGACAGGGGAAGCACAGTGAAGGTTCAGGGAGCAGCTTGTGTTTGCCAGCCTGAGTAAGCAGAGGTTCATTAATTTGCTTTTCTCAGGAGAAGCATCTCATTTAAATAACAAGACTGCTGAGTCAGGCTTGTTCCTTTAGGTGTGGGTGGATGGAATGACCTGTGGAACATCCCTGGGTTTGGCTTTCTCAGCCAGCTGCATTCTTTCTGCTGCAAAATGTGATACTGGAGGTGCAGCACAGACTTGACAGAGTTTAAAAGTCTGGGGAGAAGGACTTGGATGAGGGATGGCTCCTGAAATAAGTGACTGGAGAATGCCCCAGTGCAAGCTAGACTAGGGGAGGAACTCTGTATTCTGGTGCAGTTTAAACCTGACTGCCACGGAGGAGGGAATGCTACTCATGATTTTCTTCTATGTTGCTGTGGATTGAGTGATCTTTGTCTGTTTTTCTTGGATTTGGGACAGCAAAATCACTGGCTGCTGGAAGTTCAGCCCCCCAGAGTCCTGGAGCATCTCCCCAAGGTGGAAATAGCCCTAAAAGGGACACAGGGCCTGGATCCCTGAGAGCTGCACAGCAAAGCTTGGAGGAAGGAGAAGAGAGCCCAAAGAAAGCAGGTGAAACACATGGAATGGCCTTTTTAACTTTAATTAACCTTCCAAAGGGTAGGAATTTGTCCTCTGAGCCATTTGCTGTCTGAAAGTGAGGTTGGTAGAGAAGCTCAGCTGGAAGGTTCCCTGGAGCAGAAAGTCTTCTGGTATTTTGGAAGTTATAGAGAACTTAAAAGGCCCAAGAAATTGGACATGACTGGTGCTTGGGTGTGATTAGTCCCTGTAGTAGTTTGCTTCTGGTGGGGGTAGATGCTCCAAGCTTTGTAATTTAATTACAGGTGGATGCTGGGCTGATGATTTTTCAGTCTTGGGCTTTAGTTTGGCTTCCTGTATTTGAACCCATGGGCTCTCTGGCCCATTTTCATCACATTTTTTCTGCTGGGCTCCAAGTTAAGTGGATAATGTTCCAGTTAATCCTTTAGCAAATTCTGGTGTGTTTTGATTTTAAGAAAAGTGATAGTGAGTGCTGATATTTTTAGTAGTTTTGCTTTGTTTTGCAGGTGATGAACAGAAGTGTGCAAGGAAGCATCCTGAGCTGGTGACAGCTTTTCTTTGCAAAGTGAGTTGGGGCACAGGGTCTCTAAACCAACACAAGAGATAAGAGAATAAAACAGAGTATTTCAGGGGGAAGGGACATCCAGTGATCATCTATAACCACAGGATGAGTTGGGCTGGAAGAGACCTTAAAGATAATCTCATTCCATGTTCCCATGGGCAGGGACACCCTCCACTAGGCCAGGTTGCTCCAAGCCCCATCCAGCCAGGGTTGAACCATCCAGTCCAGCTGCCTGGCTACCTCAGGCTGCCCAAAATTTCAAACATATTATTAAGGGCATTGTTCAACCATCTCTTAAACACTGGCAGGCTTGGGGCATTGACCACCCTCTGTAAGGAGATATTTCCTGATGTCATCTTGCTGCAGGTATTTAAATGGAGAGAGCATTTTCAAGTAGGGGTTTGAAGCTCTAATGTGCTTCTGCTTTTCAAGTGTCAGAGTTGCTGTAGCCTGAGTAGGAATGTGTACAAGTGGAGGTGTTTTTTAGAATCCAGCCATGATTGAGTGTACAGGTTCCATTCTTGTTGAACCCTCAGAGGAGGGCGGGCTGTTGTGCTTGCTTGGCCACAGAGGGGAGCAAGAAGCAGCAGCACGATCCTGGAAAGCAGAGAGCCCAGAAAAGCCTCTGTGGAAAAATTGGAGCAGTGGCTGTGGAACTGAAAAAGGACAAAATACTCCCTTGGTTTGTGGAGAAGCTCTTAAGCTGGCAGTACCTGATCTTGTTTCCTCAAATCAGGCCCTCCTAATTTGGGTGATAATTGTGTTTGGCTCTCTGTAGGTTCACCCGAGGAAGGGGAAATTCCTTGCAGCTAAAGCCCAGGAGCTGGGCCTGCCAGTGTGAGTATGAGAGCCCAGCCTGGGCCAGGGGGCAGCAGGAGCAGGCACAGGGCTGTTGGCAGCTGAGTATTTCTGTGGCCTTGTTCTCAGGGGAACTCCAGCCATCCTTCCCATCATTACAGCTCTCAAAAATGGGGAGAGCGTCACTTTTGAAGGCAAAGAGGTAAGATCTTAGTGCCTGTGCTTCTGTTGGGGTTTTGTCACTCTCCCTCCTTCACTGGGCTCCAAGGGTGACAGTTTTTGGTGTTCAATGCTTTGCCTGCCAGTACATTCAGGTTGTTGCTGAGCCTGGGGCTCTTGGGGTGCTGACCAGGGAATGAGCTCCTGTGTGGGTATGGCTGGGTGTTTGCTGTTTGGCAGAGCTGCTTTATCTCCCCTCCCCAAAGCTGGGGCAGGTCTAGGAGTGAGCTGGTGGAGTTAATCCCTGCATTGTTTAAAGCTGGGGGTTGATTGCCTGTGTAGCCATCACTCCCTCCTGCCCCTGTTTGCACCTCTGACACCAAAATAAACTCAGTAGTTTTGGGGTACAGGGTCTGCATCTCTCAAACACTGAGTGAGAGGCAGAGCCAGCTCTGGCCATGGCCCAGGTGATCTGCAAGTGGAGGTGCTGACCTAGGAGACAGGATCAGCACATCTTTGTGTCACAAGCATTTTATAAAGCCTTTTTTTCCTTACACATGCTTTTGCTACCATCTGAATCTCTCATGGGAACCTCAAAACTGCTGAAATTCTCCTCCTTGGTTAGGTTGTGGTTACTGTGAGGCCAGGGTTGGGATTTGCTGTTCCACACATTGGATTTTGCTGTGAAATGAGAGCAGAAAGGGCCTCAGAGCTGCCCTGGCTGGGTGCATTGAGCATTGGGAGTGGCTGCTGGGCTCAGTGTGACTGAAGGAGTCAGACACAGAGGTGCAGGAAGGGCTGTGTGTGCAGGCTGTGCTGTGACCACTGTGTATCTGCCTGCAGCTCTTTCCTGAGGAGCTGTGCACCCCCACTGACCCTGGCCCAGTGTTCCTTGTGCTGGAGTGTCCCCACGAGGGCTTTGTGGATGCTGTCTGTGAAAATGAGACCTTCCAAAGGTAGGGCTGGGCCACCTGCAGTGCCTGGGGAAGGACCTGTGCTGAGTTCTGCTTTTGTTCTTGTTCTAGCTCAGGTGTGCTGTTTCTTATGGCTGATGTCTGAGCTCTTTGGCACTGTTAAGGAGCTTCAGATGCAAGAAAGAATTGGTGGTGCATTTTGGGGCTTTTAGGAAAGGCAGGACCTGTGAGTTCTGTGACTGCCATGGGCCTGTTTTCCCCAGGGACCTCCAGAGCAGGAATGTGCCCTGGTGTCTGCCTGGGGAGCAGTGGAGGCTGCTGCTTCTCTGGGCTGCACATAACTGTAGGGCTTGTGCAGAAGCATTTGGGCTCCTGGAGGCTCTGCAGATGTTGCTGATGGAGGAGAGGAACTGCCCTGTGGGGGACAGTGGAGGTGTCAGCAAATGGCCTGAGCCTTGTGGCTTGAGTGATGCAGTCCTGGAGCTCCATGCTCTGAAAATAAATCCCTGCTCTGCCTGCCTCAGGGGGCATCTCTGGCAGCACCAAATGGGGAGAGGGGAGGGGATGCCAAGGACATGGACTGGAGCACAGTTGGGTGTCACTGTAGGACACGAAGGAACACAAGCTCACACCGCTGTTCTCAAGGTGAAGGAAAAGGGAATTTCATTTTCTGACTCCAACATTTATAGTTTTCCAAAAGTGACAGTGGGTTGGAGGGTGACAGTGCCACCTCTCCAATGACACTGGACACATTCCTCCACAAAGGAATGCAAAACAATGAGTCAAAACAATTTTATTTACAGAAAGTGTGTGAGAAAGTTCGCTACAAGAATGTCAACATCAGAAGGCTTAGAAAATCTCAATAAATGAGGGTGACAGATGCTCTTTCTGCTTGCATGTGTCCCAGGTACCAGGAGGGAGTTGCTGAGCACCAGGTGGCCTTGGTTATTCACATGACCCCCGAGGCAGTGCTGCAGGACAGCCGCTACCAGCAGTGGATGCAGAGGTACGTGTGCTGTGCCCTGGGCTCCTGTCTCAGTTCTGGTTCCAAAGTCAAGAGCTCTTTACATCTTGGGTCCAAAGTAAGAGCTCTAAAGAGGGCTCTGCTGGCTCAGGTGAGATTTTAGCTCAGGTGTGCAGATACACCCAGGTCTCACACGGGGCTGAAGCTGTTGAGCATTGTTTCCTCTGGCAGGTTTGGGCCTGGCACTCAGCACTTGGTGCTCAATGAAAACTCCTCTGCTGTGCACAACCCACGCAGCTACAAGATCCAAACTCAGCTGAACCTCATCCACCCAGAGATCTTCCCTCTGCTCACCACCTACCAGAGCAAGGTAATCCAGGCCCAGCTTGCCCTGTGCCTGCTGCCCTGAGCAAAGGCTGTGCCTCATGTCACCCTCCTCGTGCAGGAAGCAGAGGCTGTGTGCCCTGTGCCCATCGTGAGAGGGGAGTGCCTCCTGAAATACCATCTCAGGCCACAGCAGGAGTGGCAGAGGTCAGTGGGAATCTTTTTCTTCCCAGGTTTTGGGTGTTTGCTTGAAGCAGCTTTTTGGTGAGGGAGGGCACTGTGTCAGGATCCCCTGCAGATTCTTTTTGGTGCCTGTGCTGGGGAAACTTTTGAGGGCTGTGTCCTTGCCCCTGAAAGTCTCAGACAAGGTGTAGCACATGGAGGAGGGAACCACTGAAAACAGCACCTGGCCAGTGCTTTGGAGTGTTGTTTCTGTCCCTTGCTCCTGTAGCCTTGTGGTCCTTTGTCCTTTGCTTTGACTCATGCTGTGCACCCAGCTGTGGCTGTGGCAGAGCAGATAGGGGCAGGGAGAGAGGTTTTGGGGAGTCTTATCTTCTGAAGCCCTAGAGGGCCTGACATTAGGGCTGAGAGCTCCAGGTTGTTAAACAGTTACTGGCTTTGCTCCTGTGGCCTGGTGGACAAATGGGTGAAGCTGCTCAGTGAGAGCCTGAAGGGACCCCAGGGGACAAGGGGATTTCAGCCACCATGGCTCAGATTTCTGTCCTTGTTGGGCACAACAGGAGGATGCCAAGAAGAGTTTAAGCTTCTCTGTTGAGGTAACTGAATACCTGTAGTGCTGCACATGCTCTGAAGCAGGCCCAGTTCACAGGTTTCTTACACTTTCCATCAGTGCCTGGATCCCTTTAGGTGTCTGCTCCTCCTGCAGGACCTTCTGTGCTGCCTTGCAGTGCCCTCTAGTGCCTGGCAGCTCTGCATGGGATGAGGTGCTATTGCAGGAGCTTCTCCACTTGGTGGAATGATCATTTCTGTGCCTGGCTCAGCCCAACTAGGCCTTGGTGGCACACACCACACTTGTGGATGTGTCTTCTCCAACCCCTCAAAACGGAAAGAGCATTTGTCCTCTTGTTGGAAGGCTGTTTTGTCACAGGAGTTTGGCACTTTGCTCTGAAAAGGGCTGTTTCAGCTCCTACCTTGCCCATCCTGATGGGTGGCCTGTTGTTGCAGAGATGCTGTGACTGTCTGTGATCCTGATGAGTTTGTCAGCGAGGCCTTGGATCTCCCTGACTTCCAGACCCGTGTGAAGGAGTGCAAGGAGAGCCTGTCTGCTGTACCAGGTACAGATCAGCAACTTAGCTTGGATCAGTGTGCTGGAAAATAGGACCTGAGCTCTTGGTGGTGCTTCAGAATGGTGGTGCTTCAGAGCCCAGTTGAAGCTGTGAAGAGGTGGGGCTTGTTCTGCCTTCCCTTATAAACCTGCTGCTGAGGGGGGCAGAGGTGCCTGTGCTGGCCACGTTGGCTCTGGTGAATTAGGTGGTGTCTGAGTGGGCAATGTGTGGAGAACACTTGCCTCCAAATCCTTGTTGTCTGTTTTCTCTAGGAAATGTGGGTGCTTATCCTGAGATTGTGTTCTTGGGAACGGGATCTGCGATCCCAATGAAAATCCGCAATGTCAGTTCCACGCTGCTGAATACCAGGTGAACCCCAGGGCTCTCTGACCTCTGCCTTCCAGCCCCAAGGATCCCCCTCCCTGCCTGGCCCTGCTCAGAGCTCTCAGAGTCACTGCCAAATGTCTCTGTCACCTCTCACCAGTGCTACCAGGTCCCTGCTCCTGGACTGTGGGGAAGGAACTTTTGGGCAGCTCTGCCGCCACTATGGAGAGCAAGTGGACCAAGTGCTGTGTAACCTCGTGGCTGTGTTTGTGTCCCACATGCACACAGATCACCACTCTGTGAGTTCAGGGGCTGGGAAGAGGCTTGTGCAGCTCTGCTCTGAAGCCAAGGTTCAGAGCTGCCTGGGCTGCTCCAGCTGAGGAATGTGGGCTGGCCTGTATGGGAATAAATCACATGGGACTCCATTTTCTTCATGGTGGAAAAAGCCCATTCTTTATTATTAAGGAGGAGTTTTATTCTTATTTATGTTATTTATAGGAATTTTGTTATTTTTTATATATAATATTTATTTATATTATTTATATATTTATTTACACATTTATTATTAAAAGGAGTTATGTATATAACTCCTTTTTATACAGTTTTACAGACCTCATGTGTGACTCCAATTGGTCAGTAGTTTCCTTGCCAATTACTTTTATTGGTTAGTAACAAGTTGCTATTCTGTATGGAATGGTCACTCAAACCCCTGGTGTATATAAAAACAGTTGATGCAGGGTTCAAGTTTTTATTTTACCCAGGAAAATGGGTAATGAATGGCTCACAACAGGATTGCATTCACATGACCCTGCAAAATGCTAGCTTTGACAAGGCCAGCCACTGATTCCAGGAGAGCAGAGTTGATTTTATGAATCCTTTCTCTATGATTTTTCTACCTTATTGCAACAGCCCCACTCTGCATTCCTCTCTTCATTCATTCCCCAGGCACTGCTGAATCTGTGTGTGTTTCTAATCCCCTCTCCCTTCTTGTTTGTTCTGACTCTGGGCTTGCTGAGCTGTGGTGCTGTTGCCTCTGACTCCCTTGCTGTGTCTGTTCCTCTGCAGGGGCTGGTGAATATCCTGATGGAGCGGCGCAGAGCTTTTGTGAGTAGTTACTCTGCTCTTAACGTGGCTTGGGTGAGAGGAGGGGAAGTTCAGAGTAGTGGAGAAGCACCAGCCTATCCCTAGCATTTCTCCTCTCTGATTTTTCTCCCTACCTTTGCTTTTTCAGGCAGCCCTGGGTCAGGATTTCAGCCCTCTGTTTCTGGTAGCACCTGAGCAGATCATGCCTTGGCTGCACGAGTACCACAACCACTGTGAGGAGATTCTTGGAGACATCAAGTGAGTGTTCTGTGTGGAGAATGTCCTTGGTCTTTATTCAAGGCAAACTCATCCATTCCCCCAGCCCTTGGTTGGAGGTGGCTCTGACTCCTTTCACTGCCTGTAGAACAAGGATATGCAATCTGCAGAGGGCAGGATGGGGTTTGTACTCAGCTGTGCTGCTTAAATAGAGGTTTGTGTGCAAGCTTCCCTTTGCTGTAGGAAAAGGGAGTTGGGCAAGTAGAAGAAAGAGTATTTGATAGTGGGGTAGAAGTGATTGGGTGAGTTACTGGGGCACCAATGAAAGTGAGAGGTTATACAGGTCACCAAGGCACTGAACTGAGGCTGAGAAACAGGGGAAATCAGCTGCTTGAAGAGAACACCAGGTTTTATTTTGTACCTGCCCTTAATTATCTCTTCTTCCTTCCCTCACAGAATGATTCCTGCTCAGTCCCTTGTGAAAGGCTGTGAGAACATCAGACCCAAAGCCAAGGAGTTTGTGAGCTCTCTGTTAGAGAGCTATGACCTGGCTGAGGTGAGTTCCTGAGCTGGGGGGCTCCATGGCTGGAGGAGACCTGGACTCTAACACTTGTATCCTTGTTCAGTTTCAGACCTGTGAAGTCCAGCACTGTAAAAATGCCTTTGCATGTTCAGTGATCCACAAATCTGGCTGGAAAGTAGTTTATTCTGGTGATACAATGCCCTGCATGGCCTTAGTGCAAATGGGTAGGTAACAGAACCCTCTGCTTGCAGAATCTCTTGGAGAATGGACACTGACAGATGGAGACCTCAGTGGGCATCCCCAAACCTTTGGTGCTGTGTCTGCCACACACTGAGGGGCTGAGGAGGGACAGGAGGCTTCTGTGGGCAGTTGGGCAGGTCAGTCTTCAGCTGAAGATGGAATTTGTGATTGTTTGCACAGGTAAAAATGCCAACCTGCTGATCCACGAAGCCACGCTGGAAGATGGGATGGAAAAAGAAGCTATAGAGAAGACCCACAGGTGGGGTGTGTTCTGCTGTCTGTCCCTGTCAGGAAGGGAAAGGTGCACAGCTGGGTGTGGTCCTTGCAGCTGGTGGTGAAGGGCCCAAGTCCTGTCAAAGGCTCTGGTGTGCACAGAGCTCTCCTACACTAAAGATGGGGTGTTGGTCACTGCAGCAGCTCTGAGACCACCACGGCTCCTCTCAGCACCCCCAAAGGAAATGGGGAAAGCTTTCAAGCAGACATTAGTAACTCTACAAATAGGCCAGCCCAAGGGAAAGACCCTCTGCATGGGTCCATCCTGGGTAGAAGCTGTTTTTACCCCCACAGCTCTCTGAGAGCCCTGCAGCCAGGGATTCCATGTGCTGCCCAGGCAAACGTGGGAGCAGCTGCTCAGCACTCCCTGCCAGTCACAGCTGAGCCTATTGGCACCCTGGGATAAGTGCCTGTCCCCAGGTTGTGGAGCTCTTAAATGCAAGGCTGCAGCAATGACAGCTGCATTCCTGCACTCAGGGTTGTGTGGAAGTCAGGGAATTGCCACCAGTGCAGGCTGCCCAAAGGAGCGGGGCCTGTGCCCCTGAGCTCACTTGGTGTGCTGTGAGCCTGGGTGCCAGCCTGGCTGTGACCAGGGCATGCTCCTTTTGCAGCACAACCTCCCAGGCCATCCAGACTGGGATGAAGATGAATGCAGAGTTCATCATGCTCAATCACTTCAGCCAGAGGTACGCCAAGATCCCGCTCTTCAGCGAGGACTTCAGCGACAGGGTCGGCATTGCCTTTGACCACATGAGGGTGAGTTGGGAGCTTGGGGCCAGGCCTGGCAATGGTGTCTAGGTTATTTTGATGGCTGCTCATGGATTAAATGCTCCTCTTGTATCGATATTCCATCTCCTGAAGAGCAGTGTCTGAAGCAGCTCCTTTAGCTGCTGGCAGCAGATGCTCTGTCACCCTTTCCCCACACTGCTGTGAGAGCAGGGGCTCATGGCCCTTGAATCCAACTCTTGGGTACTTGCCTTGTGCCACCTCAAGTCTGTGCTTGCTATTCCCAGCCAAAAAAACCTAACTTTGCTTCCATTCCCATCCCAACTGATTAGCTGCTCCAATGGCATTCTGTAGCAGACAAAAGCTGTGGCTGAAGGCACTCGTGGCAGTGAGGGCAGCTCACTGTCAGTCAGAATTTGTACTGGGCCACAGCTTTTCTGTGAAGCAAACATCAATAACTCGTTGAGATCAGGGCTGCTGGATGCAGATGCTGCACACAGGAAGGGGCAGTGCCCTCTGCCTGCACAGGCCAAAGGCAAGGGGGGGAGTGAGGAAACCAAACAGCAGTTGTCACACAGGAGCTGTGTGCTTGTGTTTCAGGTTCGTTTTGGTGACTTCCCGGCCATCCCAAAGCTGATCCCGCCCCTGAAGGCTTTGTTTGCAGATGACATCGTGGAGATGGAGGAGAGGAAGGAGAAGAGGGAGATGAGGCTGCTGAAGGAGACTGCTCTGGTCCTGGACAAGCTCACCAGGGGGGACAGTACAGAAGCAGCGTGCCAGAAAAGGAAACAAACCAAGAACCATCAGGAACTGCCAGACAAGAAGCTTAAAACAGCCAACTGAGAGGGGCAAGGCTGGGAGTGCTCTGCTCCACAGAGAGAAGCCTGGCTCTGCACAGGCCTGGGCACTGCATGGTGCTGCCAGCACCACAGGAGGACAGGGGCTGGCCTGGGCACCTGGGTCTGCTTGCTCATCATGGATCTCCCTGGGCTGCAGCTCCAGGGGGCTGTCAGCAGCACTGGTCCTTGTGGAGACAGGATCTGCCTACATGGCTCCTTTTGGGGGCTCACCAGTCTGTGGGGCAATTTTTCTTTTAACCAAAAATTCTCTCTGAACTGTTTTAATTTTGGGTTTTATGCTATGAGGTATTGATAATGTGACAGCAGCAGGTGTGACCTTTGTAAGAGATCAGGTGTGAGAGGCCCTGGAGGGGCTGTGGGTTTGCCAGAAGAAGGTGAGCATGTCTCAGCTGGGTATGCCCCCCTTCACTATCAGAACCCAGGTGATAAGAGGAAAATTAACAGTAAAATGGGACCCAATTGTAGGGGTTTAGGTTAAATTAGGAGTGAGAATACATCTGTACATCGGTGTTCCCATTTTATTTTGGTTTTTCTCTGCTGGTTTTTTATTCAAAAGATCAGTTTTCCAAACCCTTTATTTAGAATCTGAATAAACCACTCGCCATCCTCCAAAAAAGCTGCGTTGTGTATGGATCACTAATGAGGAGACAAAAACCTGAATTGCTCTGGCAAATGACCTTGGTTTGGCTGGCTTTGGGGTAAAGACCAAGATCTTGCCCATCAGATCTGGATCATGCTGGAGCCTCATGGCTGTGAGTGTCCTTGAGCAGATTATGGCTCTGGATGCAGGGGACAGGAAAGTGGCACAGCAGGCAGGTCTGTGGTTAGGGGAAGTTTTTCTGAGGCTTTTTGTGGGTCAGCCTTGCTTCTTCCCTTGCTGCTGTTGTCACTGGCTGTGTTTGGAAGTAGGAGGGGAGTTCTGAGCTGTTCCAATAAAGGAGTTCATTTTTGGAGGCAACTTTTTGACCTAAACCCAGGCCTCACTCAGGAGATGATGCTTGCACACAAGTCTTAAGACTTCATTTTGAGTTTATGGGAAATTAAGGGGCAAACTATCAGCAAAGCATCTTTTGTTAATGAGCTGTGCTGTAGTGTGATGCTTGTCTAAAGCAGAGACTGGAGAATGGACACATCTGTGTCCTCCAGAGAAGCTCTGCTGGGCTTTTGTGAATAGCAGGGGACTGGGGAAAACCAAAATCTTCGTGTCACTGGACAGGTGCAGGTAGGAGTGGGCTGGGGTGACACGAGCAGCTCTGGGACTGCACAGGATCCGTGTGCTGCTTTCCAGGGAATTACAGAAGGATCTTTGGAAAGGATCTGCTTCTCACAGAAGGGGTAGTTAAGAGCACACCAGTTTCAGCTTCAGGCGATTTATGCAGGTACGCCGGTGTCGGGAGCAGCGCTGGGGCTGAGGGACGGGAGCTGCCTGAGCCCGATTTGGGAAAATCCCAGCGGAGCGAGCGAGCCGGGAGCCGCTTCTGGAGCTGCACAGCGCTGCGGGGACGAGAGGAACGCCCGGAGCGGCACAGGAGGGAGGTGGCAGCGCTGGGACCGCCCTCGCATCCCGGCGGGGCACGGGAGCGGCTCCCGGGAGTCCCCCGGGCAACGGCGGCGGCTGCTCGCAAACACTGCTGAGCCGGGCGGATGGAGGCCGAGGGGGATCCCGGGTTCGCGGGGCCGGGTTCCCGGCAGGGTTCCCCGGAGGATGCCCCGGAGGGTTCCCCGGAGGATGCCCCGGAGGATGCCCCGGAGGGTGCCCCGGCCGAGGCGCGGCTGGCTCGGTGCGCGGCGCGGGCGCTGGCGCTGCCCCCGGAGCGCTGCCGGCGCTGGGCGGGCGGCGCGGCGGGGCCGGCGCTCCGCGGTTTCGTGCGGGGCGCGGCGGGGCCGGCGCTGCTGGCCTGGCGGGGCCCGGGCGCGGAGCTGGGGCTGTGCCCCGGGCCGCCCCCGCCGCCCCCCAGCGCCACCAAAGCGCTTTTCTTCCTGCGGCCGCCCGCAGCCGGCCCCGCCGAGCCGCTGCTGTGCGGGGATCTGCCCGCCGAGCCCCTGCCGCACTTCGCAGCGCTGGTGGAGGAGGTAAGGGGGGAAAGGCGGTGCTGGGGGCTGTAGAGCCCGATGGAGCCTCCGAAATCATGAGCCGTGGAGGCTCTGGGCGTCTCACGGAGGGTGAGCCACGTTACACTGTCATAGGATGGGTTCCTGAGAAGGAGAAGCTGTGCTTGTCCCATCTTTGGAATGCCCAAGGCCAGGGTGGATGAGGCTTGGAGCAACCTGGGATAGCAGAAGGTGTCCCTGCCCATGGCAGAGGGTGGAAGGTGATGGGCTTTAAGGTCCCTCCCAAGCCATTCTGTGGTTGTAGGATAGTTGGTGCTGCATGGCACATCTCAGGCACATCTGGTCCGAGCCCTGCTCCAGCCAGGCCACCTGGAGCCCAGGACCATGTCCAGGTGACTTTTCAGTGTCCCTGCAGATGGAGACTCCTGTGCCAGCCCTCAGTCACCCTCTGATGTTCATAAGAGCCTCCTGTATTTGAGTACCCTGTTACCTCATGTGGGCTGATGTTTTCCCAAAAGGATCTTCAAGAGGTTCCACCAGGGCCCCAGGTGTCATTTTAACAATCCAAAAGAATACAAGCAGCTGATGTGACTGGTTATGGCATTACTCTTATTAGCAGTCTGTGTGATTTGAGTAATGGAGACAAAGCCTGCTACTACTGCAGCTGAAGCTGTTGAAGGTGAGCTCTGTGTGCCCTGGGGTTGTTCCCCCTTCCCATGGCTCCCTGGACAGGGTGGTTGCTCCTGCTGGTCCTCGTTGCTTGTGGTGCAAAGAACTTTCAGCACCCTGGAGTGGCACCCTGGTTGTTCCTTTTTGACTCTGTCTGTCTGTCTGTCTGTAGCTGGTTTTGTACCTTTATCCTCCCCCAAGTCTGGCCACACAAAGGCTGCTCATCACCAGGGGCAACCTGGCTCTGATCCCAGGGAAGGTGACAGGAGCTGTTGCTATCCCAGCACAAGAGAGTCAGGAGCAGCTCAGCTTCAGGCAAGCCCAGCCCAGAGCCCCCAGCTGCTGGAACTCCACTGGTAAAGACACAAACCATGTTTAGGGGGCTGCAGCTTTGGGAAATAACCTAAAACGTGGCTCTGCTGTAGATGCCAGGAGGTACCAGAGGACCTTCCCTCTGCATATGGGGGTGGCTGTGCAGGGACAGCCCTGCTGGCCTGTTCATCATCACCTGCAGGGAGCTGCTTGGGACAGGGGTGAGTGAGGGTCTCCAGGTGTGGTGGTGTTCACAGGGGTCTCAGGAATAGGGAAGAGACAAGGATCTGACTCCATGTTTCAGAAGACTGATTTATTACTTTATTATATATATATATAATTAAAATTATACTAAAAGAATTGAAGAAAGGATTTCATCAGAAGGCTTGCAAGCAAAGGAAGAAGAATGGAATGATAACAAAATCCTGTGTCTGACCAGAGCCTGATACAGCTGAACTGTGTGATTGGCCATTAATTAGAAACAACCACATGAGCCCAATCCCAGATGCACCTGTTGCATTCCACAGCAGCAGATAACCATTGGTTACATTTTGTTCCTGAGGCCTCTCAGCTTCTCAGGAGAAAAAATCCTAAGGAAAGGATTTTTCAGAAAACATCATGGCTACATCCAGGCTTGCCCAGGACCTCTGACCCTGGTGGCCAGTCCATCCATAGTGCTTTTTGTCATAGAATCATCGAATCACAGCATGATTTGTGTTGGAAAGGACCTTAAAGCCCATCCAGTGCCACCCCTGCCATGGCAGGGACACCTCCCACTGTCCCAGGCTGCTCCAAGTCCTGTCCAGCCTGGCCCTGGGCACTGCCAGCCACAGCTTCTCTGTGCCATGGCCTCCCCACCCTCACAGGGAACAATTTCTTCCAAAATCAAACCTAAATTTGGAAAACCTTCAGCTCTTCCCCACTGCTCTTCCATGGCTCCTGCTGTAGGTGATCGTGCCCATCCTGACGAACCGGAGGAACCATCAGGGCTGGCCACGAGTGGTGTCACAGGACATCATCCATCACGTCCACAGCCTGAAAAACACTGTCTTCAAGGTGGTTGGCCAAGTGAAGGGCAAGACCTTGCTGCCTCTTCCAGCTGCCTCAGAGGGAATTGAGAACATTGATCCTGAAAGTGAGAAATTGTGAGTACCAGCCCTTGCTCTCCACTGGGTTTTCCTCTGCTGCTGCATGTGCTGCACCTTTTGGGGATCCTCCCTGTCCTCTGCATCTCATCAAGCTGCCAAGGAGGGGTATTTTGCTCTGTCTTTGGGGACTGTGCAATGATACAAGCAGCAAAAGCTCAGGAAGTGGAGGGGGATGAGGGCATGCAGAGAAGCAATGAACTGCTGGGATCACTGAGGGAAAACCCCAAACTCTGCAGTCAGGCTGCTCCAAGCCCTGTCCAACCTGGCCTTGGGCACTGCCAGGGATCCAGGGGCAGCCACAGCTGCTCTGGGCACCTGTGCCAGGGCCTGCCCACCCTGCCAGGGAACAATTCCTTCATCATATCTAATTTAAACCTCCTCTCTTTCAGTTTTAAGCCATCGCTCCTTATCTTGTCTCCAACTGCCCCTGTAAATGTTCTCCCTCATGAATTTTATTGTTTTGTGGTTTTGAAAGATGAATCTGGGCTGTAACTGCAAAATCCAGCTGCCCATTGAGGTAGACCCAGCTCAGCAATGCACATGCACAAGTGGAAAGTGACCCTGGTGCTCTGTTTCCTGCAGCTTGGAGCTGATCAGTAAATCCCTCGTCCATGCCACCGAGTCAGCCATCATCGAGTGGAGCCAGCAGATCCAGAGAGTGCTGAGGAAAGAGTCCTCAGAGCCCCTCCTGCAAGGCACCAACCCCACCCCGAAGGTGGAGCTGCAGTTTTGGAGGAGCAGGTGCTGCTGCTGCTGCTTTGGGTGCAGGGGGTGCTGCTGCTCTGAGCCAAGAGCAGCTGCTCGAGGTCGTGTCGAGACCTGAACCCAAAAATATTGCTAAAATAATGGTGATCTCTGAGTGGCTGGGGCTGGCTGGGCAGTTGGCTCAGTTTGGCTTGGGCCAGCCACAGTTCAGGGCTACACCACCAGGGAATTTAGCTGGGAATGGTGTTTGGTTGTCTGCAGACAGCCAGGACACAGTTTTGAGCCAATTGGCCAAGGAAACAAAACAATCCTCAGCAGAATCCAATTGACAAATCACTTCAGGTAAACAATCTTCCTAACACATTCCACATGTGAAAAACAACAGGAGCAGCAAGCAGAGATAAGAATTGTTTTTCTCTTCTTCTTTCTGTGCTTCTCTAAGAAAAAAAACCCTGAGAGACAAAATTATGTTTCTGTTCAGAGACTGTGAATGCCACCATGGTGTTTCCATCACTGGGCACTCGGACCAGCCCCTGAACAGAGCTGCTGGGCACTCTCCATGCTGGCTGCTGGGGGTGCCACAGGGGGGTCAGATGAGCCAGGGAGTGGAATTTCAGCTGCCCTCTGTGCTGTGTTGGCTCAGGAGGACTGGAGACAGAGCCCTGCCCGTGCAGAGCTGTCAGCTGTGGCTGCAGGAGCAGCACCTGGCTCCTTCTGGCACTGCTCTCATCTGAGCCTGGCACCAGCTCTGTCCTCCAGGGCTGTCCCCATTTCCTGCCAGCTCAGTTCAGACTAAAACACAGGTTCTAAAGTTCTAAAACTAAATGTTCCTAAAGTCTGGGTGAGATCCTGCCTGGGTCTGTTTGCACTGCAGCTTGTACAGAAAATCCTCCCAGTGGCTGCAGGATTTCACCACTTCCCTCTCTCCAGCCAGAGCCTTGTTCTTCTTACATCCTCTGTCCTTTCCTGTGCTGGAGCTCTTTGCTCCTGCAGGTACATCTGCTTTCCAGAGGTGTGGGGGCTTCAGGAAAACTGGTTGGAAAACTTGTATGTCCTCCAAAAAGCCCCAAACCTAAAACAAACACAACCCCCCTCCCCCCCAACATTTCTGATTCTTCAAAGGGATTTTTCCCCTGATAAAAATAAGTTCAGGACTCTCAGTGTTTGGGGATCTCAGTTCAAAACCCTGCTCTACCTCTCCCTTCCCTGTTCTAGAGAGTCTGTGCCCTTGTGTAACTGCAGCAAATCCTGAGCCAGGGCTTTGGGGCACAGCTGGGGCTGCCCCAGCTGGGCTGGTGACGTGTCCTGGTGCTGCAGGTGTGCTGACCTGGAGGGCATTCACAGCCAGCTGACGTCCAGGAGGGTCAGCAACATGCTGGAGGTGCTGGAGAGAGTGCAGAGCATCTACGTGCCAGCCTTCCAAAGCCTGCTCGAGGATGTGCAGGCAGGTGAGAGCCTGGGGCAGCTCTGCATGGTGCTGGTTCCTGTCCTCTGTCATAGCCTGGGGGGACAGGGTGGCTTTGTGGGAGGGAGATGCTGATAGGGAGAGGTTCTTCTTGTTAGTCCTGAGCGTTGGGGTTATTTGCAAGTGCACTTCTGAAAAGGCTGAGACAATTGGGGTTGTTCAGTCCAGAGAAGAGAAGTCTCTGGGGTGATCTTATTCTGCCCTTCCAGTGCTTACAGGGGCTCCAGGAGAGCTGGAGGTGGATTTTTTACAAGGGTTGGCAGTGACAGGGCAAAGGCAAATGGCTTCATGCTGTCAGAGGTTAGATTAGATATTAGGAAGAAATCCTGCTATTAGGAAGGAATCCTTCCCTGGCAAGGTGGGCAGGCCCTGGCACAGGTGCCCAGAGCAGCTGGGGCTGCCCCTGGATCCCTGGCAGTGCCCAAGGCCAGGCTGGGCAGGGCTTGGAGCACCTGGGACAGTGGGAGGTGTAACAGGATGGGATTTAAGGTCCCTTGCAGCCCAAACCATTCCATTAGATGATGATGATGATGATTCTCTTCATGTTGGTCCACAGGTTTAGTTGCACAATGATGTCCAGGTTTTATTAAAAATTCATTAATTTAACGCAAATGAATTAATTATTAATTCTGGGGTAGCTCTTCAGGGTCCAGCCACACAGCTCTTTGTGCCAGCTCCCAGCTCCTCACCAGGACCGTGTGCTCCCCTTTGTGCTCCCAGCTCGTGCAGTGTTGGGACAGTATATATATGTGTATATATATGTGTATATATATGTATATATATGTATATTTGTATGTATATATGTATATATGGGTATTTATGGGTATATATGTGTATATATATGTATGTATGGGTATATATATGTATATATGTGTGTGTATGTATATATGTGTGTATATATGGGTATGTATGGGTATATATATGTATATATGGGTGTGTATGTATATATGTGTGTATATATGGGTATGTATGGGTATATATATGTATATATGTGTGTGTATGTATATATGTGTGTATATATGGGTATGTATGGGTATATATATGTATATATGTGTGTGTATGTATATATGTGTGTATATATGGGTATGTATGGGTATATATATGTATATATGGGTGTGTATGTATATATGTGTGTATATATATGTGTTATATATGTATATATGGGTCTTTATGGGTATATATATGGGTATTTATGGGTATATATATGGGTATATATGTATGTATGGGTATATATATGTATATATGGGTGTGTATGTATACATACGTGTTATATATGTATATATGGGTCTTTATGGGTATATATATGGGTATTTATGGGTATATATATGGGTATATATGTATGTATGGGTATACATATGTACACATACATACACATGTGTGTATATGTATATATGGGCATATATATGTATATATGGGTGTGTATAGATGTATATATGTGTATAGATGTGTATATGTGTATATATATGTGTGTGTATATATATATGTATATATGTAAATAACTCGTGACCCCCTCCCCAGCCCTTCTCACCCCTTCTGCCCTTCCTCCCCCAGCTCTGAGGGAAGCTCAGGACATCGACCTGCACCTGACAGCCCTGCAGCAGCCCCTGGAGCAGGTGGAGGCTGTTGAGTTCAGCAAGGTGAAGCCTCTCCTGGTGCCCCTGCTGCACGTGGTGTGCTGGATCTGGGCCAGCTGCCAGCACTACAGCATGCCCCTGAGGCTGGTGGTGCTGCTCCAGGAGATCTGCAACCTCCTCATCCAGCAGGTGTGTGCCTGGGGCACCTGGGTTTGCACAGGGAGGGCTTTAGGGAGGCTGTAACAGGAAAGCCTTATCAATATGATTGCCTGGCAAAAGACTTTGAGAATATGGAGACTATAAGGGAGATTGAAATGAAAGCAAGCTTTGAGATCCCTCAGTTACTGAACAACTGGAAAACAATGGTGTGGCCAGCTGGAGGTGATCCCCTTTTGATGAAATGTGGTGGTGTTTGCAGGTGTTTGAGGGAAGAGATGATAATCTTGACTCCATGTTTCAGAAGGCTGATTTATTATTTTATGATATATATTATATTAAAAGAAAATTATATATTAAAACTATGCTAAAAGAATAGAAGAAATGATTTCATCAGAAGGTTAGCAAAGAATAGAAAATAAAGATAATAAAAGCTCATAACTCTGAGAGTCCAAGCCAGCGGACTGTGATTAGCTATTAATTAGAAACAACCACATGAGACCAATCAAAGATGCACCTGTTGCATTCCACAGCAGCAGATAATTGTTGTTTTTCTTTTCCTCTGAGGCTTCTCAGCTTCTCAGGAGAAAAATCTTAGCAAAAAGATTTTTCAGAAAATATCATAGCGACAATGAAACAATACCCTCTGCTTGCAGGCATCTCCAAGGGTCAGAGCAGACCCTGCTGGCTTGGCAGAAGGGGCCCAAAGAGGAGTTTTTAGGGTTTTTTAGGTAACACAGTATGGTAATGTAATGATTCTTATAGGCTGTATGGAAATGCTATAGGATTTGTATCTTGTAATAGGTTGGTTAGTGAGAATTAGAATGAACAGCATAGAAGAAGATTTATGGTATGGTAATGGGAACCTTGTTCTCTTTTACTGTCTCTCTCTCACTCTCATCCTCTTTTCTCCTCTCTCTCTTCCTCTTTACCACTCTCTTGCCCTCTCTTTTCTTCTCTTTCCTTGTCCAAGCTGTGGCTGCAGCTCCCAGCAGGACCCTGCACTCAGACCTTTTGCAATAAACCCCAAATTCCCAGCCCTGGCTGCAGAGATCTCTGCTCTCCATCCATCCCAACCATCCTACCCCCCTTGCTCCTACAGGAATTCTCTTCTCTCTTTCTTTCCCCTGTCCTTCCTTCCAAAGGGGTTCTGACTGAGAGGAGGGGTCAGAGCTGTTCAGTTTGCTGTGGCAGCAAAGGGACATCTCAGGTGTGGTTTGGCTCTTCCAGGCTGTGGTGTACCTGTCCCCAGAAGATCTGCTGAAAGGAGAGGTGGAGGAGAGCCTGGGCAAGGTGCAAACAGCCTTGGACATCCTGAGTGCCTTCAAAGGGGCGCTGGAGGAGAGAAGGGCAAACCTGCAGGTGTACTATGAGCCAGGCCAGCAAGTGAGGAGCTGGGACTTCCCCTCCAGGCTGGTGTTTGCAAGGCTGGACAGCTTCCTGCAGAGGCTGCAGGTGGTGAAGGTGAGAGGTCCTGCAGCCATGAGCTGCCTGCCTGGCACCTTCCCTCCCTGATGCCAGGGGATCACTCTGTGCTCTCTGGTCCCCCTGACATCAAGGCCAGGACTTGTTTGCCCAGGTCCTGCTCAGTGCCTGTGTCAGATTTGCTGCTGTGTCCTTCTGCTCAGGCTGGTGGCTGTGTCAGTGCTCCCAGGGCTCCTCTGGGACTCGTGCTCTTGTTGGGACAAGGGGATGGGGGTCATGGGGCTGTGGTTTGCATGGGTGGGGATAAACCAGGATGAGCTCTGGGGCACCCTGGGGCATTCAGGGGCACCCTGGGGCATTCAGGGATACCCTGAGGCATTCAGGGGCACCCTAGGGCAGTCAGGGGCACCCTGGGGCATTCAGGGACACCCTGGGGCATTCAGGGGCACCCTGGGGCATTCAGGGGCACCCTGGCACTGGGCATCTCCTGACTTGGACAGGGGGCCTGGGGAGGAGCAGGGACATTTTCCACATCCCTCACAGGGCATCCCTTCCCATCGCAGTGTGTGCCCAGCTCTGGGGTGTTCCTGTTTGCTGTGGTTGTGAGGCAGGGCAGGGACAGGGGGTGTCATGAGTGCCATCATCCCTCAGCTCTGTGGGTGTAGCTGTCACACAGGGTGTAGCTGTCACACAAACACTGGGCTCACCTGTGAGCTCTCCTGTGGGTACCAGCTCACTGCACCTGCTGGTCACTCTGTTAGTGTTCAGGAGCACATAATCACAGATTATATACAGGTGCTTTTATTAAAGAGCTCTGGGTGTCAGGGGTACAGACCCTAATCTGACCTGACATGGTTTTGAGCTGAACATGTTTTATATTCTATCATTATATAACTTACATGTTAGTTATTAAAATTACATTGTTCTATTGTACACATTGATTTCATCCAAGCATGGATTTCTCGTGATCTCCTCAAACCCCTAACATAGTTTCTCATGATTCTTTAAACAATAATTATATCTAATCACATCTAACAATCATATAATTCATCATATACTGACTATAGAGGTGCAGTTTCACATGATCCAGCAAATACAAGGTCTAACATTTTCCCAGGGCCTACTAAGCCCAACTTTCTTTCTAGCTCCCCGAATTTTCTGTGATTTTAAAATCTTTTACTATCAACAATCTCTGTTTTTGGATGGGCTGCTCCCAGCTGGGGGGTCAGATGGGCACTGTGCAGGCTGCTGGTGCCTATGCAAGGCAAGGTCTGGGTTGCTTTTCTCCTTCTCTCATTCCCTGCACTGGAACAGAAGGTTTTACTGCTTTAACCACACTGTGTAACTCTGCTCCTTCCTTAAGGAGCTGTGTTGAAAAGCACAGTGGAGGCATCTGTGTTAAAACCACTCAGTTGTAGAGTCACAGAGTTGTTTGGGTTGGAAGGGACCTGAAAGATCATCGTGATCCCATCCTGAGCAGCCTCAGGGTGACCCAGGAGCAAACATGGCTCTGTGCAGTGGGAGCTGCTGTCATCTGCTCGTGGCTGAAGCTGTGTGTGCCTCCTCTGGCTCTGCAGGGTCTCCTGAGCACAGCCCTGGACCTGGCCCAGCTGGAGAAGATTGAGTTTGGGGGCGTGAGAGGGAAGGCCCTGGGCCAGCAGGTGCTGGCCATGCATGAAGAGTTCCAGGAGTGCTACCAGGTGTTCTCAGAGCGAGCCTACGACTGCCTGGACCTGGCCAACGTGGTAGGTGGGCACCTGTGGGGGTGCCAGCAGCTCATCCTCCTCTCCAGGGAGCAGCTCCCTCTGCAGCAGAGCCCTGCTCCTCCTTCCAGCTCCTCCCTCCCTTTGTGGTGCTCTGATCTGGCCCTGTAGGGGACAGGGAGCTGCTGGTCAGTTCTGCAGGCACTTGGCAGTTCCTGCAGCTCCACATCTCAGGATCACACCATGAACCAGGCTGGGGCAGACCTTTGAGATCATCAAGTCCAAGCTGTGCCCCAACACCTCCTCATCAACTAAACCATGGCACTGAGTGCCGCATCCAGCCTGTTTTTAACACATCAGTGACTTCCCCACCTCCCTGGGCAGATGATTCCAGGGCCCAACCACTCTTTTAGTGAAGAATTTTTTCCTGATGTCTAACCTAAAGTTCCCCTGGCACAGCTGAAGTCCAGCATGCCTTGCTGGTTCAGTGAGTTTGAGCTTCTGTGGGTTTTTGGGGTGGTGGTCTTCAGGATCAGAGAGTGTGAAGATCGTTCCTGTCTCACCTCCAGCTGAAGTTAGGGACTTGTTGGACTGTGGGTCCATCCCAGAGGGCCTTGAGCTCAGCCATGGGATGGGACAGAAGTGTCCTTGACTGTGGAGGAGTGTTTTAATTCCTGGTGAATAAGATTGTACACACATTCAGATTATATATACGTTCATTCTTTGCTCTGCTTTATAAGAGCGTGTTTTACTTCAAGTTGTTTCTCCCCACAAACACACAATCCCATTTTAAAAGCTCTGACAGATGCTGCTTTTCATCTTCACTTGGACAGCAGCTGTTAAGAGATTCAATTACTCTGGCCATGTTAGGCAGGAGCCAAATGAAAGTGTCTCTTGCTGCTGCACAGCACAGTTGATTCTGGAAGCATTTCTGTCTCTAAACTACATACAGACTGAATCTGTTCCTGGTGAGTAAGAAGAGCAAACAGCTCTGGGCAGGGAGGTGGCAGGGAGGTGGCAGACACCTCCCCAGGGCCCTCTCCCAGCCCAGGACTTGTTACTGCCCTCAAACAGGAGTTTGAGCAGGATGCCCTGGGCTTCCAGCAGAAGGTGCAGGACATCGACCGTCGGCTGGGCACCGTGTTCAGCCAGGCCTTCAGCGACGCCCCAGGCCTGGAGCACATCTTCAAGGTCTGTCTGTCTGTCTGTGCCTCCCCTCCCTCCCTGTGAGCCCCACAGAGAGCCCAGACAGGGCTGCAGCTGCAGGCTGTGCCCGTGGGATGGACTTTGGGACAGTGACATCAGGGATGGACTTTGGGACAGTGACATCAGGGATGGACAAGGGGACAGTGACATCAGGGATGGACAAGGGGACAGTGACATTGGGATGGATTTGGGGCGGTGAGATTGGGATGGACAAGGGGACAGTGACATTGGGATGGATTGGGGACAGTGAGTGACACTGGGTTGGATTTGGGGACAGTGACATTGGGATGGATTGGGGACAGCGACATTTTGGGTTGGACTGGGGACAGCGACATTGGGATGACTTGGAGGCAGTGACATTGGGATGGACAAGGGGACAGTGACATTGGGTTGGATTTGGGGACAGTGACGTTGGGATGGACAAAGGGACAGTGACATTGGGATGGATTTGGGGACAGTGACATTGGGATGGACTTGGGTGGGGATGCTCAGCCCTGTGGGTCCCTCTTGAGCCCTGGAGCCGGGGATGTCCCTGCTCCTCACCTGTCGACACAAACAGCAGAGTTTGCTCAGTTTGGGGAAGAGCAGCCAGAGAAATGATTCAGATCAGGGTTTTGGATGGCAGGAGTTGCACTGGCGTCCCTGGGAGCTGGAGGAAAGGCTGCTCTGAGTTCTGAGGCCAGGCTGGACAGGGCTTGGAGTACCCTGGTCTAGTGGAGGTGTTCCTGCCCATGGCAGGGGGTGGAATGAGCTGGGCTTTAAGGTCCCTTCCAACCCAAACCATTCTGAGATTCTCTGATTTCCTGGTGAAAACTGCTGTTAAAACCAGGTGATGATTGTTAATATCAATTTGTTAATACATGGATGAATTTCAACTCTGAAAATTGAGGTTTTCTAGAAATGAGGGGGCTTTGTTTAACAGAGAATCTATCCTGCAGAGAAAGTAAATGGTATTTTCTGGAAAAAATCAGAATAAATATAAAAATTACTATAGAAAATGGCAAGTGATAGCATTTACCTCTGAGTTGTTTTGGGGTTTTTTAAATAGCAAATTTTGAAGAATGACAATTGGAATATGGTTCAACCACAGAGGTCTAAGCATTTCTGTAATAAGACATCCTTTGTGATGTGGTTTAGTGGTGGGATCAGTCAAAGGTGATCTTGGAGTTCTTTTCAAACCTAAATGTCTCTATGAAAGGCAGGAACTACTTGGGAAAGCGGGGCAAAACCTTCCCTTTGACAAATGTCCATCAGTGCAGACCTCTGAGTTACTGAGGAGCTGCATCAGTGAGGAGAATCCCAGTGGGACTTTGTGCCAGAGTTTGACTTTTCCCTGCTCCTTGCCCTGCACAGCTGCTGGCCATGTTCCGGAACCTTCTGGAGCGCCCTGGGATTGCTGAAGTTGTTGCTGACAAGGTCCCTGTGCTGCTCAGCATGTTCAGCACTGCCCTGGACCAGGCCAGGCTCACCTACAGCAGGCACACCCAGGCAGGGCTGCAGCTCGGTGGGTGCCATGTCAGGAGGAAAATAGATTTTACAGGAAACTGGATTTAGGCTAATTTAGGGAGGGAAATAATTTGCTTTTGCTAAAGACACCAGAACTTCCCAAATTGCAAAGGTTTTCAGCTTTCCTGGTGGGAAGTGCCTGGGAATGCTCTGTTGGTGGCATTAAAGCAATGCCCAATGCCAATATCCTTTTTTTTAAATGTGCATGTGTGGGTAATGCTGGAAATGCAAAGGGGAGGTGGGAATTTGGGGTTTGATCAGCTTTTTCCAGATTTATTATTCTTGAGAATGCTGGCACAGAAGGGAATAGGTAAATTCCTATCAGGAAGACTCAGGAAGGCTGTTCTGGAAGTTCTGGGAGAGGCAGCACTGCTGGAACCAGAGCAGGTCAACAAGGGGAGTGGGGAGATTCGTGGAGGACAAGTCCAGCATTTGCTGTGGCTTTGGGGAGTTCTGTGGCTCTGAGATGGGATGGTCCCAGCCAGCTCCCAGCCAGAAATCCTTTCCTCAGTGTCCGTGGGAAGCAGAGAATTGCCCCCAGTCTGGTTCCAGGACGTGCCAGGCTTCTCCTCTGATCCCTTATGGCAAATCCACAGGGGGGTTTGTAGGTTGCAGACTGTGACCGTGTTCACAGGGGTCTGAGGATGAGGGAAGAGATGAGGATCTGACTCCATGTTTCACAAGGCTGATTTATTATTTTATAATATATATTGCATTAAAACTATACTAAAAGAATAGAAGAAAGGGTTTCATAGAATGCTGGCTAAGAATAGAATAGGAAAGAATGATAACAAAGGCTTGTGGTTTGGAGTCTGTCTGAGCCAGCTGGGCTGTGATTGGCCATTAATTAGAAACAACCACATGAGCCCAATCCCAGATGCACCTGTTGCATTCCACAGCAGCAGATAACCATTGGTTACATTTTGTTCCTGAGGCCTCTCAGCTCCTCAGGAGGAAACATCCCAAGGAAAGGATTTTCCATAAAAGATGTCTGTGACAGCAGACGTCCCTGGAGTGACAGAGGCTGGATCAGGGAGGCAGCCTGGCCCAGGGCAGCTCTGTGGGTGCTGTGGGTGCTGTGGGCTTGCAGGGCTGATGGAATGCTGTTCCCCTGTGCCCTGCAGGGTTCCCCCCCCTGCACAAGAACGTCCCTCCCGTGGCCGGAGCGCTGGGCTGGGCGCGGGAGCTGCGGGCGCGGATCCAGGGGCCCTTGGAGCACCTCAGGCACGTCCCAGGGCTGTGAGTGTCTGCTCCAGGTGGGCTGGGACCATCTGGAAACCTCCCTCTGGAGGTTCTCTCTGTGTTGAATGCTATCCAATGGCTGTTGTCATTATAGTGCAGGAGTTCTATTGTCATTACATTGCAAAGGTTCCATATTGCTGGAGTTTTGTGCCTCCCTGATGTTTCTTGTAGGCACCTCCTCTAGGCACTGATTCTTCCTTGTCCTCACAGCAGCCAACTGACTCCAGTTCCCCTCAACTAAATAATCCACTCTTTTGTAACACTCTACTTATTGGCTACAGCTGTGGCCTGTTAAACTCCTGCTTCCAATAGGCCTGCTCCTAATCTTTAATTATTAACCCAGCTGCAACTCTTTAGGGGGTAAGATTACTTTCTATACTACCTTTATTTACTTCTATTCTATAAGATTACTTTCTATACTACCTTTATTTACTTCTATTCTATAAGATTGCTTTCTATACCACCTTTATTTACTTCTATTCTATAAGATTACTTTCTATACCGCCTTTATTTACTTCTATTCTATAAGATTACTTTCTATACTACCTTTATTTACTTATATTCTATCTCCCTACAACTGGCTGTAGCTGAAGCAGTCCTTAGTGAGGAGGTGCCCTGGAGCCATTCACTTCCCTGCCATCTTGGTTTTTTTGAAGAAGTTTTTTAATTGGATGGGTTATTAAGTGATGAGAGGCACAGTGGGACAGTAGATAGGCCCCTCAGCTTTTAACAGAGCCCTAGGTTGTAATTAAAATAGATATTGCAACCTTTCCCACTGTAATTCCTCCAGGACCTGGTTGGGAGCAGCCCAGCTCTTGGGTGCTGGCAGAAGATAACTTTCTGAGCATTAAACAAAGGAACAATCACCCAAGATCAAGAGAACAAACCAGGGCTGGAATTCTCATGGTCCCTGCATTGAGCATTGATTTTACCCCTCTGTGTAGAGCAGTTAAAGACAAATCCTTCAGCAGGGTGGTGTGAGGCTGTTTCCCATGTGCAACTTGAGAGGGAGAAAGGATTGAAAAGAAAAAATGAAGATATGTGTATATATATATTTATATATACTATATTAACTATATAGTATGTTATTGCATACATTTTATTTTTTTTCTATACATTATGTGGAAATACATTTTATACATTATAGAAACAGTCATTCTCACAGCTGTGACCTGCATAAAACTGTCACAGAAAGCTTTCAAGGGTTAAATGTTCAAAAGTGATGCTTGGTAACTGATTTTTCCAGCAGCCCTGGGTCTTTCTCCCATCGCAGCTGCTTCTCCCCATTTTACAGCAGGGAAACACCTGAGAGAGAGCCCAGGTGGCTGGGCAGCCTTGGGCAGGGAGAGGATTTGGGGTGAAATCCAGGATTTGGGGTGAAATCCAGGCAGACTGTGCCTGCAGACTGTGGGGGACCTTGGGAAGGGGGAAATGCAGATGGCAGCCCCCAGCACTAAAGGTGATGAAAGTGAATTATCAAAGTGAAAAATAAGATAAGAAACCCCTGTCTGTTGTGCTGCCAGGAGCTTGGACTCTGCCCGTGGAAGAATGGTGGTGCAGAAATATGAAGAAATGGTCCAGCTGCTCGACAGGTACAGGGGGCAGAGGAAAGCTTCCCCTCCCCTGAGCCACCTTCCAGAACATTTGGCAGCCCAGGGCTTGGGAATGTCCCTTTGCAAGCCCCAGGGAATTCCCTGCCTGGAGAGGAGCAGGGAGCTGGCCCTGGGTACCACAGGTTTGCTGGGATGGCTTCAAGTGAGAATCCTGCAGGGGGGACCAGGGGCATGGATGGGTTTTGAAGATCCCTTCACATTTTTCAGTCCTCAGAGTGGTCTTGGCTTCCACTCAGTTACAGCTGCACCCTCTGGTCTGAGAACTGTGTGGTGCAAGTTTCTCTCTTCTGGCAGGTATCAGGAAAAGCTGTATTTGGACTGGTCCCAGTCAGTCTCAGAGAAATCCCAGTACAACCTGGCTCAGCCTCTCATCCGGCGAGAGGCGCAGAGCAAACTGATCAGGGTCAACTTTGATCCCCAGGTAAGAGCTGCTGCCCCTGGGCTCTCCTGCCCCCCAGGACGTGTCCCCAAGCTGTGGGGGACACCTGGGGGGGTTCTCTGTGCTCTGTGGAGCCCCTCCCATGGGAGTAACCAGGCTCTACCGTAGATCTGCTCTGCCTAAACACCAGCATTGAGTTTGAGCAGAGCAAATTCTGGTTAAAGGCAGTGGCAGAAGTCCCTCAGAGCCAGAGGTGTGGCTGCTGTCAGCGTGTCCACACCACAGTGGTTGATACTGGTGTGGGGAGTGATGGGACATCATCTACAGACACACACTCATGTTGTGTGTACCTGAAACATGAGCTACAAAGGGTGTGAAAAACCCAGGGAAGGTTTGTTTTGTGACTCCAGAAATCCTTGATAGAAAGTGGCACCAGAAGGAGTTGGGTCAGTGGGTTTGAGGCCATGGTGCTATTTTTTAATTATTTTTTTTTATACCAATCATCTCAGCAAACCAAGAGAACTGGAGCCATCTTCTCTTTCACTTTGATAATGGCCAATGGCTCTGGCAGAACAGCATTGCTGGGACTTGTGATGGGGCTCAGCCTCCATCTGAGAGGGGAAGCACAGGGATGGGGATGACTGAGAGCACCAGAGGTGATGGTGACTTTTAGAGGCTGATTGGTGCTTAATAGAGCCAGAGATCAATGGGAAACAGGCCAGGAGCTGTCCAGGCCCTTTCCAGCTTGCTGCTTTGGGAATAAACCAGCAGGACCAGCAGAAGGGGTTGGAGGGAATGCCAGGAGCTGGCAGGGCTGGGCTGACCGGCAGGAACATCCTGTGATGCTCAGAAGGGGCTGGCAGGGCTGTGCTGACCATCAGGAACCCCTGTGATGCTCAGAAGGGTTGGAGGGAGTTCCAGGAGCTGGCAGGGCTGTGCTGACCAGCAGGAACATCCTGTGATGCTCAGAAGGGGTTGGGAGGGCTGTGCTGAGCAGCAGGAACCCCTGTGATGGTCAGAAGGGTTGGAGGGAGTTCCTGGAGCTGGGAGGGCTGTGCTGACCATCAGGAACATGCTGTGATGGTCAGAACAGGTTGGAGGGGGTTTCAGGAGCTGGGAGGGCTGTGCTGACCATCAGGAACATCCTGTGATGCTCAGAAGGGGCTGGCAGGGCTGTGCTGACCATCAGGAACCCCTGTGATGCTCAGAAGGGGCTGGCAGGGCTGTGCTGACCATCAGGAACCCCTGTGATGCTCAGAAGGGGCTGGCAGGGCTGTGCTGACCATCAGGAACCCCTGTGATGCTCAGAAGGGGCTGGCAGGGCTGTGCTGACCAGCAGGAACCCCTGTGATGCTCAGAAGGGGCTGGCAGGGCTGTGCTGACCAGCAGGAACCCCTGTGATGCTCAGACGGGGCTGGCAGGGCTGTGCTGACCAGCAGAGCCCCTTGTGATGGTCAGAACAGGTCGGAGGGGGTTTCAGGGGCTGTGCTGAGCCTGGCTCTGTCCTTGCCTCCCCAGCTGGTGGCCGTGCTCAGGGAGGTGAGCTACCTGAGGGGCAGCGGGGCAGGAGCCATCCCCCCAGCAGCAGCTGAGCTCCATTCCTGCAAGGAATCCCTCTGGCAGCTGGTGGCCAGCCTGGAGCTGATGGGGAACAGCTACAACAAGGTCCTGAGGTCCGTGCTGGAGGTGGAACATCCTCTGGTGCAGGGCCAGCTGCAGGACATCGACCTGAAGCTGAGGGAGGCAGAAGAAACGCTGACCTGGAGGACAGAGGGTGAGCTGGCTCTGTGTGATCCTGGTTTTCCCAGCTTTTACAGAGATGAGGCAACGGGGAGGTGTTTTAAAAGATTTTATTTCATTATCAGTTCCGATGAATAGTGAGACATAAGGGATGTAAAACTCAACTTCATTCCATCAGAAGCCAACCCATTTCCTGGTTGCCATACCTTAAAGATGTTTTTCAGCCTATTAGCTTTTGCCCCACAATGCTGCTGTTACTTCTAACACCAACCACCTGTATTTTTACCTATATTTAACACCAATCACCTGTATTTTTACCTGTATTTTTACCTGTATTTTTACCTGTATTTTTACCTGTATTTAACACCAATCACCTATATTCTAACCTATATTTTTACCTATTTTTTAACCTATATTTAACACCAATCACCTATATTTTTACCTATATTTAAAACCAATCACCTATATTCCAACCTATATTTTTACCTGTATTTAACACCAATCACCTATATTCTAACCTATATTTTTACCTATTTTTAACCTATATTTTTACCTATATTTAACACCAATCACCTGTATTTTTACCTGTATTTTTACCTGTATTTAACACCAATCACCTATATTTTAACCTGAATTTAACACCAATCACCTATACTTTTACCTATATTTTAACCTATATTTAACACTAATCACCTATATTTTAACCTATATTTAACACCAATCCCCTATATTTTTGCCCCACATCATGCTGCAGTGCATTTTCACAGTTCTAATTCTCCAAAATATCTGGTCTTTTTGCAGAGCTACATTTTGAAACTTGTTTAAAACTTTTTTCCAGTTCAATCTCTCTCCACAATGTCACCTCTATTCCATGGCCTTCCTAAGCCAGCACACCTTATCTCAGAGTTTGCACACAGGTGTACAAGGCTGTGGCAGCTTTCTGTCAGGTTTTGAGAATTCTTCACAAGCCCATTTCCCACAGTGTGACACTGGGGCTCCTCCTGCTCCCTGGTTCCCAGTGGCAATTCCCAGTAGGGCAGGGCTCTCTCTGCTGTATCCAGCACTGGGAGGATGAGGAGCAGCTCCTGGTGTGTTTTCTCCTTCCCACATCCCCTTGATCCCCTGGGGCTGTGGGCAGGATTCTGCTCCCTCAGGTTTAGCCCAGGCTGTGGGGAGGAGAGGCTCTGGTGGTCCCTGCTGAGCCTTGTTGGGGTGGGGTGTGGTGGTGTTTACAGGGGCCTCAGGATGAGAGAAGAGACGAGAATCTTGACTTTGTTTCAGAGGGCTGATTTATTATTTTATTTTATATATATATATATATATATATATATATATATATATATACATATTATACTATATTATATTGTATTTATTATATTTATTATATTTATTATATTATAGTGTATCATAGTATAGTATATCACATAGTATATTATATCATAGTATATCATAGTATATTATATTATATCCTAGTATATTATAGTATATTCAAACTATATTAAAAGAATAGAAGAAATTATTTCATTAGAAGGTTAGCAAGGAATGGAAAAAGAATGGAATCGTAATGATAATCAAATTTAGTGACTGACCAGGCAGTCTGAGACAGCTGGACTGTGATTGGCCATTAATTAAAAACAACCACATGAGACCAATCACAGATGCACTTGTTGCATTCTACAGCAGCAGATAATCATTGTTTACATTTAGTTTCTGAGGCTTTTCAGCTTCTCAGGAGAAAAAAATCTTGGCAAAGGGGATTTTTCAGAAAATATCATAACTACAGTAGGGGAGAGGTAGAGGTGGCTCTGCTGCTCCAGGTGGTGAATCTCTTGCCTTAAGGATGAGTGAGAAACACGTGAGACCACGGGGAAAAGGTCTAAAGGAGAGAACAGCAGAGCTTGTCTGTCCCAGCAGCTCTGGCAATGGAGGCTCAACCATCTCGTTTTCCCCAGGTGTCTGGGATCGCATCTCCGGGGTGGTGGGTGATGTCTGTGACCTGGAGCAGAGGGTGCAGAAGGCCAAGGACAACGTTGGGGAGATGCAGAGCATCGTGCGCTCGTGGGGGTCGCCCATGCTGGAGAGGAGGGACGCCAAGAGGGAGGCGGTGCTGGGCCTGGAGGAGTGCCAGGAGCGCCTGGAGCGGAGCTACAGCCTGGTCAGCCAGGGTGGGCACAGGATCCACTCCCTGCTGAAGGTGAGGGGGCACCTGCAGGGCTGAGGGGCTCCGTGTTGTCCCTGTGGCACTGAAAACGTCCAGAGTGCATTGCCTGAAATGAACTCCCTGAACCCACCTGAGAACGTGCCCCGGGGGGAATTGGTGCTGCCTGGGAGGGTGGGGTGAGCTGGATGGGGTGTGGGGCTGGCTGGGCTCCCAGCCCTGGGCAGGACCAGCAGCAGCTCCAGCCCAGGAAGGGTCTGGCTGAAGCCCTGGCTGCTGGAGAGCCACTAGAGGGGAGTGGTGCATCGGGATTGGGATGCTGCTCCCAGGAAAAATCCCCTCTGAGGCGCTCACCTGGGAACAGAGGCTGGAGCTGACCCATTGGTTTCAGGCTCTGTCCCTCTGTGCAGCAGGAGGTGATGCTGAGCACCCAGGGAGAAGCTGAGTGACAGGAGAGAAACTCTGTCCCAAACCTTGGTGCTTTCTCAGCAGTTTTGCCACAGCTCAGAGTCCTCTGCAGGCCAGGAGAAAGCCCAGAGCTCTGCCCCTCACCTGCCTGGAGCCAGGTGTTGTGCATGTCAGGGACAGCCCCTGGCCTGGAGGAGATGGGTTATGGGCCAGCCCTCTCCTGAGGGCATGTCTGGCCTTGGACTCTGAAGAGAACCAGATGGGTTCATCAGGATGGGCCTTGAGACTCCCAGTTCTCCCTGCCCCAGGGGTGCAAAGCAGCCCCAAGTCCCGTGGCCTCAAAGAAGAGGGAGGAAAACATGTGGAACACTTTCTAAGGCTCTTGTGCCCTCCATTTTCACCTTGAAGTGTTCCTGGAGACCACGCAGCCCTCGACAGGAGCAAATTGTGGCCATGCCCCAGTAGGAAGATCCACCTCCCTGAGGCTGACACTGCTGTGCTGCCCTTGGCTGTGGGGCAGTGGTGCCTTCACAAAGCATCAACTTCAGCATCAGCACCTCCTTACCCATGCTTAGTGAACCCTGTATTACAGGCAAGGAGGAGTTTTGGGCACACTCAGCCCTGCTGTGTGTGAAGGAATCTTTGTCTTCCAGGAAAACCAGAGCCTCCTACGTGCGGAGCCAGCCTCTGATGCCTGGAAGGTGTATTTGGATTATGTGGATGAGATAGTCCTGGGTGGACTCTTCACTGCCATTGAGTGCTCCCTGAAATACCTCCTGGAGAACACAGGTGACACCTGGCTCCTGTCCCTTGGCTGCAGGGGCTGCTCAGCCTCTCCAAGGGGACATCTCTGGTTGTGATCCCCTCATTCTCAGTGCTTGTTCTTTTTTTCCTGGCTTTCCCCTGGCTCTGGAGGAAAGCAGTTGTTCTCTTTTTCCTGGCCTCTCCAAGGGGACATCTCTGGCTGTGCTCTCTCATTCTTAGTGCTTGTTCTCTTCTTCCTGGCCTCTCCAAGGGGACATCTCTGGCTGTGCTCCCCTCATTCTCAGTGCTTGTTCTCTTTTTCCTGGCTTTCCTCTGGCACTGGAGCCTCCAGGAAGGGAGGGTGACTCCAGCTCTGGTCACTGCTCAGGGGGAGGGATGGAGGTGACTGCGCTGTCTGCAAGGGTTAATGGAGAGAGACACCTGAGGCTTCTCCCACACCTGTGCTTGGACATCAGTCACCTCCCACCCTCCCATGCCCAAAGCAGCCGGGTGGCCCCATCCTTCCTCTGTGGGGAGGCTCAAGAGCCACTTCTGCTCCTGAAAGGCACCAAACAAAGCCCTCAGTCCCTGAGCATTAGTCCTGGGCAGAGGTGAGCTGGGCTCAGGAGTCCCCAGCCCAGCCCTCCTTGCTCTGCTGAGAGCAGCTTGTGTGCAGCTGAAGCACATCCCCAGGAACACTTCCCTTCTGGATGTGAGGCACAATGAGCCGGAGAATTGCAGGCAGTTCTTCACCATCTTGTTAAAAACTTGCCTAGGTTGTCACATTTGCATCTGGCTTCAGTTTCTGGTTGCTATTTGGGTTTTTTTTTTGCATGCCTTTCACCACTAAATTAAAGAGACACTTGGTTCCTGTTGTTTTTCTCCTCTGCAAGCACTTCCATGCTGGCATTGTTCAGCTCTCACACTCCCTCTGCATTACCTGAAGAGCCTTTCCTCCTCAGGGTGTTTTCTGCTCCTTACATCACTTGTGTCTCACCTGTTCCCCACTGGTTTTGGTGGTTAGCACAGCACAGCTGGTTTGCCAACACCTCCATGGGTTGTGCAGGCCCCAGTGAGTGCGTGTGTGCCACCACACCCTCCTGCTGTCCCTGCAGGCCGTGTGGCACCTTGTAATAGGACCTCAGTGCCTCGAGATTCCTTGAAAAAGACCCTGACATCTCTGTTCTTCCCTACCAGATCCCAAGGCAGGGCTCGCTCCCCTCTTTGAGGTGCAGCTGGATTTGGTGATCCCAGATTTGGTGTTTCGCCCTCCCTTGGACCCTGGTGCCAGGGATGGCTTCTGTGACATGGTGGAAAGTCTTCTCCAGGGCATCTTCCACATCTCCTCGCTGGTGCCCCGGCTGGCTGCACACAGTGGCTTCTGCCACTACCAGGTCTGTGCTCTGGGGCTCCCCTGGGCTGGGGGACGTGAGGAGGTGCCACGTGCTCCCACCTCACTGTGCTCTCCTCTCCCGTCCCTCTCCACTCTCTCCTTTCTCTTCTCTGCCTTCTTCCCTCTTCTCTCTTCCCTTTCTCTCATCTCTCCTTTCTCTCCTCTTTCCCCTCTCTCTTCTCCCTTCTTCTTCTTTTTCTCCTTTCCCTTCTTCTTCTTCTTCTTGTTCTCCTTTCCCTTCTTCTTCTTCTTCTTGTTCTCCTTTCCCTTCTTCTTCTTCTTCTTGTTCTCCTTTCCCTTCTTCTTCTTTTCTCCTTTCCCTCCTTCTCTCTCCTTTCCCTTCACTCTCCTTTCTCCTCTCCCCTTCTCCTTTCCCTTTTCCTCTCTCCTTTCCCTTCCTCCTCTCTCCACTCTCCCTTCTCCTCCATTCCCCCTCTCCCCTTCTCCCTGTGCCCACCAGGCTGCCCTGGAGGCCATGCCCTCGCTGTGCTCGTGCCGCCAGGAGCTGCTGGCCCGGGCTCAGGCAGCGGCCACCGCGTGCCGCGAGCACCGCGTGGGGCTGGAGCGGCGCTTCTGTCACCTCCTGGCCCAGGACAGCAGGGAGCTGGGCCACCACCTCCTGGCCCAGGACAGCAGGGAGCTGGGCCACCACCTCCTGGCCCAGGACAGCAGGGAGCTGGGCCACCACCTCCACGTCCCCATGCCCATGGACATCAATGGCCACGGCATCCCCGAGGCACCAGCCACGCTGCAGCAGTTCAGAGAGCAGCTGGGCTCCTATGAGCAGCTCTACGAGGAGGTGGCTCGAATGCAGCCCCTCTGCACCTTCCAGGGCTGGCTGAGGCTGGATGTGAGGCCCTTCAAGGCAGCCTTGCTCAATGAGATTAAAAGGTGGAGCTTGGTGTTCAAGCAGCACCTCCTGGACCATGTCACGCACAGGTGAGGGTTGGTTCTGCCTCTGATCGTGGAGTTTCTCTTGTCTGGGCTGGGCTGTGTCATTTCCCACTCATGGCCAAAGGATAGAGAATCATGGAATACCTTTCCCTTCTTCTTCTCTTTCTCCTTTCCCCTGGGTTGGAAGGGATCCACAAGGACCTCCCAGTGCAGCTCCTGGCCCTGCACAGGCACCCAAACAATCCCGCCCTGGGCATCCCTGGGAGCATTGTCCAAATGCTCCTGGAGCTCTGGCAGCCTCAGAGCTGTGACGACCTCCAGAGCTAATACAGGAGCAAGAGAAAGGCCCATGCTGCACAGCAGGTCCTTCCCAGTGCTGAGTCTTCCATGCCCTGGTCTCTGCTTGTGTGTGAGCTGGGAGCAGTGGCAATCCTTGGTGCCCTGACATCCCTGGGACCTGATGTAGGGTGTTAGACAGTGTGTGTTTGCCCAAGGTGTGTGTTTTGCTCCTCCTGAGCCAAATAATCCCATCTCTGCCAGGGCTCTGGCCTTGCTTGACTGGATGTGATGGTGGCCATCAATGAATCTGCATTAATGTTGTGAGGTTTCTAACAGCCCATGATTCAGGTGGCCTGGCATGAGCAGTCATGGGAAGGTGTCATGGAGCAGTTTGGGCTCCAACTTTTGCATTACCACGTGTTCCTTGCTCTGAAGAGCTGCTCTGGTCTGTGCAGGACCGTGCCCTGGGTGATTTATTGGTCACAACTGAAGGTTGTCCTAGGTTCTGGGTGCTCCCAGGGGAGTGCTCACGGGCAGCTGAAGAGGAGGCTGCTGCGTGGGGTGGTGATGTGATCTCTGGTGTGCTTTTCAGCACCATAAATCTGTCTGATAATTTCTTTGCACAGAGGTTTAGTGTGGCAGAGAATGAGCATTTAGGAGCTGCTATTGAGAGTCCCTGAGTCAGCAGTTTAGTCTTTATTAGGTGAAGTGTTTAAGTATACTTTTAGTCCCAGCAGCATCCATTTAAGCAGGCACTTAAGAAGTGTTTTGAGAGCCAGGAGCCCAGTGCTCCTCTGCTGAAAGTGCCCAGTCGCTGGTGAGGTTAAGAACAGGATAAGCAGGTGAGGAAACGTGCCCCAAACTCTCCTGTCTGTGATGGTTTATGGCTCAAGGGCTTTGAGAGACAGGGATCTTAATTTTAAAGACCTGGAGGGATTTTTTTTCCTCCCACAAATGTACAGTTGCTTTTCTAAACTGCTGTGAATTTGCATCACCTGCAGGAGGGAGCTGCCCTGTGAAGAGAGGCAGTGCATGAAGGACAATCCCTGTTTGTTACAGCTTTGAAACGTGTCAGGTTCACCTGGGGAACTTGGATTCCTGTAGTGGAAGAGGTGGGGTGAAAACCATCACAGGATCCCAGAGTGGTTTGGGCTGGAAGGGATCTTAGAGCCCACCCAGTGCCACCCCTGCCATGGCAGGGACACCTTCCCCTGTCCCAGGCTGCTCCCAGTCCTGTCCAGCCTGGCCTTGGACATTTCCAGGGATCCAGGGGCAGCCACAGCTGCTCTGGGCACCCCATGCTGGTGTCCCCCAACCCTCCCAGTAAAAACTGGGACAGTAAAGCCTGTGCTCTGACAGCCCCCCTGAGATCCCTGTCTCTGTTCAAGCACTCTGACTCCAACTTGAGAAGTCCCAACTTGTCTTTCTGCTCCTTGGGGGAACCTGTACAACATTCAGGGACCTTTGAGCAGGAATTGCAGTTCTGAGGCTGGAATATTAACTCCAGAGGAGCTGGGAGAATAATAATTCCAGGGGAGCTGCCCTCACCCTGTGCTTCCTCCCCTGCTCTGCAGCTTGGCTGACCTGGACGAGTTCATCCAAACTGCCGAGAGAGGTCTGAGCAGAAAGGTGGAGAGAGGTGACTACAGTGGCTTGGTGGAGGTCATGGGTCACCTGCTGGCTGTGAAGGAACGTCACAGTGCCACTGATGCCATGTTTGAGCCCCTGAAGGAGACCATTGAGCTGCTGAGGACCTATGAGCAGCAGCTGCCTGAGGAAGTCCACCAGCAGCTGGAGGTGGGTGAGGGTTTGTGGTGGGCACAGCCCAGGAGCAGAAGGCAAAGGGGGCAGGAGTGGAGGAGCATCCCAGGCATATTCAAGGCTCCCTGTCATTAGAGGGCCTCATTGGGCAGCCTTTTGCTATTGCAGGATGTGCCTTAGTAGCTCTAAATGTTGAGATTTTTTTCTTTTAAAGCAGAGATTAAGCCTTTTGTTATGTGTGAAAAACATGGAATTGCCTGCTCCAACTCCCAGTGATTGCTCTTGAAAAAAAATTAATGCATTTTCAGATCCATCTGTTAATTAGGTGGAATTATAATTATTTTTAAATAAGCTGGTTCTTGGCAGCTATGGAGATGGGGAGGATAATGTTGGCAGAGGAGCTGCCTTCCCACAGGACTTCAGTTCTCCTCTGGGTCGAGACCACCAGATCTGCTTTACCCAGAGGACATCCCTGGGAGCAGGTTGTGAAAATATTTTGGCATCTTTCCACATCTGGCTCTCATGAGTCAGTTCTTTGGGAATTCCTTTCTTTTCTGCAAAGGGGACCATGAGAAGGTTGTAAGAGATGGTGAGTGTTGGGGGACAGAGACAAGCCCTGCCAGCTGTGTCTTCATCCACCACAAAACCCAGTCCTGTGGGGAGCCCAGCCCCACTAAACCCTCCTGCCTGGGAGCTGCTGGGGTGTTCCTGCTTGTGCAAATACCTTCAAATACCTGATTTACTTTGCTGAGAGAAGAAATGAGGGTGTGGAGCAGGAGCAGCCATCCAGATGCAGGAGACAGCCAAAGAATTGTTCTTTCTGGCGAGTGACAGCAACGTTTGTGCGTGAATGATTCATTCCCTCCTGTATGCAGTGGGAAAAGCAGAAGTTCCTCCAGGCTCCTCTCCCTCCCTGGAGATGGATGGGCTGGAGCTGCTGCTGGGGAGGAAGAGAAGGAGGCAGCTCTGTGTGTGGTCATTGATTTCTGCTGAGGCTGTGGTGAAAAATGCCAGGAGGAGACCCCTCAGGAGGGGCTGGCCCTGCCCTGGCCATCTCTGCTGCCTCAGAGCTGCCTGCAGCTCCTTCCCTTCTTTCCATTCTGGGTCTCCATTAATCTCCTCAGGAGTGTGAGCTGGGATGGAGAGAAACCCAGAATCTTTCCTGTGGGCTTGCACAGCTCATGGAGAGGAGGGGACCCGGGGACAGCAGAGCCCATGGCAATCATGGAATTGTTAATGTTGGAAAAGACCTTAGGGATGATAAAATGTCACCATCCACCCAGCACCACAACTGTGATCACCACTAAAGCACGTCCCCAGGTGCCACAGCCACAGGGTTTTGAACACTTCCAGGGATGGTGACTCCACCCCTGCCCTGGGCAGCCTCTTCTGATGCTTTACAACCCTTCCTATGAACTTTTTTCTTCATATCCAATCTAAACCCCCTGAGGCATGACTTGGGCCATCCCAACCACCCTCCCTTGCAGTTTTAGCCATGGGATCTGTGGCTTTTCCCATTCCATGGTTATCCATGAGCAGATCCCACCCTGCAGAGCCCCTCCTGCCTCCCAGCAGTGTGGCAGCAGCTCTCTGGCCTCAGAGCAAACACAAATCTTCCCAGGCATTTTCCCTGGGGAAAGCTGTGAGAAAGCTCAGAAAAAGAATTAAAACAAATCTTATCTCCACTTGCTGCACCTGTTGCTAGGCAAATGTGGAATGTGTTATGGAGATTTGTTTACCAAAGGGTGGTGGTGTATTGTGTTTGTTGAGATTTTTGTGGGAGGGAGGAATGATGTATTTGATTTTATGTTTTTAGAGGGTTAATCTTTTTATGATGCTATATTATATTAAAGAATACTATATAAACTATATTAAAGAATAAGAAAGGACACTTACAAAATGCTAAAAAGATAATGAAAATTCTTAACTCTTTTTAGAGTCCCAACACAGCTTGGCCCTGATTGGTCAGTGAGTGAAAACAACTCACAGCAGAATCCAATGAAACAATTATTTGTGAGTAAACAATCTCTAAACACATTCTAGACGAGCACAACACAAGAGAAACATATAAGATAAGAATTGTTTTCCTTTTTTATGAAGCTTCTCAGTTTCCCAGGAGAAAAGTCCTGAGCAAAGAGATTTTTCAGAAAATGTGAATACCACAGTGGTGTTTCCTTGGTTGACCAATGAGGTCAAAGCTCTATCAAGCAGGCTAGAAGGGGTTATGGGTTTCTTAAGAATAGAGTAAGAGTATAATATAGAAGAATAAAGCAATGGTTCAGTGTCACTGATATATTTTATGAAAAATTCTTTTGCCAGGATTTCTTCTCCTAGGAAGCTGGGAAGCTTCAGCTTCTCATTGTTTTACTCCTCTGGAATGTGATTTGGAGAATTGTTTATCCAGCATGTGAAGTGTTTTTAATTAATGGCCAGTCACAGCCAGCTGTGTTGGACTCTCTGAGTCTGCCATGAGATTTTATTATGCATTCTTTTCCAACCTTCTGATGTCTCCTTTCTCTTTCTTTAGTATAGTTTTAGTATAGCGTTTATAACGTATAGCATAACGTAGTATAGTATAATATAATATATTATGATATGATATAACATAATATAATATGATACAATATAACATAACATAACATGACACAACATAACACAATACATAACATAACATAGAACATATATTATATTAATTATATTATACAATACAATATTATATTATACAATATAATATAAAATATAATATAACATAGTATAACAGTATAATATAACATAGTATAACATATAATATAGTATAGTATAATATAACATAGTATAGGATATAATATAGTATAGTATAATATAGTATAATAAAGTATAACACATAATATAACACATAATATAACACATAATATAACACATAATATAAGCCTTCTAAAACATGGAGTCAAGATTCTCATCTCTTCCCTCATCCTGAGGACCCTCAAACACCACCCCTGTTCAGCTTTCTGCACCATGGGGTCAGTGCTAATCACTAATCACACAGTGCTAAATACACCATCTGCACCATGGGGTCAGTGCCAATCCCCCTGTGTCAGGGGGACCCAGCAGTGCCGCTGTGCACCATGGGGTCAGTGCCAATCCCCCTGTGTCAGGGAGAACCAGCAGTACCACTGTGCACCATGGGGTCAGTGCCAATGGGGGACCCAGCAGTGCCACTGTGCACCATGGGGTCAGTGCCAATGGGGGACCCAGCAGTGCCGCTGTGCACCATGGGGTCAGTGCCAATCCCCCTGTGTCAGGGGGACCCAGCAGTGCTGCTGTGCACCATGGGGTCAGTGCCAATGGGGGACCCAGCAGTGCCGCTGTGCACCATGGGGTCAGTGCCAATCCCCCCTGTGTCAGGGGGACCCAGCAGTGCCACTGTGCACCATGGGGTCAGTGCCAATCCCCCCTGTGTCAGGGGGACCCAGCAGTGCCGCTGTGCACCATGGGGTCAGTGCCAATCCCCCCTGTGTCAGGGGGACCCAGCAGTGCCGCTGTGCACCATGGGGTCAGTGCCAATCCCCCCTGTGTCAGGGGGACCCAGCAGTGCCGCTGTGCACCATGGGGTCAGTGCCAATGGGGACCCAGCAGTGCTGCTGTGCACCATGGGGTCAGTGCCAATGGGGACCCAGCACTGCTGCTGTGCACCATGGGGTCAGTGCCAATCCCCCCTGTGTCAGGGGGACCCAGCAGTGCTGCTGTGCACCATGGGGTCAGTGCCAATCCCCCTGTGTCAGGGGGACCCAGCAGTGCCGCTGTGCACCATGGGGTCAGTGCCAATCCCCCGTGTGTCAGGGGGACCCAGCAGTGCCGCTGTGCCCGCAGGAGCTGCCGGAGAAGTGGGGCCAGGTGAAGAAGCTGGCGGTGGCCGTGAAGCAGCAGGTGGCTCCTCTGCAGGCGGCCGAGGTGACCGCGCTGCGCCAGAGCTGCGCCGCCTTCGACGCCCAGCAGCAGCGGCTCCGCGAGCGCTTCGCCACGGAGGCTCCCTTCAGGTACAGCTCTTCCAGCACCAAGCAGCCTCAGGAACGTTTGAAGGAGCTGGGGTTGTTTAGCCTGTCCTGGGTTTGTTGTGGTTGGTACGGCTTTTGAGGTGTTAAAAGTTTTTTTCCCCAGCTCCGCGCTCGAAGGAGAAGTTGGGATTCTTCGGCTTTGGTTTTCAAGGTTGTTTATTTTCTCTTATTTAACACATGCTTTTTTGGATCTGCAGAAGTTTGTTCAGCAGGTCAGGTTGAGGCACACTGACTGCCCTCAGGGTGGTGTTATCTTTTTATACTAAAAACTATGTGTACTTTATTTATAATAATTTTTTAATACTTATCACTTATGTTAGACAGTTTGTGTTTACTCCAAACTAATCTAAAAGTGCTACTTTAGAATCTTTAATGCTACTTTATCACAGCAGAAGATGGAGGACAAGAAGAAGAAGGAGAAAGGGTGGACACATCTAGATTCCTCCATCTTGCCTCCTGACTCCCATTTTAAAAACTTTAAAATTCTACATTTTCACCTGATGATAAATTAACTATCATTCTATTCAAACTCTTGTGGCTTGCAATTCTTTGCACAAAGTTGGTAATTGTTTTTTCCATGGGTTAAAATGGAAGGCACAGGTGTTTTTGACTCCGTGCCAAGGTCTCTGAGCCCCCTGCCAGGGTCTCGAGTCCTCCAGGGCAGCCAGAGGAATGTCCTGGGTTCTGAGATGCCTGGAGAAGAGGAGGCTCAGGGGTGCCCTCATTGCTCTCTACACCTTCCTGAAGGGAGGTTGCAGATAGGTGGGGTTGGTCTCTCTCACCAGGCAGCACTGACAGAACCAGAGGACACAGTCTCCAGCTACCTCAGGGAAGGGATAGGTTGGATATTAGGAAGAAATTTTTCACCAAAAAATAATAAAGTATTGGAATGCTCTTCCCAGGGAGGTGGTAGAATCACCATCTCTGGAAGTGTTTAAAAAAAGCCTGGACATGGCACTTGGTGCTAGAGTCTGGTTGAGGTGTTAGGGCATAGGTTGGACTCAATGATCTTAGAGGTCTCTTCCAACCTCGTTATTGTGTGATTCTGTGATTCTGAGCCAACAGAAAGAAGAGCTCATCCCTGTGATGCCCTGGAGTGGCTGCCTAGAACAGAGACTGGACAGAGGTAGAGAATAAAGTGGGTCCTTATTAAAGGCCCTCCATAGCTTCCCCTTGGACAGCCAAAGCCTCACAGAGGCTGCACCCAGGATGAATAATGGTAACCAGTTTTTCAGACAGAAATAAGTTTGGTCTGTTGGCAGATCAGGGGTTAATCCTCCACTTACATCTTCAGCTAATGAAGTCATATTCCCCAGTTTGCTCCCCACAATTCACTTTTGTTTATGCTTTTCTAGGGTGAGGCTGTGGTGTGTCCTTGGATCTCAGGCCCAGAGGGATTGTTCTGTCTGACCAAGATGTGAGGCAGTTATCTACACTTTTATGGAGTTCATAGCTATGCGCTAATGCGCTAGAGGATTTGAAAAATATAAAAGCTGAAATCTGAAGGCATCACCTGCATGTCCTGGTGATGCACAGCTCTCCTCCCTGCTGTGCCTGCAGTGCTGTGTCCCTGGAAGAGGCTGGGTTTGGGTGGTGTCAGCAGTGCCACGTGGCTCAGCCATCAGGGTGTAGTAGAGACCTTTCATCTCTCCTGTGGCTCTCAGAGGCTCTGTTTGTTTTATGGGTCCTTTAGAAGTTGTTACAATGTCACTTGTGAAGAATAAACGTTTATTTCTAGGTTTGACACCGAAAAGCCTTATCAACTGCTGGATGCAAAGCACATGGAGATTAAAGAGATGGAGTCAGCCATGACCTCGATTTATGAATCAGCTGGTCTGTTTGAAGTCATGGTGCCGGAGTACAAACAGCTGAAGCAGTGCAGGAGGGAGCTGTGTCTGCTCAAAGAGCTCTGGGACATGATCTCCCTGGTGAACACCAGCCTTGAGGACTGGCAGACCACCAGATGGGTGGACATTAACGTGGAGAACATGGATCTGGAGTGCAAGAAGTTTGCAAGAGAGATTCGGAATTTGGACAAGGAGATGAGGGCGTGGGATGCTTTCAGCGGGCTGGACAGCAAGGTGAAGAACATGCTGACAGCCCTCAAGGCTGTGGCAGAACTTCAAAATCCTGCCATCAGGGAGAGGCACTGGAACCAGCTGATGCAGGTGACGGGCGTGAGGTTTGTGATGGACTCGGACACCACCCTGGCTGACCTCCTCAAGCTCAACCTGCATGAATTTGAGGGGGAGGTCCATGGCATTGTGGACAAAGCAGTGAGAGAAATGAGCATGGAGAAGGTGCTGAAGGAGCTGAGGGTGACCTGGAGCTCCAGGGAGTTTCAGTACGAGCCTCACCCCCGCACCCACACCCCCTTGCTGAAGTCAGATGAGGAGCTCATTGAAACTCTAGAGGACAACCAGGTGCAGCTGCAGAATTTAATGTCCTCCAAGTACATTGCCTTCTTCCTGGAGGAGGTGTCTGCCTGGCAGAGGAAGCTCTCCACTGCTGACTCCATCATCTCCCTGTGGTTCGAGGTGCAGCGCACGTGGTCTCACCTGGAGAGCATTTTCATAGGCTCAGAGGACATCAGGGCACAGCTGCCCCAGGTATGAGCCCCCAAATCCCAAATTCCTGCTTGGGAAGTGTTGAAGAACAGGCTTCATTATTAAATGGGGTTACCTATGGTGCCAAATCCCCCAAAGCAGGGCTGTTCTCCTGCTGCCTCGCTCCTCTGGAGGCTCTCTCAGTGCTCTGATTGCTCCCCAAGGATGGATTTGTACCCCAGGCTGTGCTTGAGCCATGCTGAGGGGCTGATCTTCTCCCTTGCAGCACTGCATGGCAAACACAGAGCTCCTGGGTGCTGAGTGAGAGCTGCTGCCTTCCTTCAGTGCTGCAGGCATGTTCCCTCTTCCTTCAGAGGGGAGAGGACTGAGGTCATTGCTCAGACACTGCAAATCATCAAACAGAGCTGGCCCAGGCAGCTTTGGCAGCTTTCCCTTTCTTTCCTTCCACTCTGGTGCTGTGGGAGAGCAGCTCTTCTCCTGCTCCTGCTCTGGGGAGCTCCTCAGGTGCCTCCAGCCCAGCTCCCAGTGTTATTCCAGGCTCCCAGCCATGCTGAGCAGGAACAAGCCTTTCACTGGTGAAGGGAGGAGCTCTGCCCTCACCCCAAAGGCAGCTCTCAAAGGATGGGATCTCTCAGCACACCCAGAGAACGTTGCTGTGTCCTTTGTGTCCCTTTGTAGGACTCCAAACGTTTTGAAGGCATTGATGTGGATTTTAAAGAGCTGGCCAATGAAGTTCAGAAAACCCCAAATGTGGTTGAAGCCACCAATAAACCAGGTCTGTCCCAGCAGCTGGAGGACATCCAGAGCAGGTAGGTAGAGCATCAGTCCCAGGGTTTTGTCAGAGGCTGGAATCAGCCATGAGAAGCTGAACCTGTGCTCTGAGGCTTTTACTGAGGCTCTGCTTCCTCTGCAGTCACAAATCTCCAGCTTTTCTGATCTGTCTCAAGTCTCTGTGTTTGTGACCCATCACCCTGTGAGGGTGGGCAGCCCTGGCACAGGTGCCCAGAGCAGCTGGGGCTGCCCCTGGATCCCTGGCAGTGCCCAAGACCAGGTTGGACAGGGCTGGGAGCAGCCTGGGACAGGCTGGGCTTTGAGCTCCCTTCCAATCCAAACCCTCCTGTGATTTTGTGATCAAAAAAAGCAGAGCTGAGCCCATTTAATTTACAAAATGATCCCTGTGTACCCTTGAGGCATAACACAGCTCCCTGAGACAGACCTGAGTGCCCTGGGATGGAGACACTTCTCACTTAACATATGAATCTGCCTGAAAACCACTTCAAAGTCCATGCTAAGCTGTTGTGTCAGTAGCAGCTCTCCATTTCAAATAGGGATTTTATTTTATTTTCAATCGAACAAGGCCAATGTTCCTCACAGAGAATGTTATTTAGGAACTTTGTAAGCTCAGCAGCAGTTTAGCATGTGAACACTGCAAGATTCATTTTAGATCGGAGCAAACAACTTTCCTTTCATGCTTTGCAAACACAAAAAGCTGAGTTGGTTGGAATCAGACTTTAAAATGTGGCTCATTAGAATAAAAGCAGCTCTGGAAATGTTCATCCCAGTGGATGCCACCACCTGTGGCAGCTATGAGCTTGTCTAAAGCAGCGGGTCAGACTGCAAACCTTTCCAACCTCTTCTTCCCCTTGTGCTGCTGCTTTTTCATCAGGCTGCCCTGACTCCTGGGTGTTTGACCCCTGGAGTAGAGTGAGCTGTGAGTTCCCTTGTGCTTTGTGGATCTGTTCAGGGCTGGGGGCAGGAGCAGCCTGCAGGCTCAGCTCGTGCCTGGCATTTCCCCATGGTGGGGAGAACCTGTGTGATGAGGGCAGCATGAAGCATGGCAGGGTATTCACCCACCTGAACCGGGCTCTGCTTTGTCTCCCCAGGTTGTCTCTGTGTGAGAAGGCTTTGGCTGAATATTTGGACATGAAAAGGTTGGCTTTTCCCAGATTTTACTTCATTTCTTCTGCAGATTTACTGGATATTCTTTCCAATGGCACCAACCCACATCTGGTAAGGCTTGTGCTGCGCCACCTTTGCATTTTCAGGAGTGTCACAGTGGAAGGTGTTGTCCTGGGACTCTCCCCAGTGTCCTTTCTGGAGGGATTTTCTCCCATCCTACATGGATTAACAACTCCTTCACAGCTGATCTCCACCTGCCATTGCTGACAGGCAGCCCTGCCCCAGGTGTTGTGTGATCTGACCCTGGGGATGCTCATGGCAGGTTCAGAGAGCCCCTCTGTGGGCTTTGTGCCATAAAAACAGGGCTTTGCTCCTGCTGGGATACAGCAAGGTTGCAGGAAAACGACTTCCATGAAGATCTCATCCAAAAATTGTTGCTGACCTTGGATCCCAGCCTGGAATGGCACCAAACAAAGACCCCCAGGTTGGGCATTCCAGTGTGGGAGGGCTGAGCACTGGTGGCTTATAGAGGGCTGATTTTTTTAGGCAGAAGAGGCAATTTCCAGGCAGTGCCTCTGCCTTCCCCCTGCAAAGGCTTTGGGATGTCCTGATGGCAGGGCAGGGATGAGCACAGCCTGCAGGAGCTGAGCACAGCCTGCAGGAGCTGAGCACAGCCTGCAGGAGCTGAGCAGCCAGGCCAGGCAGTGGCTGTGGCCAGGTGCTGTCTGACCCTGCACTGGGTTTCTGGGATGGGCTCTGAATGCCAGGTGTGGGGAATCCCCCCAAACACACCATTGCTCCTCCCAAATCCCCCAAACACACCATTGCTCCTCCCAAATCCCCCAAACACACCATTGCTCCTCCCAAATCTCCCAAACACACCATTGCTCCTCCCAAGCACACCATTCCTCGTCCTGGCTGGGCAGGATTGCTGGATCATCCCAAGGAGGAGCTGGCAGTGACCCTCCTGTTGTAGGAAATGGCTTCCCAGTTGCCTTCCCCCCATTGCCAGGGATCAGAACCCTCTGTGCCCCGTGGGCAGAGCTCAGAGGGTTCAGTCCTGCAGGTGCTGTTCCATGTGGAGCTGCTGTCAGGGAGCCTCAGCCCCTTAGCCTGGCAATGCCATGCCCTGCCCGGCCTGCTTTGGGAGGCATCAATAATCCTGAGGTTGGTGTGTGAACCAAATCAAAGTGTCCACAGCAAATGGAGCCTGTTGGGTAAGGAATCAATTCCTTATTCTACCTTTTAGCAGTGAGCAACCTCAGCCTCCTTAAGTTTTTCCTCCTTTTCAGCGTTTGTGTCAGGATGTGAATGGGGCAGGCTTGGAAATGCTCTTGTTGCCACTAACCTTTAACTCAGCTTGGATCTGTTTGCTGCTGCTGGGTGATTTCAGCCCACAGAGTGTCATAAATACACAGCTGATTGATGCTTAAAATGGAGAGAGAGAAAGAGAACACAGGAAGCACAGAAAAGCTGCTGTGCTGAAATGCTCCACGGAGTAAGGAGAAATTCCTGGTGCTTTCTGTTATTCAAAACTATTTGCAGTAAAATCAAAGTAAATGTCAGGCAGGATCATACACGGATACGCTCTCAGCCTTTCCACTGTAGTTTCAAAGCCTGATAATTCCTAAAGGAGGATTAAATAGACAATGATATTATCCACTTGAACTGGGTATTGAGCTGGTGCAGGTTCAGGTGCATTCTGGGCTCTGGTGGCAGAGCTGTGTCGAGGGCTGGAGCACAGCCAAGGCCCTGCAGAGTGGCCAGGGGCTGGGAGAGGACACTGGGGTTGCTCAGCCTGCCCTCTTGCAGGGGTAAAACAGGATCCCATGGTTTGTGTAAGATTGGAAAGGATGTGTGCCTGTCCTGGTGGGGAAGCTGAGTGTCCTTTGCTTCTCAATCCACTTGGCACCTCCTGGGATTCAGCCAGGTAAGAAACTGATTTGGCCACCTGTGGGACAGCTCCTGAGGAGGGGCTGGAATCCTCTGTGGGGCAGGGAGTGAGAACTGGGCAAACAAGCCATAGGATGGATTGTAGGATAGCCTGAGCTGGAGGGAACCCACCAGGATCATCAAATCCAGCTCCTGAGAAGGACAGCAAGAGGCTCCTGTTGGCACCATCCTGGCCACAAGTGAGATGTGGTGCTGCCAAGGTGTCCAGGTCATTCTTTGTGAGCAGGACTGTGGCTGTCACACCTCTGCTGCTCTCTGCTCTGCCTGTACTGGTCCTTGATCCTGAGAGCTGTGTCTAGCTCTGGCCCCTCAGTTTGGGAAGGATGTTGAGATGCTTGAGCACATCCAGAGGAGGCAACAAGGCTGGAGAGGGGTTGTGAACACAAACCCTGTGAGGAACGTTTGAAGGAGCTGGGGCTGTTTAGCCTGGAGAAGAGGAGGCTCAGGGGTGCCCTCATTGCTCTCTACACCTTCCTGAAGGGAGGCTGCAGACAGGTGGGGTTGGTCTCTGACAGAACCAGAGGACACAGTCTCCAGCTACCTCAGGGAAGGGATAGGTTGGATATTAGGAGGAAATTTTTCACTGAAAGAATAATAAAGCACTGGAATGCTCTTCCCAGGGAGGGGGTGGAATCACCATCTCTGGAAGTGTTTAAAAAGCCTGGACATGGCACTTGGTGCTAGAGTCTGGTTGAGTGTTAGGGCACAGGTTGGACTCGATGATCTTGGAGGTCTCTTCCAACCTCGTTATTCTGTGATTCTGGGTCTTGTCCCCCTCACCTCATTGGCACAATCCCTTTGGCAGGTGCAGCGTCACCTTTCCAAACTCTTTGACAACTTGGCCAGGCTGAAATTCCAGGTGGACTCCGAGGAGAAGACAACCAAGGTTGGCCTGGGAATGTACAGCAGAGAAGAGGAATATGTCCAGTTCAGTGAACCCTGTGACTGCAGTGGGCAGGTGAGAGGGGAGACCTTGTGTGTCCAAGCTGCCTGGTGGAACCTGCTCCCACCCCCCTTGGGTGGGCGTCCCTGGCCAAGTGTGGTATTTTTGGGGTCCCTCATTGTGGGGAGGAAAGATGAATTTGACTCTATGTTTTTAGAAGGTCAAAATTTAAGAAGGTTAAAATATAATAAAATTTATTATTTTATGATATTATATAATAATATAAAATTATATTTAATAATATAAAAGAATACTATATTAAAACTATACTAAAGAATACAGAAAGGATACTTACAGAAGGTTTAACAAGAAAATAATGAAAAACTTGTGACTTTCTAGAGTCCCGACACAGCTGGACTGTGATTGGTCATTAAGTAAAAACAATTCACATGTTGGAGAAACCATCTCCAACCACATTCCAAAGCAGCAAAGCACAGCAAAGAAGAAAATCAGATAATTATTGTTTTCACTTTTCTCTGAGGCTTCTCAGCTTCCCAGGAGAAGAAATCCTGGTGAAGGAATTTTTCAGAAAATATAACAGGAACAGCCAAGGTCTTACAGAGTTCCACTGCACTGCCTCTATGGGAAAAGCTGGAAGAGCTGGTGTGGAACTTAATCCTTGCTTTCACCACAGCTCTAGTCCTGCTCTGGATGGGTCCTCACAGCCCATGGTGTGAGGAAGGGCTGTGGCCTGTTCTTTACTGGGCTTTTTAATTTTAATTCCTGAAAGATGTTTTGAAGGTTACTCCTACCCTCCCAGCTGGGAGGGGATGCAGACTGAAAACAGATTAAATTATTCCATAGTACTTCTGCACGGATACCTTTGGAAAGAAAAGGGTTTTTCCCCTGTTTTCCAAATCTTATTTCGTAGGACGAGTTTAAGTACAAAATTTAAGAATCAAATTACTGCTCAGCTTTTCTGTCCCTGTAGCTGCACTTTTCTCCATGGACTGTTAAAGGAAGCTAAAGTAGGTAATACCAGCTCTGAGCTCCCCAGTGATGACACTTGGCATTTAAACTCTCCTCTCTAAAATACTAAATATTACATTCAGCAGGAATTGTGAAATACTAAATTCAGCAGGAATTGTGTTCCCAGCATTCTCTTGCTGCTGGCAGATTGTGCTCCAATCCCACGGGTGACTCTGCCATGGCCTGGAGCTGGAACACGCTGAGCTCAATTGCTCCTCAGTGGAGTTCACTGTGGTTCCTCCTCCAGCTGGATTTCCACAAAAAACCTCTCTGGGAGGAGATGCTGATCCTGCAGGAGCAGAAATGGCTGAGTCCCCCAGTCTGGAGGAGGCCTGAGGCTTGTTTGGCTGGAGAGCTGAGCTGCTTGTCCCCCTCATTGCTGAAGGATGGCAGGCATTCCTGGGATCATCCCTCATGATCCGGGGGTGAAAAGCAGCAGTGTTCTGGGATTTAACCCCTTCTGCAGGTGGACCTGTGGCTGTGTCACCTGCTGGACACCATGAGGGCCACGGTGAGGGACAGGATGGGTGCAGAAATGGCTGAGCCCTCCAGTCTGGAGGAGGGCATTGACTGGAGAGCTGAGGGATGAGGGATGGCAGGCATGTTCTTGGGATCATCCCTCATCACCCAGGGGTGAAAAGCAGCAGTGTTCTGGGATTTAACCCCTTCTGCAGGTGGAGGTGTGGCTGGGTCGCCTGCTGGACACCATGAGGGCCACGGTGAGGGACAGGATGGGTGCAGAAATGGCTGAGCCCTCCAGTCTGGAGGAGGGCATTGACTGGAGAGCTGAGGGATGAGGGATGGCAGGCATGTTCTTGGGATCATCCCTCATCACCCAGGGGTGAAAAGCAGCAGTGTTCTGGGATTTAACCCCTTCTGCAGGTGGAGGTGTGGCTGGGTCGCCTGCTGGACACCATGAGGGCCACGGTGAGGGACGGGATGGGCGCGGCTGTGGCGGCCTACGAGGACAAGCCCAGGGAGCAGTGGCTCTTTGACCACCCTGCCCAGGTACTGCCCTGCCCTGCTTCCAGAGGGGTCTGGGCTGTGGATGGGAGTGGTTCTGTCCAGGGAAAAGAGGAAGGGTGTGATGCCCGAGATGGGAATTTCAATGGATGTAAAATGGATCCCTGCTATCCTGCCTGCTGGGATACTGTATAACAAAACTTCATTTCACATCAGGGATGCCTCATCCCTGACCTCCCCATGGGTCAGACCCTCTCAGAGGTAAGCAAAGCCTGGTGTTGCCCTGCTCTTGAGCCACTCTGTTTCCCCAGGTGGCTCTCTGCTGCACCCAGATCTGGTGGACAGCTGAGGTGGGCATGGCCTTCTCCAGGATGAAGGAAGGCTACGAGAAGGCCATGAAGGAGTACCACAAGAAGCAAGTGGCCCAGCTGAACACGCTGGTGACCATGCTGCTGGGGCAGCTCTCCAGGGGCGACAGGCAGAAGATCATGACCATCTGCACCATCGACGTGCACGCGCGGGACGTGGTGGCCAAGATGATAGCACAGAAGGTTGGTGTTCCCAGCTCAGTGTGAGCCATGCTGGGCATGGAGGGGGAGATCGTGGAGGGACAGACCAGGGACAGGCACTGGGGGCACTGCCTGCCTCAGCAGGGCCAAAGGGAAAAGCATTTGGCATTTTCTTCTCTGTAGCTTTCTTGCTCTGGTGTGGGCCCACAGGGAATCTCTTGGGATTTGTCCACCACTCCCACACTGCCTGTCCTCACATACTCACAGAATGGTTTGGGTTGGAAGGGACCTTAAAGCTCTTCTCATTCCAACCCCTGCCATGGGCAGGGACACCTTCTGCCATCTCAGGGTGCTCCAAGCCCTGTCCAACCTGGACTTTGGCTCTGATACCTTCTGGCCTGCAGCTGGGCTTCCCTGGGAGTACTGGCAGGAGTGGAGTGCAGGAGTTGGGTGTTCCTCTGCTCCAGGGGTTTTGCAGATGCCTTCTGTCCCATCTGGGGTGCCAGAACTGATGCCTAGAGAGGCTGACCTGGGACAGAGACTAGACAGAGCTAAAAGAATAAAGCAGGGATTTATTTAAAGGCCTTTAGGGGATACACCTTAGGTAGTGCAAGAGCCCAGCTGTGGCTACACCCAAGATGGGTCCCAGTCAGGAGTTTTCACACTTTTATAAGTTTTGGTCCATTTCCATATTGAGGTTAATTGTCCAATTACAGCTCCAGGTCATGAAGTCCCATCCTCTTTGTTTGCTCTCTCAGTTCCCCATTGTTTATGCATTTTGGGCCTAAAGCTTGTATCGATCTTCCTTAGTCCCAAGCTGGAAAAGGATTATTTTGTCAACCTACCTCGTAAAGAAAACTTACTAACACTTAACACAAAGCTCAGAGCTACACACCTAGGCAGCACAGAATGTGAAAACCATGAAAGCCAGGACTGAAGGCACCCCCTGCCCTCCCTGGTGCCACTCTGCAGGTGGACAATGGCCAGGCCTTCGTGTGGCTGGCGCAGCTGCGGCACCGCTGGTCGGACGAGGAGCGGCACTGCTGGGCCAACATCTGTGATGCTCAGTTCCTCTACTGCTACGAGTACCTGGGCAACACCCCCCGGCTGGTGATCACCCCCCTGACCGACAGGTGAGGCCCTGCTGGTGCCACCTGAGCTGCTGGTTATGAGATGTCACGGACGTATTCCATGAAAAATCCTTTCAATAGGGTTTTTTCTCCTAAGAAGGTGAGAGGACTCAGAAACAAAATGTAACCAATGGTTATCTGCTGCTGTGGAATGCAACAGGTGCATCTGGGATTGGTCTCATGTGGTTGTTTCTAATTAATGGCCAATCACAGTCCAGCTGTTTTGGACTCTCTGGTCAGTCACAAGATTTTATCATTCCTTTCTATTCTTTTCAAGCCTTCTGAAATCCTTTCTTCTATTCTTTTCTTCTATTCTTTTGTATAGTTTAATATATATTTTTCTTTTAATATAATCTATATCATAAAATAATAAATCAGCCTTGTGAAACATAGAGTCAAGATTCTCATCTCTTCCCTCGTTGTGAGACCCCTGTGAACACCACCCCAATGAGACATAAACTTTAAGGAATTTAGAGATTTTAGAGGAGCTAAGATTTTAGTTAGAGATAAGCTTTACTTTTGTAAAGCTTGCTTGTAAAGACAAATCTGCCATTCCTCTGACCCAGCTCGGTCTCTTTCCCTTTTCCCTCACCCTGTGCAGGTGTTACATCACCCTCACCCAGTCCCTGCACCTGACCATGAGTGGGGCTCCTGCAGGCCCTGCTGGCACTGGCAAGACAGAGACCACCAAGGACCTGGGCCGAGCCCTGGGCATCATGGTCTACGTGTTCAACTGCTCCGAGCAGATGGACTACAAGGTGCTGTGTTACCCTAATGTTTTCTGAAAAATCCCTTCATCAGGATTTTTTGTCCTGGGAATATGAGAAGCCTCAGCTTCTCTATGTTTTCCTCTTCTGGAATGTGGTCTGGAGATTGGCTGTTAGTTAAAAATAATTTACATGTTTAGATAAACAATCACAGCCAGCTGTGTCAGACTCTCTGAGTCAGTCACAGGTTTTTATTCTTCATTCCTTTCTAGCCTTCTGATATATCCTTTCTCTTTCTTTAGTATAGTTTTAGAATATTATATTATATTATATTATATTATATTATATTATATTATATTATATTATCGTAGTATAGTATATTATAGTATAGTACAGTATATTATAGTGTATAATAATATTATAATATAGTAAAATATATCATAAAATAATCAACCTTCTGAAAACATAAAGTCAAATTCTCATCTCTCACCTCCTCCTAAAATCCTCACAACACCACCGTGCTGCTCCCCCCAAACTGGGGCTGCTCAGGGCCCCTGGAACCTGCAGGGTGGGAGTTACCCAGCTGGGCTTGCTCTGATCCATCCCCTCTTCTCTCATCCCTGCTGCCTCCCTTCCTGCTGAGCAGCTTTTCATCCTCCTCCTTCTTTTTGTCTCTGAGACTTGCACAAGGTTCTGGAGGAGGAGGAGAGCTGAGCTGTGCTCTCTGCCCTGCTCCCTTCCCTTCTGGAGTTAAGTTCCACATGAAATTCTTTACGAATTCTGGCCTGTTCAGTTGAGACAGAGGCTGTGCTGATCCATTCCCTCTCTCCAGCCCCACAGGACACCTGTCCCAGGCATGGGGACAGAGCTCTCCTGGTTCCTCAGGATCCTCTGCTGCTCATGGTGCTGATCCCTGTGCTCTCCAGGGCACTGGGTTTGGTGGCCTTGGACCATATTTTATCCAGCCGAGGTCTCTCATGGACATGGGGCCATCAGTAACTCAGCCCAGGTGACCTTTGGATGGAACCAGAGTGCAGAGTTGTTGAGAGAGGGCAATTAGCAAATCAAGTGGCAAACTGTGCAGAGCTATAAATATTATAATTGAGTTGTGCCTGCTGCTCCCCTGCACTTTCTAAATACCCACAATAGACTGTAAATTGCTACAAATAAACAGGCAGGGAAATCAAATCCATTTTTTGCTGGAGTGGATTCTGTTTGTGATTTCACTCTTGTAATTTTATTTTATTTTATTTTTTCTTTTCAGTCTTGTGGGAATATTTACAAAGGCCTTTCCCAGACAGGAGCCTGGGGCTGTTTTGATGAATTTAACAGAATCTCAGTTGAGGTCCTTTCTGTGGTTGCTGTACAGGTAAGTGGAGAAAAGCTTGTGGATAAATGCAAGCCAGCCTTCCTTCCCTCACTCCCACAGGGCCAGAACAGAAGGATTTGAGTCTTGGGGAACTTCAGTGCTGAAAACTGAGTTGCTAAAACATCAATGTTCTTCTGGTCCCCAATGTCAGCTGTGAGTGCAGATTTTGGGATCCCAGTGTTTGACTGAGGTGCTGAATTCTTTCCAGACCCACTTTGGGGCTTTGCATTGCAGAAATTAAGGTCTAGAGCCCAGAAGTTTCTAAACTTCTGTAAATGTCTTGGTTAAAGGAATTGTTCTGAGCCCCTCCACGAACTCCTCACTTTCATCCCTCTTTGTCTCATCATCGTACCTCCTCTGATGTCCCAAAGAAATCCCAGGCGGGTACTGGTGTTTGTGTGTCCTTCCCTCTCCACTTCCCTCCCATCAGGTTCTAGCTTAAAGTTGTCATTGAAAAACGTCTTTGAGGATCTTAAAATAAAAGGGGAAGCTAAACAAAAGGAGCCCAGATATGACTCAGCTGCTAATGATTCCCTGGCTCCTGGCTGGAGCATGGTGTCTGAGCGAGCAGGGCTGTCACTCCATCATCGCCTCTGCTGCTGTTGGAGGGTAACCATGGTGATGGTTAATTGGCTGCCTTAGTCATGCAGCTCCTGTCGGTGTGGGTCCTCACACTGAGAAACTCCCTTAATTGCTTTGCTTTAAGGTGGCAAAAGGGTGAGTTTAGGGCAGAGATGGATTCCTCCCCGATGGAGTGGTGTTATGGAGGAGGTGAGCTGGCTGCAAGGAGCTGCTCCCTTGGGAAGCAGGGAAGGAAGGCCTGGCTGCAATGGAATGGGAGGTGGGCAGTGAGGTGGTGGAATGGAAGGTGGGCAGTGAGGTGGCCTGGCTGAGTTTGCTGTTCAGGAAAACGTTTTTTGTCACCCTGTTTTTTTAGGATTTTCTAAGCCTTCTGATGTTTGCATTCTTGTAATGAACTTTCTCAAGCACTATATGTAAATAACTCATTGTTTTGCATTCTTTTATGGAGGAGGAGAAATTTGATGGGCTGTTGGTTTGTCCAGTGTCATTGGAGAGGTGGCACTGTCACCCTCCAATCCACTGTCACTTTTGGAAATCTATAAATGTTGGAGTCAGAAATTAAAAGCACTCTTTTTTACCTTGGGGAGCTGCGTGTTCACGTCATTTTATTTTGTGTCCTATAGCAACAGTTTTTTACAGAAAGAGTGATGAAGTGCTGGAATTATCTGCCCAGGGAGGTGGGGGAGTCACCATCCCTGGATGTTTTAACAAAATATTGGATGTGGCACTGGGTGCCATGGTTTAGTTGAGGTGTTGGGGCTGGGTTGGACTCGATCTGAAAGGTCCCTTCCAGCCTGCTGATTCTGGGATTCTGTGACTCACTCCATGGGAATGGAAGGTGGGCAGTGAGGTGGTCTGGCTGTAATGGGCCTCTTTGGAAAGTGAGAGATGGGAAGAACAAAGCTGCAATCAGACAGGTAGAAAAGACCAGCAAAGTCTCTTATGAAGCAAACTCTTGGAACTCTTTTCAGTTTGACTGTCCAGTCTCTTCAGCCCTTTTCTGTTTGTCAGGATTGTGATGAGAGGCACACAGATTTACCCTAAACAGCGTAGAAAGCTTTATATGGTCAGTAAAACCCAGACCAGAGCAGTGATAATCCCCACTCATCATGGGCCAAGTGCAGGGAGGTCAGCAGTGCTGGCTGGGGTTTCCATACCTGAACACCAGCACTGCCTTGGTCCCCAGGTGAAGAGTGTGCAGGATGCCATCCGGGAGAAGAAGAAATCCTTCAATTTTCTTGGAGAAGACATTAACTTAGTCCCCTCAGTTGGGATTTTCATCACCATGAACCCTGGTTATGCAGGACGAACCGAGCTACCTGAGAATTTAAAAGCTCTCTTCAGGTGAGTCAAGATCAAGTTTTGTGACCTGTGTGATGAAACTGGCAGAAATTGTCTTTTGGAACATTCAGGCTTCATTTTGTTGGGAAATTTACTTGCACTGGGGATTCACAGATGGTTTCAGCCTTGTGCACCAAGCCTGGATCAGGGAATGCAGGGAGGACAAGGTAGCTCTGTCCTGTGCCGTGGAAAAGGCAGTGGGGGCAGGCTGGGAGAGCCTCCAGTGGCTCACTGGAGAGGACCTGGAAGATAAAGCTACAAATCCACTGCCCTCAAGCTCTGTAGTCAATGCCTGCTCTGCAATCCTTTCCTGCCTGTCTCCCTAGGCCCTGTGCCATGGTTGTGCCAGACTTTGAGCTGATCTGTGAGATTATGTTGGTGGCTGAGGGCTTCCTCCAGGCCCGAGCCTTGGCCAGGAAGTTCATCACGCTCTACCAACTCTGCAAGGAGCTCCTGTCCAAGCAGGTGAGCCCTCTGCTGTCCTCTGGATCCCCAAAATCAGGGATGTGACACTGCCATGCACCTCCATGGCTGAAGCTTCACAGGTTTTGTTGCTGCCTGCCTTTGTGGCAGCTGCTGGGACAAGGGAGGGTTTGTGATCATCAGAGCAATGACATTTTCGATCTGCTCTCCTGGAGGATCTTCAGGGATGGAAGCATTTGACCCAACTGCATTAACCTCACTAATCTTTGAATTTGAGAGATTTTTCAAAAGCCTCAAATGCCACTATGATTGGGGTAGTATGCAGTGACCCTTTGCTTTTTCTCTTAGCTCCTATTGATTCTCCTGCCTCCAAGGGGTTCATGATCACTGTTCCTCTCTTAGTCCAACTCAATACTTCTCTGTCATGTCAAGTGTTGACCATGTAGGGTCACCTCCAGCGCAAAACCCTGGTTAATCAGATTTTAACTTGGCATTGTCTGCATAGATCAAAGCTGGGGTGAGTTGAATCAGGACTCCAGATGGAAAACCCGATCTTGGCTGTGCCAGCATGAGCTGGGGTGGGTTTCTGCCTTCTCACAGAAACTTTGTACTGTGTAGCTGGAGGCCCTGTGGGAGCTTTGGCCTCCCACACAAAGCAGCCAAGCTGTTGGGCTGTGCTCTTCAGGGTCTCAGTGGAGCACAGATAGAAGGATTTACTTGTTGGATTCCTTTAGGATTCCTTTCCAGCACTGTCCTCCCTGCCCCTGCTTGGTAGGCTGTCCCCAGGACCAAATGTCCCTGGTAACCTGGTGATGGAGAAATTTGAGTGTCTGAGGCCTCAGAATGGACTAACAAGCCTTCCACCTTATTAGCTCCCACAAATCCAGGGCTCTGGCAAGCCTTGCTTAACCTGCAAAAAGGCCAAGGTTTTAGGGGAAAACATTCCTTAGGTCTCCAGAGTGCAAGTCCTGCTGCTGACTTAGTGCCAGCTCTGAGCCCATGTGATGGCATGAACCATGAATTATTTGACTCTCCCTGGTGGGAAGCTCACCTTGTGAAATGGAGACCAGGTGACTCAGGCTGGTGGAGGTCTCTGGCCATGACAACAAATATCAAATTTGTCTGCATTTCCATTGCTGACTGCTCTGGCAGCTGGACTTCTGCTTTTTACCCCTGCCTAGGCATAAACTCACCCCTGTTTTTATTTGTTTCTTTCTCCCCCTCATGCAGGACCACTACGACTGGGGTCTGCGGGCCATCAAGTCGGTGCTGGTGGTGGCGGGCGCCCTGAAGCGCGCGGACCCCGAGCGGCCCGAGGAGCAGGTCCTGATGCGCTCCCTCCGCGACTTCAACGTCCCCAAAATCGTGACAGACGACGTGCCAGTGTTCATGGGGCTGATTGGGGACCTGTTCCCTGCCCTGGATGTGCCTCGGAAGCGTGACCTGGATTTTGAGGCCATGGTGAAGGAGGCTGTGCTGGAGCTGCGGCTGCAGCCCGAGGACAACTTTGTGCTCAAAGTAAGGCCCAGGGGTTTTCTGCTCTGTTGTGGGTGGTGTGAGGGTCCCCAGGACGAGGTGAGAGATGAGAATTTGACTCCTTGTTCTCAGAAGGCTGATTTATTATTTTATGATATTATATTAATTATATTAATTAATTATATAAATTATATTATGTTATATTATTATATAAATTATATAAATTATTATATAAATAACATTATATAAATTATATTATGTTATATTATATCATATTATATAAAATATAGAAAACATATATATAATATATAATATTAAATATAATATATAATATATAATATAATATATATAATATATATAATATATTATATATATTATATTATATATAATATATAATATATTATATAATATATTATATAATATATATTATATATTTTATATTTTATATTTTATTGTATTCTAGTCAGACCAAACTGGGAGTCAAATCCTTTGTGTGTCTGGGTCACAAATTTCTATACAATAGCCCCAGTGAGAGCTAATTTCACAGAATGATTTAGGTTGGAAGGGACCTTAAAGGACATCTCATTCCAACCCTGAGCCATGGACAGGGACTCTTTCCTTTAGATTTTGCACATCTGAGCTTCACTTTGGCGTGTCTGTCAGCTCTGGGGGTGTTTCCCCAGGTGGTGCAGCTGGAGGAGCTGCTCAGTGTCCGGCACTCCGTGTTCGTGGTGGGGGCTGCAGGCACAGGCAAGTCCCAGGTGCTGAGGTCCCTGCACAAAACCTACCAGAGGATGAAGCGCCGGCCTGTGTGGACAGACCTCAACCCCAAAGCAGTCACCAATGATGAGCTCTTTGGCATCATTAACCCAGCAACGAGGGAGTGGAGAGATGGTAAATGTCCTTTCGTGGCTGAATTTGGAGATAAAAGGGATATTTTTAATGAAGCTCCTGCGTGGATGATGGGTCTCTGTGTGCAGGTCTCACAGCCCAGGTGCTGCTCCCAGCTGTGTGAGGGTTTGCTGTTGGAAGGACATGTAGGGTGTCACAGCTTTTTGGGAATTTATCTTTTTGCTATAAGGATAATTATCATGTTTGTTAACACCAGCGCTTCCCAATTCCTAATTGTGTTTTGGGGCTGGGCTGCTGAAGGAAGAGAATTCCCTCCTGCCCTGTGCTGTGCACTGGGGCCCCCAAAAGTGCCATTTCCAGGTTTCTATTCCCAGCAGCATTTGAGAGGTGTTTTTCCACCGAATATCCCTGCCTGATCTCCAGCACACGGTGTTTGCCAGGCTGTTGATCCTGATTGCTCCTGAGGAGGACGAGATGAGCATTTAAGACCTGCTGAAAGATTACAGAGATGCAGAGTGCAAACGTTGGCTTGTGACTAATCCAGAAAGGCAGCTTTGATTCCCTGTGTGGCTGTTCTGGGAGGTGAGGGAGGACAGCTCCATAAATCATCCTTGGCCAGAGGTCTCCAGGAGAGGAGCTGCCACCACCTCCCCTGCCCCTGCCACCACCCCTCCTGCCCCCTGCTCCGCTCCAGTGCCAGGGTTAATTTCTTTTTTATTGTGATTGGGGACCCTAAATCAAAGTGACAGAGAGAAGTGTGGGATGTAGCCAGCCCTCTGCAGAGAGCTGCACGTTGGGGGTTGTGGATCAGGGGCTGTGGGTGGCACTGGACAGCAGGAGAGACACTGGCAGGTGGCTGTCCAGTGTTCTTAATCCTCTAATGTTCCAAGAGACCTTACAGGGCTCCTCTCTGATGGCCCAAGGCAGATATTTTCTGCATTAACCATTCCTAGAAATGTTGTTTCTTGGTGCCAAAGAGCAGCCAGGCCATTTTCAGCACAGCCTGACAAGAGAGGATGGATCAGCTCCTCCTTTACCTCTTCCCGAGTTCATCCTGTCACTCGTTTCTGCCAGCAGCTGGGAAGTTTGCACATGTTAGGTGGAAAAAGGCCCCACAAGGGAATCCTAAAAGTGTTATTTGTAGATCCAAAGTCTCCTTTCAAATCCCAAAACCCCTCTGTGGTGTGGATGCCCGAGGCTGGGAGAGGGGCACTTCCCTCCAGGTGCCTCTGTGGTTGTGATGCTCCCAGGCAGGAGCTGCTGCTGGCACTGGCAGGGCTGGAGAGGTTTCCAAGCTGTGTCCAGGGTGAGGAATGGAGCCCAGGCAGAGGCAGGGAGGTGTCATTGATCTGTGACCCCTCTGAGCTGTGTGGCTGAGCTGTTCTGCACAAGCTTTGCTTCGGTCGTGCGGTGCCACCGGCGGCTCCTGACCTGCGTCACGAGGGAGTAGCTGCTCCTGGAGAAACAAAAAGCATGCCTGTCACAATTCACCAGGAGAGAGGCTGCTTTTAATGCTTGCCTGATGTTCCTTCATGCAGACCAGCCTTTCCCTAGGTATTTCCTCGTGTGGAGGAGAGTGATGGTTTTGTGGAGCTCTCATTTGCCCTGCAGTACTTCTGCTCTGTTCCCAGCTTCTCACTCTTCTTAGCATTCATTATTTACTCCCCTTGAGACTCTATATATTCTCTGTCTCCTTGATTTTACTGACATTTTGTTCTGTCACTCAATGTCAGTCTGGGCTTGTTCTCCCCTCAGTCTCACTCAAGCCATGATCCAGTGTTTAAAGCATCTTGATTTTCCTGATATACTTCAAGCCACAGGAAAAAAACCCCAAATATAAGAATTTCCAAGGCATATTCAGATGGTTTTTTTGCATTGTGTAGTTTGTGGGGTTTGTTTTCTCTGAGTATCTGCTCTTCATTTTTCCTTTGTCTTATGGTTTTCAGTGGGAATGAAGCTCATGTAGGCCCACAATCATTCTCAGTGATAATAACTCTGATAATATTTTTTTCTTCAAAGCAGATATCATTATACAGTATCATTTATGTCCAGATGCAAAGAATTATGAATGTGTAAGGGAAAGGCATAATTTTTAGGAAGTTGCTGGAAAAATCTGTTAGAGCAGGTGACAACTTCAGTGTTCATCAACATATTCATGTCACCCTCCCAGGACTGTTTTCATCAATCATGAGAGAGCTGGCCAACATCTCACATGATGGTCCCAAGTGGATGGTACTAGATGGAGATATTGATCCAATGTGGATTGAATCTCTGAACACTGTGATGGATGATAATAAGGTAATGGATGTCAGGTAAAGAAGCAGGTATTCCTTGTCAGGGGTGATTCAGCCTGGGAGAAATGCAGATTGTAAGAACATCTTCTGGAATAATGCAGCTGTGTTTCTTCAGCCACACCAAACAATATTGCATAAAGGCAATGCTGCATGAGGGAAATAACTGAGGGCTTGTTTTCCTTGGAATTTCCCTTTTCTGGAGGGGTGTGCATGGGAGCAATTGCAAATGTCCTAATCATAACTTTAGGCCTTTTAGAAGTAGGGTAGGTACATAATTCTGTCTTTTCCCCACCCTGAGGAAGTGCTTTGGATTCTGGGTGGTGGAAGAGAGAAGGAGCATTCTGTGCCTGTCAGAAATCATGTCTGCCATCACAGAATGGTTTGGGCTGGAAGGGATCTTAAGGCTCACCCCATCCCAGCCCCTGCCATGGCAGGGACACCTTCCACTGTCCCAGGCTGCTCTAATCCCTGTCCCTTGGGCACTGCCAGGCATCCAGGGGCAGCCACAGCTGCTCTGGGTACCCTGTGCCAGGGCCTGCCCACCCTGCCAGGGAACAATTCCTAATTCCCAAAATCCCATCCATCCCTGCCCTCTGGCACTGGGAGCCATTCCCCCTTGTCCTGGCACTCCAGGCTCTTGTCCAAGGTCTCTCTCCTGTTCTCTTGGAGCCCCTTCAGGTACCAAAAGGCCACAATAAGGTCACCCCAGATCCTTCTTCAGGCTGACCACCCCCAGTTTTCTCAGCCTGAGAACTAACAGAGCTGCTCCATCCCTCTGTTCATCCTGGTGCCTCCTCTGGGCTCTCACCAGCAGCTCCAGCTCCTCCCTGTGCTGGGCTCAGGGCTGGGGCAGCTCTGCAGGTGGGGTCTGGCCTGGATGGGGCAGAGGGGCAGAATCCCCCCTTGTCCTGCTGTGCCTCAAGGAGCTGGGCTGGGCAGCCAAGCCCAGCAGTGCCAAGTGCTGAACACTCTTCATTCCCATTCCTGGCAGAGCTTCAGGCTGTCTGTCTGTCTGTCTGCAGGTGCTGACCCTGGCCAGCAACGAGAGAATCCCTCTGAACCCCACGATGAGGCTGCTGTTTGAGATCAGCCACCTGCGCACGGCCACCCCGGCCACCGTGTCCCGGGCAGGTGAGTCCTGCTGGGCTGCACCTGGGACTCTCTGCAGCCCTTTGTTGGCCAGTCTTAAGGGAAATAGAGGTTGGATATTAGGGAAAAGTTGTTTACAGAAAGGGTGATAAAGTTCTGGAATGTTCTGCCCGGGGAGGTGGTGGAGTCCCCATCCCTGGGCGTGTTTAACAAAGCCTGGATGTGGCACTGGGGGCCAGGGTTTGGTTGAGCTGTTGGGGCTGGGTTGGACTCGATGATCTTGAAGGTCTCTCCCAGCCCAGTGACTCTGTGAAAGCTGCCAGGCTGGGAGCACAGCTGCCTGTGGTGTGCAGGGAGTGTTCCTGAAGCTCACAGACACTCTGAGGATCCTGAGCCCAGCCTCACTTGGGGTCTGCCATCATCTGGGGGGGTTTACTCAGAGTGTGCCCACTGCTGCTGTGGGGTCATGGCTGCAGCACTGCTGAGAGAACTCTCCTGCACAGCTCTGTGTGAGGCTGATGAGGAGACAGCCGCCTTTATCCCAAAGAGCTTTTGGAGCAGTGCATGGGAACAGGGAATGAAGGTGACCCCTGGTGTCTGGTGCCCAGAGCAACACCATGTTCCAAATTTGGGGGGCAGGTCCTGAGAGGTGTCCTGGTTTCCTGAGTTGCATCTCTTCACTGTGAATGTGTCTCCTCTGCAGTGGGGCAGGAGGAGGGGGCAGGTAATGAGGGACCAGGTGCATTTGACAGGGTTTCAGTTGTTCCAGCGAGTACCTGAAAGTTCCTGGTGGAGAAAGGGGCAGCCCCTGCTGTGTCCTTACCCTTGACTCTTCTCCTGCACCCCAAGGGATCCTGTACATCAACCCCTCAGACCTGGGCTGGAACGCCCCCGTGAGCAGCTGGATTGACCGGCGGGAGGTGCAGTCGGAGAGGGCCAACCTGACCATTCTGTTTGACAAATACCTGCCCGTGTGCCTGGACACCCTGAGAGCCAGGTACCCCTGCAGGCTGCCTGTGTCCCCTCAACAGGGCACGGGGTCGTGCTTATTGATTGTTGTGGTGGTGTTGTGAGGGTTCCCAGGATGAGGTGAGAGATGAGAATTGACTCCTCGTTGTCAGAAGGCTGATATTATATTATATTATATTATATTATATTATATTATATTATATTATATTATATTATATTATATTATATTATATTATATTATATTATATTATATTATATTATATTATATTTATTATATTAATTATAATATATTTATTATATTAATTATATTATATTATATTATTTATACTATATTATATTATACTATACTATACTATATTATACTATATTATACTATTTATACTATTTATACTATATTATATTATTTATACTATATTATACTATATTAGTTATATTACACTATATTATACTAATTATACTATATTAATTATATTATGTGATATATAATATAATTATTATAATTATATTATCTATAATATAATTATATATAATACAATACTATATATAATTATATATGATATGATTATAATTATATAATTATTGTAATAATATAATATAATAATCTACTAAAGCTACACTAAAAAAAAGAAAGGAGACATCAGAAGGCTAGACAAGAATGAATAATAAAAAAACCCATGACTGACCAGAGTCCTGACACAGCTGGACTGGGGTTGGTCATTAATTAAAAACAATTCACATGCTGGGTAAACATTTCTCCAAATCACATTCCAAAGCAGCAAAACAGGGAGAAGCTGAAGCATTGGGTCAGTAGAGCAGCTTTCAGACCACTGCTGAAAGAAAGAGTGGAAGATGCAGAGCAGATCCTCTCCCCACATCTCTTCCTGCCCCTTGGGGATGAGGAGGAAGCTGGTGTCAGTGTCAGAGGGTGGGATTGCTCCAGAGGCAGGCCTCTCTTGGAATTCTTTCCTGAAGCATTTGAGCTCAGCTGAGTCCCTCCCTCTGTGTGAGCTCCCAGCCTGGGTGTGTTCCATGGCCGGACACTGACACTGAGTGTGAGAAGCAGCACAGGGAGTGATGGCTTTGAACGGAACAAAGACAACTTTAGGTATTAGGAAGAATTTCCTGGCTGTGAGGGTGGGCAGGCCCTGGCACAGGTGCCCAGAGCAGCTGTGGCTGCCCCTGGATCCCTGGCAGTGCCCAAGGCCAGGCTGAACATTGGGGCTGGGAGCACCTGGGACAGTGGAAGGTGTTCCTGCCACAGCAGGGGTGGAATAGATGGCTTTTAAAAGTTCCTTTCTTACCCAAACTAGTCCATGACTGTGTGATTCTCCATCTTCTGCTTGCTCCCCATACCTGCATTTTCATTAAAAAAAAATAAAAAGAACAAAAGTCAGTGAACAACTGAACCTGGGCACCATCAGCCCCAACGAGGAGGTGTCAGGAGGAGCTGCTTGAGTGCAAGTTTTGCTCTTTGGGACTGGGAGTTGGGAATCTTGCAGGGGAGCTGCTCTCTGGAAGCCCAGACGTTAAAGCTGTTGGCAGCAAAGCCCATCAAGCATCTCCAGCTCTCTCTGCTGAGCAATTGTCAGCCCATGAAATCCCCAGGATTAGCTGCACCAGCCCCGAGCTGAGTATTTTGGTGGCTTGCTTAATTCAGAAATTGTAGAACCAACCTTTCAAATAGCTCTAATTACTTTATGGAGGACTTCAGTGCTGCTACAATATTAGTTTGGAATTCTGTAAGTGTAGCTTAAACGAATGTAAAATGGCAAGATGAAAGGTTTTATTTTATTACTCCTCTATTTGACTGCTTTTGAACTCCTGGCACTCCCAGGAAATCATCGCCTTCAGCAACTCCTCCATTTTACTTCTTTCAAGAGGATCAAAGTTTTTAAATGCCTGAAACTTCTGATTACTGTTATTATGTGTGTGTGTGCCAGTGCCAGCAGGGCCAGGCAGAGGATGGGAGGATGGGTGTTCTCTTCTTCCTGCTGACAAGGAAAATGCTGATATTCTGGTAAAGCATTCCTGCCTTGCTTTCCTGGGCTGGGGGCAGCCCTGGTGCTTCACCCAATTATGCTTCCCAATTATATTTTCCATTCCCATTCCTCAGATTTAAGAAGATTATTCCCATTCCTGAGCAGAGCATGGTTCAGATGCTGTGTTACCTCCTGGAATGCCTCCTGACAGAGGACAACACACCTCCTGACTGTCCCAAGGAGCTTTATGAACTTTACTTTGTCTTTGCTGCTGTCTGGGCCTTTGGTGGCTCCATGTTCCAGGACCAGGTAAGAAGGGACGTGAAGAACAGCATCTTTTATTGCCTTTTTTTTTTTTCCCCCTACTTTTTTCTACTTTCCCAAACGTAAAGCTGTGTCAGTGTTGCTGTTTGACCTGGAAACTTGAACTAAACAATCCCTTTCATGAAAGGCCTCATTATGGTAGCACTGGAGAATGGCCAAGCCCAGCGTGAGGCTCCCTTGGTGCCATCACCTCGAGGCCATGGAGAGCCAGACCAGCTTTTGTGGTCCTTGTGGAGGATTTAACCCTCCATTCCCTGGCTGCCAGCTGGTAAAACCACAGCCCAGCTTCTGTCAGTGCCTTTTAAGCCAAGCCTGGGGGCCATGGTTTAATTCAGAAATTGGCCCTTGCCCAGCAGCTCCCTCCAGCCCCTCGCTGTAGCTCGAGCCCGGTTGGTGGCACTTGGACATGGCATTCCCATGCCACAGCAGCCAGCCCTGGCATGGCAGGGCCTTGGCACAGCTGGGTGTGTGGCAGGAGGAGCTGGGAGCAGGCTCAGCATCCCTCTGGGAGGGTTCTGGGCGTTGCTGCTCTGTAAATGTCAGGCGGGAGAGCGTGAGCACACGGCGTCCGAGCGAGGGGGAGCCTGATGAAAAATGATCCAATATAAAAGCTGTTTATTGCTCCCTGCTGAAGGTGCCCTTCCTGGTGACCTTTTGCTGCTGAAATGTCAGGAGAAACAGGCTGGGAGGCTTCCCACTGCTTGGTGTTTGTTGGTGAGGAGCGGGGCCCCTCTGTAGAACCAGATGATAGATTTGCCATTTCCAGGCCCTCAAATTAGCAGAAATCCACACGGGGTTTTTGTTAAGGAAGCAGTTTGAGCTCGACACCATTCTGGCAATAGAGCTGGGGCTGGGACTGCTCCACTTAAGGGCTCAGGCCTTCCCAGCACTCAGAGCAGGGAGGCAGCACGGTGAGAAAGCTTTTAGCAGTGCTGCACTTCCTTTTTCTGCTGCCAGGCTGAGGAGTTGTGACAGCAGGAGGAAGGAGATTACAGTCATTCTGCCTCTCTGGGCAGCACGAGACTGCAAAATCTTGGATGCTAATAATGTGGTTTTCAAATCCTCTGGTCTTTTGATGTGTGGTGGCTCGGGGAGCTTTGCAGAGGACACTCAGTTCAAAGCCAGGTTTCCTGAGAGAGGCTGAGCAGTCCCTGGTCCCACCTGCTCCCAAAAACCCGAGTGGTGGCTATGGGAAGGAGAGACCTGATAGAGATGCCCCAGGAACAAACTGTGCTGCTAAAACTGGCTCAGTGATGCGTGTGCTCTCTCCCAGACATCTTTTCAGCAGCACTTTCCCCCCTCATTTCTCCCCAGGGCTGAGGGCTGCAGTCCCTGTGCTCTGCATGGGAAGGGTTCAGACAGTGGCTGGCCCAGTTTCACAGAGGAGACCTGAGGCAGAGAAAGGGATTAAGCACATTTTGCAAACCCTGACTCAGTGTCTAAAACAAAAGCTGTCACCCCAGCTCCCAAAAAAAAAAGTTCAGATGCTTGAAGATCTTCATGCATGGAGGGATAGAAGGGGGAAAGGCAGGAAAGCAGGAGCTTGCTGGGCTCTGTGGCAGCAGCCACTCTCCCATTCTTTGCTGAACCGGGATCTGCTGCTCCTGCTTGAAAAGTGGCCAGAAAACAACAACCAAGTGTTTGCAAGGTGGTGTGATTTATGAGGAAGAGATTTGGTATGCATGCTCTGACTGTCCATGGCCACGGATGGAGATGGATGTGGTGTCCTTGTCTGTTGGAAGAAGTAGGCACCAAAAATCAATCAAGTGTCTGTTTAGTCATAGGCACGTATTTCTCTTTTTCAAATTGATCCATCTGTCTAATCTCAGACATACTAGGAGTGATCAACACAGAGGATGAATTATTTAGGGGAATAAATAGGAGTGATGAGAAAAAATGAAGAAAATGAAAAATTAGACTTAATAATAGGAAAAAGGATAAGATTGTTATGCTGTAGAATATATTTTTAAGGACTAATCCCAGTCTGGTGGACTGGGATAAATAGCATTCACCATCTCTAATGAATTTCTCTGGATTTGTCTAATTTCTCCTCTCTTTATCTGGCAGCTCGTGGACTACAGAGTGGAGTTCAGCAAGTGGTGGGTGGCAGAATTCAAGACAATCAAGTTCCCTTCTCACGGCACAGTCTTTGACTTTTACGTTGATCCAGAAACAAAGAAGTTTGAGCCTTGGTCTAAACTTATTCCCCAGTTTGAATTCGATCCTGAGATGCCACTGCAGGTAGGTGACCCCAGCAGGCTGCTGGGCTGGAGGAGTTCCTGTGTTTTAGTGACTGAACGTGGGTGTTTCAATGAAGTCTGGTGAAAGGCCAGGCACTGATGGAATTCTTTATTGGATACAACTAAATCACCCATCTCTTTTTGCTGTGCTTTGGCAGTAACAGCACAACCTCCATCCATCTTCCAAACATGAGTGATGTACAGCAGGGGCAGGGAGCTGCTGTGCCCAGGCTGGTGAGACAGAGCAGGGACAAAGCCTCTGAGACACCAGGACTTGTTGTCATTCTCGTGGCTGTAAACAGAGATGGGTTTATGTTTGGGCCAAGAAAAGAGTTCCTCAGGTAGTGAATTGTGTTTGCCAGTTGTATTCCTCTGTTTATTCAGAAGTGCCACAGCGAGCTGATGACTTATAAAAATCATCACTGATTTAGCAAGGTGTGATTCTGTGGGGGGATCCAGGTGCTGCTCCCAGGACGAGGGAAGAGATGAGAATCTTGACTCCATGTTTCAGAAGGCTGATTTATTATTTTATGATATAGATTATATTAAAGAAAAGGATATATTAAAACTATTCTAAAAGAATAGAAGAAAGGGTTTCATCAGAAGGCTTGAAAGGAATAGAAAGGAATGATAATAAAATCTTGTGTGTGAGCAGAGAGTCTGACACAGCTGGACTGTGATTTGCCATTAATTAAAAACAACCACATGAGACCAATCAAAGATGCACCTGTTGCATTCCACAGCAGCAGAAAATCATTGTTTACATTTCATTTCTGAGGCCTCTCAGCTTCTCAGGAGAAAAGATCCTAACGCAATGATTTTTCATAAAGTATGGAAAATATTTCCATAAATATTGGAAATATTTATGGAAAATATTTCCAATATTTACAGAAAATATTTCCATTTATGGAAAATATTGCCATAAAATATGTCCATGACACAGGATATTCCCCTGAAAAGATAGTGTGAGCGTGTTCACAGGGGTCTCAGGTTGAGGGAAGAGACGAGGATCTGACTCCATGTTTCAGAAGGCTGATTTATTATTTTATGATATAGATTATATTAAAACTATGCTAAAAGAATAGAAGAAAGGATTTCATCAGAAGGCTGGCTAAGAATAGAAAAAGAAAGAATGATAACAAAGGTTTGTGGCTCAGATAGATGGTTCGAGCCAGCTAGGCTGTGATTGGCCATTAATTAGAAACAACCAACATGGATCAATCAAAGATCCACCTGTTGCATTCCACAGCAGCAGATAACCATTGGTTCCATTTTGCTCCTGAGGCCTCTCAGCTTCTCAGGAGGAAAAATCCTAATGAAAGGGATTTTCCATAAAAGAAAGGAAAGGGATTTTCCATAAAAGAAAGGAAAGGGATTTTCCATAAAAGAAAGGAAAGGATTTTCCATAAAAGATGTCTGCGACAGCTGGATTTTCATGGCTGGCAGCAGCACAAGGCTAAAACCACCAGGGCAGGGGCACTGAGGTGGGCGCTGTGCCCCCAGGCCTGCCTGGTGCCCACGGCTGAGACGGCGCGGCTGCGGTTCCTGGTGGCCAGGCTGCTGCAGCGCCAGCGCCCCGTGCTGCTGGTGGGCACCGCTGGCACGGGCAAGTCCGTGCTGCTGGGGGACACGCTCTGCTCGCTGGACACCGACGCCTTCCTGGTCAAGAAGGTGCCCTTTAACTACTACACCACCTCTGCCATGCTGCAAGGTAAGCTCTGGAACCCTGCTGGGGGGGTTAGGGTTGGATATCTGCGGGAATTGCTGCACTGAAAGGGTGGTTGGGGATGGGAATGGGCTGCTCAGGGAGGTGGTGGAGTCACCATCCCTGGGGGTGTTTGACAAAGCCTGGGTGTGGCACTCAGTGCCATGGTTTAGTTGACAGGGTGGTGTTAGGTCACAAATTGGACTCGATGATGCCAAAGGTCTTTTCCAGCTGGGTTGATTCTGTGTCTTTCTGTGATTCTGTGTCATTCTGTGTCATTCTATGTCATTGTGTTTCATTTTGTGCCATTGTGTGATTCTGTGACATTCTGTGTGGTTCTGTGTCACATCATCATTCTGCGATTCTGTGTCTTTCTGTGATTCTGTGTCTTTCTGTGACATTCTGTGTCATTCCATGTCATTGTGTTTCATTTTGTGCCATTGTGTGATTCTGTGACATTCTGTGTGATTCTATGATTCTGTGACATTCTGTGTGATTCTATGATTCTGTAACATTCTGTGTGATTGTGTCATTCTGTGCCATTCTGTGACATTGTGTGATTCTGTGCCATTCTGTGCCATTCTGTGTGATTCTATGTCATTCTGTGTCATTCTGTGCCATTCTGTGCTATTCTGTGACATTGTGTGATTCTGTGCCATTCTGTGTCATTCTGTGCTATTCTGTGACTCTGTGCCATTCTGTGCCATTCTGTGACTCTGTGCCATTCTGTGACTCTGTGCCATTCTGTGACTCTGTGCCATTCTGTGCCATTCTGTGCCATTCTGTGCCATTCTGTGATTCTGTGCCATTCTGTGCCATTCCTGGGGCATCCACTGGGTTTTGGAGCAGGATGTGCACTGGGAAGCTCAAGGAAAGGCCCCTGGGTGAGTTGCCCCTGTTGTTGTTGGCACACTCACAACCCCACAGTGAAACTCTGCTCAGCAGAGCCCTGCTTTTGTGGGGATGATGTTTTCCAACCTGAGGATTTGCCTTCTTAACCCCACCACTCTGTTCAGGGCTGTGCCAAAGCCCAGCCTTCAATCTGCTGCAGTTTCCATGCCTTGTATTTGACTTGAAGTGTTTTTAACATGCTGGAATTGAAGAATAAGATGGGTTTTTTGGAGAGGATCCAAACTGTCCTCGGGGGTGCAGTGATGGGAACTGCATCCCAATTAGCAGTGAGGATGGTGCTAATGGCCATTTGGAGGCTGCAAGCCAGGCCTGGTTCCTGGGGTTGTGCTCCTGTCCTGCCACAGCCCAGCATGTCCCACATCAAGTGCCTCCCTCACAGCTTGCTGGCCTGGGGGGCTCAGACCTCCGAGGAATTTCTTGCCCCAGGGAAGCCCTTCAAGAAAAAAAAAGTGGGTAAAACCTCCCCTTCTGGCCAGTCTCACAGCCATGGGCAGTGTCATGGTTGCAGCCTCCCTTCTTCCTCTTCCTCCTGGAGTGGGAGTGCCCTGGCTTGGGGGGGGCTCAGCTGGGGCCCCTGGTGTTCCCCACCTGCCCAGGTGAGTGTGTGCAGGTGTGGGGCAGGTACAGGATGTCCCTGTTGCTCTGAGCTCCGGGCTGAGCCCTCCCCTTCCTTCCTCTGCAGAGCCCAGCACATCTTCATCACAGGGAAATGTGATTTATGCTGCCTGGCATCCTTCCCCACTGCTCATTTTTTAGTTAATTTGTCCCTTTTTTGTGGAGCTTGTCAGTTGGCTGCTTTTTTCCCTTCCCCAGCAGGTGCCTCTTTAGATTTGTAAAATGTGAATCCAAAGCAGTTTGGGATTTTAGTTTTATTTACTTTGCAAAGAGCCAACCTGAAAGCCAGCAATTTTTAGTCATGGTGCCTGTTGGGACAGAGGTTTTTAAGGTGCAGAGCTGCACTCTTGAGGGGAAGTACAGGGATGTGGTTCAAACAATCTTTGTGGACCTGTAGCTTACAGATTTTCATGTGCATGGGGGTTAACAGGAGCCAGACTCTCTCTGTGCCCAAATCTGGGCACAGTTTGGGGATTTTCTTTGGTGTATTGTGACCAAATCCCATTTCCTGTGGAGCCTGGAGCTCTGGTGTGCTGCTCCATGCCCTCTTGGACCTCTGCTCCTCCATCAGCTCCATCCCTGCCCTCATTCCCCACCTTCTCCCTCCAGATCTGCCTTGAGACAATGAGAATAAATGGTGGTTTTTGGGGTTGGGTTCTCTTTTCCCCATGGCCATCAGGGTGAGAGGGGCCACACTTGCCAAGTCTGGTGTGCAGTGAGGGTTTGAGGGGCTGATGGGGATGTGTCAGGAGCCCAGAGCAGGGACCCTGCAGGATTATTGTGGGATGAGCTTTGAATTAAAATGCATCTTCCACAAACATGTCACTTCATCCCCAGTAATTGCATTTCACTATGATGAATCTCCTGCATCCTTGTTTAACCTCGAAAAGGGCTGATTTTATGTGTTAATTAAGGCCTAATTAAATTTAAATTAAATGCTTATTTGAAACACTTAATTTGACTTGCTACCAGAAATTTCAAATATTGTGGTTTTATTGAAGGGGGAGAGAGACTCCACTGAGGAAAAATCTATCATTTTTCTAAGCACAATTCATGGCTTTATGCAGAAGTGCCTGTGACAAGAAAACAGCTGAATTCTTAGTGGGTAACCAGGCTGTCTGCAGGGCACCCAAGCAGGAAACAAATGGGGTTTTAAAAGATTCGTGGTCTGAAATAAAAACCCAGAATATAAATTTTCCCTAATAACTTTTGCCCTCGATAAGGGATGGCTGAAGTGTGCATTTGCACAAAGTTTTTATCAAAACTCCCAGTTGTCCCTAATTACAAAGGATTGCTCCTTGCCTTGCTGCTGCTCACAGGAGTGGTGATAACCCCAGACTGTGTCAGTGAAATAAATTCTGCCTCCATCTCCAGGAGGGCTGGGAGCACCTGGGAGTGAGGATGGGCTCCAAGAAGGCCCCTGGCAGGAAATTCACCCCAGAAAAGCTGCTGCTCTTTGCTTTGCCCCTTCCTGAGGCAGTAAAGGTTGCTCAGGCCGCAGTGCAAGAAATCAATAACCTATAAAACATTTTATGCAGCAGTGTGGGGTGATCTGCATGAAATATCACTCCAGCATTGTAAATATTCCCAATATGCTACAGTCTAGGGCAGCACATAACCTCAGCCTTCTGCTAAAACAAATGGGAATTTTCCAGAGCTTCCTAATGAGTTTTCTCTCCATGCTCTTCCTTCCTAAAAAGCCACAAAGATCACAGGTGAGCTGGGAGGGCTGGGGCTCCCTGCAGCAGGCACAGAGCACTCATCCCAGTCCCTCCTGCCCCTCCAGGTGTGCTGGAGAAGCCTCTGGAGAAAAAGGCTGGCAGGAATTACGGCCCCCCAGGCACCAAGAGGCTGGTGTACTTCATGGATGACCTGAACATGCCCCAGGTGGACGCCTACGGCACCGTGCAGCCCCACACCCTGCTCAGGCAGCACCTGGACTATGGCCACTGGTATGAGGCTGCTGGATCTCTGCTCTGGGGTGGCCAACTGGCACATCTGCACTGCTAAAAGCAGGGAAAGCAAAGAAGCAGAAGTATTGATGCCAGCTGGGGTCAGTGTACAAATCAGGAACAGGACAGGGCTGCTGGGAACGTGCCTTGAGCTGTTGGATTTTCCAGCATCAGTCTCATTCCATGGCTATGACAATGGGGAGATGCCAGCAGCTCACATCCCAGGCAGCAGACACAGAACTCAATGTCACAACTCACTTGATGAGTTTTGTGACCAATCCCACAAAGCAAAAGCACATTGACAGTAGTTCTATCCAACCACTATAAGCACAGGTACCTTTGGTTAAACAATGCTTGCTTACTTTGAATACAATATTTACTTGTAAGCCTTAAAACACAACACACAGAGCTCCATTATTAAGCTTCAACCTTCCCAATATCTTGCTAGTTAAACTTTTCTGCAGCTTAGGGAGTTATTCTAGACAAGCATTAATACACAGACCATTGTTCTATTTGTCCTTACTTTTCTACAGTTTAAATAATTTTCCTGCTGCCCAATCTCATGGCTGCTGCTTAGCTCCAATCCCAGTTCTGCTGTCTCTGAGGCTGCCTTTTGCAGCTTTCCCAAACCCCTCTGATTTTGTAGATTCCCACAAAGTATAATATTTGATTGAAGCCCATATTTCCCTCAAGCTGTCATCTAACAAAAAATTCTTCTTCTTCACCTTAAAAGCAACAGCGTGTGCGCTCGTTTTGTGTCCTATAGTGACAAAGAGTCTCATGCTCTGAGCTAGCTGGGCAGACATGGATTCTTACACCCAGGGGTGTGTGGTCACCATCTGTGGCTTTTGCTGTGCCCCAAGGTACGACAGGAGCAGGCTGTCCCTGAAGGAGGTCAGCAATGTGCAGTACGTGTCCTGCATGAACCCCACTGCAGGGAGCTTCACCATCAACCCCCGCCTCCAGGTAAAGCCCTTGCTCCATGGGTGGGGTTTTCAGGCTCAAGGCTTCAGGAGAACCTGTGGCAAATCCTGCTGTCGTTCAATCAGTGGAAACAGCATGAAGTGACTAATTCCTGATGGAATTTTTCTCCCTTCTTTGTGTTTCCTCTTGTTTTACTGCCCAGTGGGAGGAAGAAGTCACAAGTTCCCAGGCAGCTGGACACACACTCTCAGGAAAACTTCTGGTTCAGACAGGCAGATTTTACCTTTCTCTAGGTGATACTTACTGCTGGACCAGAGTTCTTGAAAGTCTTTTGGTGGTCAGGCACTGGAACTTGCAGCCCAGGGAAGTGGTGGAGTCACCAATTCTGGATGTGTTCAAAAATGAACTCCAAAATGGCACTCCACAGTATATTTTGAGATTTGTTCAAAGGTTGGACTTGATCTCAGAGGTCTTTCTAACCTTAACTATTCTGTGTTCTCTTCCTCTGCAAGTTCCTCATCAACAAAGGGTCTTGTGGGAGGTGGCACCTTCTGGGGCTGCTCCTACCAGAGACAGGCCTGGGCTTCACCAGGGGTCTGTGGGGCCTTCAGACCTCTCAGCTCTTCAGTGGACTGAGCTTCCCTTGTGAAATGCCACTGAGAATCCCTTGTTCAGCCACAGAAGGTGTCTCCTTCTGACACAGCAGAAGGGGTCTCCTGCCAGCTGTCCTCTGCTGGGAATTTGGGTGGGGACATAGTTCTGGTGGACTTCAAGTCATGGGATCATAGAGCATCCCAGCTTGGAAGGGACCTCAAAGGATCACCTGGGCCAACCTTTCCTGGGAAATGGAGCCCAGATGAGATTGTTCAGTGCTGTGCCCAACCACAGACAGGGCTCTGACCTGGGAGGTGGTTTCCCTCTCTCTGACCTTTCCACCTCTCACTTTCTCTTCCTCAGCGTCACTTCTGTGTCTTCGCTCTCTCCAACCCTGACCAGGACTCCTTGTCCAGGATCTACAGCACCATCTTAGTGCAGCACCTGGCCAGTGGGAACTTCTCAGAGGCCGTGCAAAAATCAGCCCAGCAGCTCCTTGCCCTGGCCCTAGGGCTGCACCGGAAGGTGGCTGCCACGTTCCTGCCAACAGCTGTCAAGTTCCACTATGTTTTCAACCTCAGAGACCTCTCCAATATCTTCCAAGTAAGTGCAGCTCTTGTCCTGTGCCATTTGGAGTTTGTGCCCGTGTCACAGGCAGCTGAGGTCCCTCTGGCCCTTGGTGAGCCAAACACAGTGTCCCACTCAGCAATGGCATAGCATGGGTGTCCCCTGTGCTCAGGGGGTGACATGGGGCCAATCCCTGATCCCTGGTTGGTTTTGAATGGATTCCAGAGCCATCACCCATGACTATTGACTTTCCAGCCTCCTCTGTGGCCGGTGGGGAGGGATGCAGAGCTCCAGAAGGAAGTGTAGATTTTGAGGGGTTTGAATTGTCCTCTGGCTGGGAAAAGGACAAACTGGAGAGAGCTTTGGGCTCCTACCACAGCCCTTTGAGCAGTGGCTGTTGTCAGGGTGCTGGAGCTGGGCTTGGTGATCCCCACCCATGGTGTGGGTGTCGGGGTCCATGGCACCACCCCACCACACTGGGAAGCTCCTCGTGCATGGGGCAGGGGCTGGGTGCTCTGGGGGCTGCAGGCCCTGAGGAGAGCACAGCAGTGGCTGCTTCAGCTGCTCTGCCAGAGCCAGGGCAGCTTGGTGGCTGTGCCAGCATGTCCTCTCAGGGGCTCAGCGTTGAGCATGCAGGATGGCAGTTAAAGAGTGAGAAATCAATCCAAACCAGCTTTGGTTTTACCACTGAAACTGAATTACCAGCCGCTGCACCAAAGTGAAGTTGTTCAGCTCCAGAAATGTTGTCTTCCATCCTGGGTGAGATTTTGTTTTCCTGTTTTCCCCAGCAGTCTCGTGCTTTGGAGCAGCTGGTGTTACTGCTCAAAGAGCCTTTCAGGCTTTCAGGCTGATTAATAAAATTTGATAAATTCCTCAGCAGCCACACCGAGGGTCAGCACCGTAGCCTGTTCCAAACCCCCAGCTGGTCATTTGTCACTGTCCTTGTTAACATCTGCTTCACCAAGTGGGCACGTGGAAGTTCAGAGCCTTGTGCCTGCCATTAGACAGGAGCTGGAGCAGAGACAGACAGGGAAATCTGGGACCTTGAACAAGTGAATAACTCCACTGAGGCAGGAAGGAGTCAGGGCTGTCACTGTGCTCAGCTGAGCAGCAGCAGCTCGGATGTGAGATGTGGGTCTGGGGAAATTCTGCCTTCCAGTTAATCTGGGCTTTGGGAGCTGCAGGGAGAGAACATTTCAGAGAGAAGCATCTCAGTGGGAGGCTTCAAATTGTGCCAGGGTTGGGGGGGTAACAGAAAACATCCTGCCAGATCCAAGCTCTGGGCAGAGGGTCACAGGAATGCTCCTCATTTTCCTATCAAGGGCTTCCCCATCCTCTTTCTTTCTTTGTTTCTGTTAAATGTTGGCTCCACCTCCATCCCAGATGCAGTGACCCACAGCCACGTGTCCCTTTTGCTTTTGGGTTGTGGGGGTCTTTAGATTCAGTCCCTTTAAGAGAAGATGAGTGACTTTTAATTTTAATCAGTTTAGGATCTGATGTGTTTTTCCTTCCTCTCTTTGAATTGTCAGCTTTTCTCACCAATTTTTTTTCTTTCTGGAATAAATAAAATAATTTGACAGCTGTAATGACAGATGTGAAACCCAAACAATCTGAGCCATGGACCAGTGAGCTGAGAGGGCCTGCTTTACATTGCTTTCAATGCATTTAATATTTAATGTATAAATAATTAGATGTTAGGAATAAAAGCTGTCTGTTTAATTCATACCATTGAAAACCCTGTGTGCTGTTAATAGCCTTAGTATAGGCGACACCTCTTTGAAATATAATTCTTTTATGCATTTTAATAGAGTTCATGGTAAACATACTGTGCTAAGCAGACAGCAACTGATATTTCCTGCAGGCAGAATGCACCTAATTAGAATTAATTGATTAAAAGAAAAAATAGCCACCAGTAACATTTCCAAACCCTTTTTTCCCCTTCTCGACAAAGCACCCCTGGCATGGGGTTGGGATGGGAGAACCACGTGTCTGGGCTGGTGCTTGGCTCTGCAGGCACCAAATGCTGAGAGCAGGACCCCAGCCCAGCCAGGGGAGGCTGGTGGGGGATTAAAAGGGGTGTAATGAGTGTAAACCTTCAAAATAAGGTGAGGAACATTCCCAGAGCTGTGGGCAGCAGGCTGAGGGAGGTGATTCTACCCCTCTGTGCTGCTTTGTCAGACCTCATCCAGCTCAGGGGTCCCCAGCACCAGGGAACCTTCCAGGAAGGACCTGGAGCTGCTGGAGGGAGCCCAGAGGGACACCAGGATGATCAGAGGGATGGGGCAGCTCTGCTGGGAGGAAAGGCTGAGAGAATTGGGGTTGTTCAGCCTGAGGATTGATCTGAAGTGATCTGACTGTGGCCTGAAGGGGCTCTGAGAGAACTGGAAGGGGCCTTTGGACAAGGGATGGGGTGACAGACAAGGGGGAATGACTTCCTACTGACAAAGGTAGGTTTAGATGGGAGCTTGGGAAGAAATCCTTGGCTGTAAAGGGTGGTGAAGCCCTGGCAGAGATTACCCAGAGCAGCTGTGGCTGCCCCTGGATCCTGGCAGTGCCCAAGGCCAGGTTGGACAGGGCTGGGAGCACCTGGGACAGTGGGAGGTGTCCCTGCCATGGCTGGGGTGGGATGGGATGATCCTGAAGGTCCCTTCCAACTCAAACCCCTCTGGGTTGAGAAGCAGCTTTGGGAGTTTTGGACTCACAAAGGACACGTTCCCTGGCTGTTGGGTGTGGGCTTGCTGAGGTGCAGGGGGCTGTGAGGGGCACTCAGCCTGGTGGGTGCTGGGGTGGAGTCCCTCAAGGCCAAGCCTGGGTTTCCTGGCTGTCTCTGCTCCCCACAGGGCCTGCTGTTCTCTACCCCTGAATGCCTGAAGCAGCCCCAGGACCTGGTGAAGCTCTACCTGCACGAGTCAAGCCGGGTGTACCGGGATAGGATGGTTGAGGAAGTGGATTGGGACACTTTTGATAAAATCCAGCGGGAGATGGTGAAGAAATGCTACGACGTAAGTGTGGAGATCTGATGAGCTCTAATGATGATGAGAAAGGAACAGAATGGGTTTATTGGAAGGGAAATCAGTACTGGGGATTTTCCTTTCCCTCTCTTTCACTCCTGAGCCTGTTTCCCCTTTTCCAAACCAGATGCAACCATGTGGACATAAAAAGGCTGGGACACCGTGGTTCCCTTGGACGGTGGCTCAGAGCTGCAGTGGGTTTTCCTGCATTTGTTCTCTATTTTCTTCTCTTTTACAGGATATTGAGGACACTTTAGAGCAGGCCAAACACATGAATATTTACTGCCATTTTGCCAAAGGCCTTGGGGAACCAGGCTATAGGCCAGTTCCAAGCTGGGAGGAGCTGAACCAGATCCTCGTGGAAGCCTTGGACAGCTACAACGAAGTCAACGCTGCCATGGACCTGGTACTGTTTGAGGATGCCATGAGCCACATGTAAGGGCTTTTCTGCCTTTATTTCCCCATCATTTGCCTGTGCAAATGGTTTTGTGGGGTTTCCTGGAGGATGTAGGAGTATGGATCCATGGGCTGAGGCTAATAATTTGTCGTTCTACAGGGCCAAGTGCCAGGTCCTGCTCTCTGCCTGAATATTTCTCAAATGTGACAACATTCAGGTGCTTTTTTTTGTCTTCCCTTGCCAGCTATGACAGAACTGGTTGTACTGGGCTTTCCCCAGATGCTGACTGCTGGTTTAGAGCCACATTTACACAGACCCTTAGTGGGATTTCCCTTTGTATAAAGTAAGATTATGTGCATTCAGCCTACTGCTTTTAAAGGATAGAGGCATTTAAACTGCTTTGATCCTTTGGAAAACCTGCTTGCATGGAGATGCCTGGAGGTGCAGATGGATTCCAGCTGGAAATTGGACATGTGGGACTATATGAAAATAAGCCTCCTGCTGATAATTATGAAGCTGTTTAGATGCTTTGGGGGCACCTCCAGCTCTCACACACAGCCTGGGGGGAATCCCAGCAGGGACAGAATCACTTCTGGGTGCTGGGATGCCGGGCTGGCCTTAGGTGGCTTCAGGAGATGGAGCTGCCCTGGCAATCAGAGCTTGAATTTGTATAGAAACCTGGTCCCAGGAGGTGCAGATTTGGCACTTTAAGTGGGAAGGAAGCCCACCCTGACCTGCTGCAGCCAGGCAGGGTGGGTGGTTTTAATTCTCACTGGACCTGGCAGCCTGTTAAAAATATATCTGTATATACACAGGAATAGCATTTACATATGTATATAAATATATATGTGTGTGTGTATGTATGTATGTATATGTATACTTATATACAAATATATATAAGTATATATACACACAAGAATATTTATCTGTATATATATACACATATATGTATATACATAAACATATATCTACATATATGTATATATGTCTAAATATTAATATTAACATTAATATTAAAATCTAAATATATATCTATATATAGAGAGATATAGGTATATAGATATATATGTATATCTATCTATCTGTCTCTATATATAATATAATATAAACACACATACAATTTTGTCTGTTCCAAGGGCTCCAAACCTGTGCTCAACCTGGGCACTCCCTCCTCCATCCATGGGGCCCATGGAATCTGCTGTCCATGGGTGTTTCTGCTTGCATTGCCTGCAGAATGGTGTCAGGAATATTGACCCTGTGCTGCTCTTGCACTTCACATAAATCGGGATTTGCAATTGGAATTTGCAAAACATGGCTCTGCCCCTCCAGTTCATACTGAGAATAATGAGGAAAGCAAGATTTGAGCATCCAGCAGCACTTGACAATTTCACTGGAGCTGAGTGAATCTCATTCACTGCATTTGGAAATTGCATTTGGCTGAAATACACAACTTCTTCCATCTCAGGCAGCTCCTGAATGTCAGCTTGAATTTGCTGAAGATTTTCAGTTAGGAGAAAAAAAAAGAAGGAAAAAAGACATTTGATGACTTAATATGTGTAGGGCCATGGGGGGGACCTGTCAGCCACCTCACCCAGGGCTGTGTCACAGCACGGAGCCCTGGGGAGCACATCAAGGCAGGGACACAGGCAGAGCTGGCCTGGGTAATTCAGAGCAGCAAGGCTAAAGCTCTCCTCATAGTCTGGATTGCTTTTATGGGAAAAAAATTCACAGCATTTATTAAATTATAAAAAATTCTGTCAGAGTCTGTGCGTAGATTATGGAATACTGGAGGTGTAATAAAGCAGGATAGTGTTTCTCACAGTTTCAAGTGAAAAATAATTAGATTAATCCAGGAAAATAGTGAAGGGAGCTAATAAAGGAATGGGGTTTGTGTTTCAGACCCTGGAGAGGGAGGGTTCCACAGGTGGGATCCTCTGGACCCCCCTCACCTTATGGGGAACATGTGGGGGTGTAGCATTTGCTTAAAGAGAACAAAAGGGAGGCAGACAGAGTTCACCACAGGACTCTCAGGTGAGCAGACCTGGGAAATAACAGCAAGTTCATTGTAAGAGTGAGAAAATCTCACTCTTATGTAGTGGTTGTGTGGATAAAAGGAACAGAGGTTGTTTTGCAGGAAGGTTTGTGCCATTCCAGCCAGGTGTGAATGTTCTGTAATGCTCAGCAGGGCTCACCTGTGCACAAATCCCAAAGCCTTGAGAAGAGAGAGGGGCTTTTCTGGGGAGGGGGTCAGAGCCTTAAATTTTGCTCTCAGTTTTTGCATGTCAATTTAACATCCTTTTCCCCTTGCACTCCCTGCAAAGACACCCAGGCCTTTGTTTAAACATTGTTCTGTCCAGCAGGACTTGGCAGGTGGGAAAAAAATAGGCACATTTTGAATTGCCACCAAACTCTGGGGGTTTTTTTTTGGACAGGTCTCATCAGAGATGAGCATTGATTGCTGCCACATCTCTGAGACTGCCATTCCTCACCCCGCTCAGAACACAATTTCCTTGTGAATAAAATATGTATTGAAGAGCAGTGGGCAGAGAAATGGGAGAGCCGTGTTGCTAATGAGAGGTTTTTGCATGGCTCGGTGCAGCTGCCGCATCAGCCGCGTCCTGGAGGCGCCGCGGGGGAACGCGCTCCTGGTCGGCGTGGGAGGCACGGGCAAGCAGAGCCTGACCCGCCTGGCTGCCTTCCTCAGCTCCCTGGAGGTCTTCCAGATCACCCTGAGGAAAGGCTACGGCGTCCCTGACCTCAAGGTGGGGGATTTGAAATGGAGGGGAGGGAAAAAAAGAGCAGAGCTTGCCCTGAAGGGTTGTCGTGTGTTGGGAAAGAGAATGGGGGAGGATGATCGTGTGCCCAGGTGGGAAAGAGGTCAAGGTCACCTGGGATGACAGCAGGGTCAGTAGAGTGCCCATCCCCTGTGCTGGCACTGCTGGGACACCTCCAGAGCTGGGGACAGCTCTGGGACACTCAGGACAGGAAGGACATTGAGGGGCTAGAGTGTGTCCAGGGAAGGAATGGAGCCCCAGGAGAGGCTGAGGGAGCTGGGCAGGGGCTCAGCCTGGAGAAAAGGAGGCTCAGGAGGGCCCTTGTGGCTCTGCACAGCTCCTGACAGGAGGGGACAGCCAGGGGGCGTCAGGCTGTGCTCCCAGGGAACAGGGACAGGAGCAGAGGGAACGGCCTCAGGCTGGGCCAGGGCAGCTCAGGGTGGATAGCAGGGAATATTTCTTCACTGAAAGCGCTGTCCAGCCCTGGCACAGCTGCCCAGGGAGGTGGTGAAATGGCACACCCCTGGAGGGATTTAAAAGCCATATGGATGTGGCACTTGGGGACATGGGATAGTGGTGGCCTTGGGCACTCAGGGGGAACATTGGATATGATGTCCTTAGAGGGCTCTTCTGACCTAAATAAGGTACTGAAACACCCCAGACACGACATGCTGCTGTGGAGAAGAGCAAATGCCTTGCTGGAGTGTGTGTGCCCAGGGCTGCAGCCACACCTGGGCTCTCCTGGCAGGGCCCTGAGAACATCCCAGCCCAGCCCCGAGCCTCAGCCCTCAGCTGTGCTGATGTTCTCAGCCACTGGGCCGGCTCTTAATGATCCCATTCCTGTGTCTGGCCCGTGCTTTACAGCATGCAAGCCCTCCTGGTGTCTCCCCTGCAGGCAGACCTGGCAAACCTGTACCTGAAGGCTGGGCTGAAGAGTGTGGGCTCTGTGTTCCTGCTGAGCGACGCACAGGTGGCGGACGAGCAGTTCCTGGTGCTGGTCAACGACTTCTTGGCATCAGGTGCAGCCCTTGTGTTACAGGAGCCTCCTCCAGCCAGGTTTCATCAGCTCTTGGAGGTCTATAACACACCCAAGATAGCTCAGATACCCTTGGAGGCATAAAAATCAGCAGGATGGCTTCTGTTGCGGTGTTGGAAACAAAGAGGTTTAATAAAAGGCAAAATAACAAACATAGAAAAACCGAGCCAGGTGCAGGAGGTCCTTGCTCCTGGTAAAACACCTCAAAAATGCAATTAGTTTCTTTGTTCACTTCTTTTTCTAGTAAATTGCCCAGGCAGGACTTTTTGGCTTCTGTCCAATTGGCCATCCTTAAGTTTGAGGTGAAGGCCCTGGCACAGGGTGCCCAGAGCACCTGTGGCTGCCTCTGTATCCCTGGAAATGTCCAGGGCCAGGTTGGATGGGGCTTGGAGCAACCTGAGATAGTGGGAAGTGTCTTAATTACTTGTTTCACTTGTTGTCATTATGTAGAACAAAATATACCTTTAATTCTCTTTGATGAATGAGCAGATTTCTGATTAGTGTTTTCAGTGCTCGTATTGAAAGTGTCTGGCTCAATAATGATGATTTTAATCAAATCAGAAGCCAGAAAGGAAGTGAATATGTGATATATTAAGGAAACACTAAGAAAAAAAATGTGGTTGGTTGCATTTTAGGCAAACAGCTGCTTAACTATTAACTTATAGAAGCTTTTTACAAGATTTGTAACTTGTAAAATGTTTGGATGGTCTGGGAGTTATTTGGCCACTGCTGGAAAGGGCCCTGAACAGCTGCAAAAATTTTACGTGTAATTAATGCACTTGCAAAACTACAATGATTTTATAATACATATGGCATATTAGGGATTTGAATATTTCTTTTTTAATCTAATTAGACTGCAGAGCTAAAAAAAAAAATTGATTTTCTGTACTTTGACTCTATTCGATCTTCCTTTCCCTTGTGTTTTATAAGGAAGTTTGCTTTCACAGGTGTTTATTTTTCAGCAGCATGACCTTGTGTGCCCCTTTGCTGCTTCTGGGGCTCAGGGGGAGCTGGTGCAGGGGTTTTACCTGAGGAGGGGACATCCCTGAGCCCCTGAAGAGGGGGACAGCAGCTTCCCTTTGCTCTGAGACTGCAACAACAACATCCACATGTGTAAACCCAAACGTGCCCTCCTGTCCTAGGGGAAATCCCGGATCTCTTCCCTGATGATGAAGTGGAAAACATCATCAGCAGTGTGAGGAATGAAGTCAGGGGCCGGGGGCTGGTGGATTCCAGGGAGAATTGCTGGAGGTTTTTCATTGAGCGAGTCCGACGGCAGCTGAAGGTGAGATGGAGCACGAGGGGTTGGTGCTGAATGATTTTTTTGCCTTTTTCCTTTTATAGATTCTCTGTGCTCTTCCCACACATATTTGTAGCCTGTTATTGTATTAGTAGCTAGTTCCAGTACTTTTCCCTAGCCAGAAAGACAAAATTCTGAGCTCCAAGCCCCAGGGGGCACAAGGCCTCCATCCTATCTTGGTTTTTCTGCGAACCAAGGCCAAAAACCAGCTCTTCAAGACATATTTTCATAACAAAGTTTAGTTTCCATCTGTGGTCCATTTGCATATTGGAGTTAATTGTGCAATTCCAGCTTTAGGTTATGAAGTCCTATCCTTCTTTTCTCTCTTTAGCCCACGTTGTTTGTGCTCTTGGGCCTGAGATTTGGGTCATTTGTCCTTGGTCCCCAGCTAGAGCAGGAATTGTTTTGCCTCCTACTGTGGGAATCCAGGATTCCTGAGCAACTGACCAATATGATCAAGCAGAGGCTGTTTATTGTTTACATTACACACATGTTTATGGATTCTACAAAATTCTAAGCACACACTTCTTGATTGGTGCCTTTGTCTTTTCACTCGTTTTCTGCCTGCATTTCTCGGAGTATGTGATTGGTTACATTCCAGGCCTTTCACAGTCCTCTTATTTAGTTCTTGTGGTCTTGGTATTCAGTTTCTCAGCCTCTTCTTTCTTAATTTAGCACAATTTATGTTCCAATAGCCTTGATGAATTCCTGAGGCTTTGATAACAAACTTAAAAGCAAGGCTGGCTGGTGCACACTATGGCCTAACCCTTGCAAACACATTGCAACAGTCTGCCTGCTCTGTGAAGAGAGCTCACCAACACTGCATAGGAAGCTCAGAACTACACTAAAGCAGCACAGAATCTGAAACTGGAGGCACCAAAGGGGTCATGGAGCCCGAGGTGGGCTGTGATTTGTGGAAAAAAAAACAACTAACTCTACAACTTGTAAAAGTTATAAAGCTGGTATGTTTATTACAGCACTGGACACATGTGGGGATCGTTCTTCTTAAAGGACATGTGCACCTTTGGGAATTCTGAACTTTTTAAAATCTCTTTCACTCATAGATATGCATAGAGTTTTATAATATGTTTATGGGTATTTATTTTACTAGTTTTTACTAGTAAAATATTTTACTAGTAAAATATTAGTAGCTAGTTCCAGTACTTTACTAGTAAAATATTAGTAGCTAGTTCTAGTACTTTACTAGTAAAATATTTTTTTACTAAAACCTAGTAAAATAAATACGCATAAACTTATTATAAAACTCTATGCATATATACAAGTATGTATATATTTATTAGTTTTTAAATATACTTTAAAAACGAATATACTAGTTTTTACTAGTTTTGTGTTACACTTGTAGCTAGTTTTTTTATTAGAAAGTACAGAAAGAACCCTTAAGTCATTTTGTTTGTTTCTTGTAGTTTATGTTTCAAAGTTTGAGAGGCCTCTTTTATCTCTTTTTATATTCTTTTCTCTCAGTTAAAGTAGCTTTGTGAGTATAAGTTTTTTGTGAGAACAGGTAGCTTTGAGCACAGACTAAGCAACACATCTCATCTACGTAAGCAAGCTACAGACTTAATAATTTAAACCAGCACATTTTACCTACATCTGCAACAGATGGAAATGTATTAAACTTTCACTCCGTTCCAGCGGCAGGGCAGGTGCTGCTCTCCCTGTCCCTGCCCTGTTCCTCAGTGTCCTCTCCTGCTCCTCAGGTCGCTCTGTGCCTGTCCCCCGTGGGCCCCAAGCTGCGCCTCCGCAGCCGCCGCTTCCCGGCGCTGGCCAGCGGCACCACCATGGATTGCTTCCAGCCCTGGCCCCGCCAGGCCCTGGAGTCCGTCAGCCTCCGCTTCCTGCGGGACATGGACACCCTGCAGGTGAGCACCAGCACAGATCCTGTGCGGGGACACTGGGGACAGCGCTGGCCACAACCAGGGTTGGGTATTTTCAGGGTCTGCCGTGGCAGGAAGGAAAGGTGAATCTGACTCCATGTTCTTAGAAGGCTAATTTATTATGATATGATATTATGTTATATTCTGTTATATTGCACTACGTTATATTATGTTATACTACGTTATATTATGTTATACTACACTATGTTATGTTATACTACACTGTGTTATGTTATACTACACTATGTTACGTTATACTATATCATACTATACCATATTATACTAAAACTATACTAAAGAATAGAGAAAGGATACTTAACAGAAGGCTTAACAAGATACCAATGAAAAACCTGTGACTCTCTCCAGAGTCCCGACTCAGCCTGACCGTGATTGTTTATCCAACATGTGAATTGTTTTTAGTTAATGACCAAGCTCCAAATCACATTCCAAAGCAGCAGAACACAGGAGAAGCAAATCAGATAATTACTGTTTTAATTTTTCTCTGAGGCTTCTCAGCTTCCCAGGAGAAGAAATCCTGGCAAAGGGATTTTTCAGAAAATACGACAATGACACCAGAGGTGGCCCCATGTCACTCATGCTGTGTCAGGGAGGGTTGGGTTGGCCTCCAACACATCCAGGTGGCTCTCCAGAGAGGCATCACTGGTGGCACTGAAGTGCTTTAAACTCAACCAAACCATCACTGAGGCGCACTCCACATTTCTTTGGAGAAGACCATGGGCAGAGCCATGGGCACCATGCTCTTGTGTCACTGGGAAATGCTGAGGATGTCTTACTGGGAGCTGAGGATGTCTTACTGGGAGATGCTGAGGAGTCACTGGAAGCAATGATGTCTTACTGGGAGCTGCTGAGGGGTCATTGGGAGCTGCTGAGGGGTCACTGGGAGCTGCTGAGGTGTCACTGGGAGCTGATAGCACTGCCAGGGAAAGGACAACTCTGCCAGCACAAGGGCAGCCCCAAACCTGCCCAGAAAATAACCTGCTGCTCTCCCCACTTGTGTCTGAGCCTCTGGAAATCTCAAGGACAAAAATAGGTCAAGTTCTCAGTGATGACAATCTGCTACTAGAATAGGGATTCTTTTCTGTTTATTTAGCTTTTCCAGGCAGGATTTAGGAAGAATAAAGCCTACAATGTTTCTTTTTAGGAGTGTGCACTTTTCCCATTTGTACAGGAGAAAAGCCCAAAATTATACTTAAAAGAGCTGTTATTTTGTAGAGAAATTGCTTGGAATAAGATAATGTGTGAGATAAAAAGATATAAAAAAGGGGTATAAAGTACATGAGCAACAAAGTTATTTTAGAGATAACAGTGAAAAGGGATCAGCTGAGGTGTTACCCCCTGGATTGTGCTGCAGCAGAATCAAAAGTTACCAAATTCCTTTCTATTCAGCACACACCTGTGTTTATATATAGTTTTCTGTTTAAAACACTTTCTCCTCATCTTCCCACCTTCCCTTTAGGATTCAGTCAAGGATTCAATAAGCAAATTCATGGCCCACGTCCACATCAGTGTCAATGAGGTGTCCCGGCTGTACCTCAGCAACGAGCGCCGCTACAACTACACCACCCCCAAGTCCTTCCTGGAGCAAATCAAACTCTACCAGAGCCTGCTGCTGAGCAAGGACAAGGAGTTAAAGGCAAAAATGGAGCGCCTGGAGAACGGCCTGGAGAAGCTCAAGAGCACTTCTGCACAGGTAAGGACTCCTTGGGGTTGGTTTTCCTTGTTTTTCTTGTCTGGTTCGAGGGAGAGCTTTACAGGGAAGAAATTTGGGGTGGATCTTGGCTCTAGCCTGGCTTGAGCTGGGTTTCTGGAGGAGCAGAAGTGATGCTCTGCACTGGAAAGGAGAATGGAGAGGTGTGTGCTCAGTCACTGCTGTTTGGGAGGTAACTGAAAGATTTCGGTAAGTAAAATGAGATTGGGACCAGCTAGCTCTGCCATCCTCTTTTAATGGTTAAATTTCAGCTGTGCTGACAAAACAGCTTAGAAAATACAGGACAGTCAGTGATTTTTGGAGTTGAATCCAGGAAATCTACAATAACCTCAGCAAGACTCTTTCAAACTAAACAGTGCATGCTGTTAAAACGAAGTTGATGTTCATTTTTCCTTCTATTATGTTATCCATCTTTAAGGAAAGCTAACACATGTCTGAAATGCACATCAGCCATCCCAAAATGCCCCAGCTCAAGACTCTCACTGGCACTCTCCTCTGGTAGTGACTAGAAGTTGTTCTGGGTGTTTCCCAGCCCTCTCTGCAGTGACACCTACATCTGTTGCTACACCCCCATTTTGCTCTCCATTTCATATTCTATTAACCCTCACAAATGTTTGCTCACCAAGCTTCTCCAGTGGCAAATGAGGCTGTCCTGGAGCTGCTCTGGAGGAATGCAGGGGGGTTGATGAGGAGGGAAGGACTGGCAGGTCCATCCCCTTCCACACATCAGCTCTGGAGCGTGCTGGGAGCATCAATCTCATCTGTCACACTCAGGGGACAGAGCCTGCCTGGAGGTGATGGATGGGCTGGGCTGGTGCTCTCAGTGCTGATGTCTCCATCTCTCTTCAAACAGCCTCTGCTCACTGAGCAGGACATGGCAGGGGTGGGCACTGCCATGTCCCCTGTGCAGGTTTTAGCATCTCCTTTGGAGGGAGGGGGTAGCAGAGAGCACTGGTGGCACCCACCAGAGGCACAAGGCTGTGCCCTCACTGCCCAGCACACACCTCACCTTGTCACCAAAACTACAGAGAAAACAAAAACCCTCCAACAACACTCTTAGGGTTAGAGAATTGAGGCATTATTATGGTCTGGCCAGGATGTGCAACAGAAATAATTTCATTCACACATAACCTGGGTGTGCAGAGAAAATCATTCCATGGCACATGAATCTTACCTGTTTTTTCACAAACATTATGCAGTCAGAACTCATAGAGATTCATTGGTTCAGTGTTAATTGATATCAAGTCATGGAGTTCTTAATCTTTGGTTTCCTGTTGGTTCCAGATCTCTTCCCCTCTGATGCTAATTAGGTTCTCATTACCTCTGATGCTGATTGGGTTCTCATTCTTATTTCTCTTTTCCCAGACCAGGTGTCTCAGACCACGACAGGGGTGATGTTTGGAGCTATTGGTTGTTATTTTTTTTTGTATCTTCTGTGCTATTCCCAGTCTGTTAAGTTGTTACATTCATCAGGCCTTGCCTGGTGGAATAATGCCCTGGAAAGAAACAGAAATTCCCTTCCCCGGGGACAAAGGCAAACAAACCTGACTAAAATTATAAATTTTGAACTTGTTATATTTTCCAGCTACATCACCTCACCCATGCAGGCAATAGCTCTGATGGACCTGTGGGGTGCTGCTGTTTTTTCAGGACTCCCCAGTCATGGATAAGGTGGATTAGGTTTATTTTTTTTTTTTGGAGCAGCTAATATGAAATGAATTTTTGTGAACAAGTCCCTGGGTCTGTTGTGACACATGGGAGCCCTTCTGTATCCTTCAGGCTTCTTTTCAGTGGGTGCTGTGTGGGCAGGGTTCTCTGCTGAGCCCCAAAGCAGTGGTGGGGGACTTGAAGGCAATGGGAAGGATGGGAAAATCAAATCCCAAGAAGGATGGAAGAGCACAGTGTTGGTGTCTGGTTGCAGTGAGGCTGGGCTGGGAGGTGCCTCCTTGAGCAGGTAATTAAGATGCAGAGCAGTGAGGACAAACATGTCAAATTCAAGTCTAAAATTAGCACTGGGGGCCTAAAATTAAACACCTAAATTACCAGATGTGCGCAATAGTCGAAACTGCTGTTGATTTGAAAGCAGAGTGTGGATATTTATCAGTATTGGAAACCATACCAGCATGTCCAATCTTGAACATGGGTTTAAAAGGCTGAACTTTACATTCACCCATGGAAATACTTGATCTTGGGCCTGAGGAAGTGGAGAGTCCTCTCTCACTCAGGTGTGTCACCTGCAGGTTGTGTTGGGCGTGATGTGCTGAGGGAATTTTCAAAGTAAAGGTGGAGGATTTTGATCCCTGGCTATCACCTGGCTGTGCTGCAGCTCTGGGGACTGGTGCTCATCCCTGGCATTCTCCAGGGCCCAGTTAAGGGTGAGGTTTGAGTATTTCTCTAGGCTCAGAGTGGCCTCAGCACGAGGGGCTGCTGTAACAGGCGCTGCGGGTATTTTTTACTTTGCTGTTCCCATTTCAAAATAACCTCTCTGCCTCCTTTCACTGCAGTCCCCTCTACCTCCACCCCTTTCTTTTTTTCCTTTCCTGTGGGGATTTGGACACCTGGATGCTGCTGGCCAGCTTTGCTCCTCCAGGAATGTTTTACAGCCACCTCTCCCTGCGGCCAGTGCATCCTCAGCTCTCAGGGAAGCTGAAGCCTCCTTCCCGTTAGGAGATAATGGATTGGGAAGATGTGTGGGATGAGTCACTTGTTTTTCAGAGTGCTGTGTGCCACCCAGAGGTCAGCACCCATTGCTGAGTAATTCTGAGGATGGCTGTGGTTAATATTGCATCACTGCATTCCAGATTCCAGCCTGCCTGCCGCTATCAATTAATCGCTGACCTTTTGATGTGTTTTGTGTTCTTGAAACAAGGCAGGGACAATCAGATAAAATGAGTCTTCTGGGAGCCTGCCCTCCAGGTTTTCTTCTCTTCAATAATTTTTCTCATGCTGTTCTGGTGGTAGGCAAGGGCTTCTCCCTTCCTTTCCCTGATGAAGTCACAGCACATTACCCTTGAATTTCTCATTTGCTTTGCTCTTTGCCTTTCCACCTCACATTACTAATTGCTTATCAGATTGTTCTGCACTCAGGAAGCTGCTCACAGGTTTCTCATGGAATCACAGAATCACAGAATGCTTTGGGTTGGAAGGGATCTTAAAGATCATCCTTTTCCACCCCTGCCATGGCAGGGACACCTTCCACTGTCCCAGGCTGCTCCAAGCCCTCTCCAGCCTGGCCTTGGGCATTGCCAGGGATCCAGGGGCAGCCCCAGCTGCTCTGGGCACCTGTGCCAGGGCCTGCCCACCCTCCCAGGGAAGGATTTCTTCCTGATAGCCAACCTAACCATGCCCTCCTTCAATATGAAGTAATTTCCAATTGTCCTGTCACTTCAGGCCCTTGCAAACACTCCTTCTCGAGTGTTCTTCCTTTTTTAAAATCCTGACAAAGTCATTTCCCCTTCCATTGTGCTTGGCAGGGCATTGTGTGTTCCCCAGGGCTGAGCTTACACCTGCTCTTTGTGCTGCTGTTGAGTGCCTGTGGATTTTAATCCCCTGCTTGCTTTGTCCTGGCCCTGTAAACCCCTGGAGCTGCTGTTTGTGTGTGTATCCAGCACACAAAGGCTGATTTCTGGGCAGAAGGTCACAGCCATATCAGCCATCAGCAGAGCCCACTTCAATTTCCTGCAGCCCCCAGAGAGCTGGAGCTGAACAAGGAGCTGCTGCTGGGTTTGTCACAGGGAGGGATTCTGAGAGCCTGGATTTACAGCTGTGCCTTTGTCCTGCTGAGAGCAGTCCCACAGAGCCAGGAGCAGGGGATGGTGATGGATGGAGGGCGTGTGGAGAGCCCTGAAAAGCTGCTCTCCACGTGAAGCCAATGCCAAATGTCAACAGCTTCAGTTCATGGATTGCAGGCTGTGCTCTCCCTTCTGGTATCAAAATGGTGTCACCAAAACCAGTGTATGCTTCCCTTCCTGTGAGTACTTTTGTGTGGGTAAAGATGTACCCCAGGAGCTCTAAGGGAACCTTTTTGAGCCTGAGATCAGGCAGTGAAAGCCTCTGTGCTCTGCCCAGGGTCTGGGTGAGTTCACTGACATGGGGATTTTAGCAGGAGCTTTTCTGACTGCCAGTGAGAGCCTGTGTGAGCTTCCCCCTGTGCAAATGCTGCTGAGGGCTCCTGTGTGTGAGCAGGGCTGAGGAGCTGCCACCATGGCCATGCTGGTGGCCTCCTGGCTGCCAGCTCAAATGGATGTCCCTTTTCAGGCTCATCTGACATCACATTCAAAGCCCCTTGAACCTCAGAGCTCTGGATCTGTCAGCAGATGCCAACTGCAATTTTCCTGGGGTGAAAATGAAGTTAGGAAGAAGTTCTTCTCTGTGAGGGTAGGGAAGCCCTGGCACAAGGTGCCCAGAGCAGCTGTGGCTGCCCCATCCCCATCCAAGGCCAGGTTGGACAGGGCTTGGAGCAGCCTGGGACAGTGGAAGGTGTCCCTGCCCATGGCACAGGGACTGGATGGGGTTTAAGGTCCCTTCCAACCCAGACCATTCCAAGTTCCTGTGATTTCTGCAGGACTGATGGTCTCAGAGCAGATGCTGCCCCTGCCCTGAGCCTGGGGAGGGCAGGGTGTGCTGGGGTGAGCAGGAGGCTCAGGCAGTTCCTGCTCCAAACCAACTCGTGCCCAGGTTTGCTGCTGGCAAGGCTGAGAAGCTGAAGTGTGGCTGAACTGGAGCCTTGTCACCTCCCCAGCAAGGCACAGCAGCTCTGCTCAGGGGGGATGTGACAACAGAGCTTGTGCCCAAAGCTGATGGGTTTGGGTTCACAGAGATTTCCTGCACATTCCTGCTGTGTGAAACTGATGCCTGGAACAGGGGCTGGACAGAGTTAAAGGAATAAAATGGGGATTTATTAAAAGGCCTCAAAGGATCCACCTTGGGCAGGGCAAGAGCCCAGGCAGGGCTGCACCCAAGGTGGGCCCAGCATGGACTCAGAGTCAGGAGTTTTCACCCTTTGATGAGTTCTGCTCCATTTCCACGCTGGGGTTCAGTGCCCAATCCCAGCTCCAGGTGATGCAGTCCCACCCTCCCAGGTTGCTCTCCTCCATTCCCTGCTGTTTGCACTTTTTGGGGCTGAGGCTGCAGCGGTGTCCTTGGTTCTGGGGCTGGAAAAGGATTGTTCTGTGTGCCTGAGCTGGGAGGAGACCTTGCTGACACTTTCTGTGCAGTTCAGAGTTATTGACCAGTGCAGTGCAGAGCCTGGGAAATAGGAAAGATAAAACTGAAGGCATCAGCAGGACTCTGCTGAGAGCCAGGCCGGGGTCCCTCTCTGGGTGTGAGGCTGTGCTGGGCACTGAGGAGCAGGCAGGACAGCCCAGCTCCCACAGATCTCTGCCCTGCAGGTGGATGAGCTGAAGGCCAAGCTGGCAGCCCAGGAGGTGGAGCTGAAGCAGAAGAACGAGGATGCTGACAGGCTGATCCAGGTGGTGGGCGTGGAGACGGAGAAGGTGAGCAGGAAGAAGGCGGTGGCCGATGAGGAGGAGCGGAAGGTGGCCCTCATTGCCCAGGAGGTGGAGCAGAAGCAGAAGGACTGTGAGGAGGACCTGGCCAAGGCTGAGCCTGCCCTGGCAGCTGCCCAGGCTGCTCTCAACACCCTCAACAAGGTAGGGTGAGGATTCCCTCAGTCTTTTTCCTCCTCACTGGGGGAGAGGGGCTGTGTCCTCCGATGTCCCAAGTTCTGCACATTGTATTGTCCCTTCTCCAGCTTCCTCCCTGCTGATGTTAAAGTGTGTCAAAAAGGATTGGATGTGTCACTGAGAGCCATGGTTTAGTTGACAAGGAGGTGTTTGGTCACAGGTTGGACTTGCTGATCTCAAAGGTCTTTTCCAGCTGGGTTAATTCTGGGGTTCCTGGTGGAACTCAGAGCACCCACGAGGCTGCACCATGTTCCCCTTCACTCATTGCCATGGAGAGGAGCAGACAAAGCTGGTCCAATGGAAGATGTCCCTGGGAAAAGGTGTGATCAGGAGATAAGCATTGCTCTGATTGCAGGAGATTGGTTTTGGGAGGAGTTTTTGTGCCTTGGAAGGTTTGTCCTTCAAGGGTGCTCCAGGGGTTCCCATTTGATGTGGCACTCAGTGCCATGGTTTGGTTGGCAAGGTTGGTGATAGGTCATAGGTTGGACTTGATTGTCTCAAAGGTCTTTTCCAAGCTCATTCACTCTGTGGTGCAGTGAGGTGCCTGAGAGATGGTCCTGCAATTTGTTCTGGCTGCAGTTCATGCACAGTGTGATAGTGAGTTTGCAAACTTGGGAATTCAGGAGTTGGAGACAAAAATGCCCTTTTGGTTGCACCGGTGCAGTTTGGCTGCTTGCCTTGTGAGGGTGCCTGGGCTTTCTCAGCAGCTGCATTCCCTGAGGGCTGCAGGATGTGGGAATCAGAGGATGGATTTGGCACTGGCATCTCAGCCTGGGTAGGAGGGAGCATCAGGGGAAGCTCTGAAGGTTGTTTTAGAGGGCCTGAGCATTATTTCTACAGGTTTCATTCTTATTTATCCCAATCTTCTGAGAGGGCCTAAAACCTCCTGCTCCCCCAGGAGCCTGGGGAGGAGCAGTGTGCTGTGCTGGTCCCAGGTGGGATGTCAGGAGCAGGGAATGGAGCAGGTGTGCTGCAAACATGCAGAGCAGTGATCTAAAGGCAGCACTGCTGGGGCCCAGAGGAGCCCAATTTATCAGATTGATAGCCTGGGAGCCTGACTCCATTAGTGGCAGAGTGAAAAGAAAGCCCATTCATTTTTACCTAACAACCTTGTTTTCCCCTTTTCAGACCAATCTGACGGAGCTGAGGTCCTTTGGGTCACCTCCTTCTGCTGTCAGCAACGTCACAGCAGCCGTGATGGTGCTGACGGCCCCGGCAGGGAAGATCCCCAAGGACAGGAGCTGGAAAGCAGCCAGAGTGGCCATGGCAAGGGTAGACAGCTTCCTGGACTCCTTGATCAACTTCAACAAGGAGAACATCCACGAGAACTGCCTCAAAGCCCTGCAGCCCTATCTGCAGGACCCCAGCTTCAACCCCGAGCTCGTGGCCACCAAGTCGGCGGCGGCGGCCGGGCTGTGCTCGTGGGTGCTGAACATCGAGCGCTTCCACCGCGTCTTCTGCGAGGTGCAGCCCAAGAGACAGGCTCTGGACAGGGCCAACGCTGAGCTGGCAGCAGCCCAGGACAAGCTGGCCACTGTCAAGGCCAAAATTGCTGTGAGTGACCTTGGGGGGGGCTCGTCCTGCTTGTCCCTGCCTGGGGGAATCCTCAGCTTGGGCAGAGGTGCTGCTCGGTGTTTGTATTCTAAAGCAGGGTGGGAATCCAAGGGGTTGGGGGTTGTAGGGTTTTCTGTCCCTCCTGTTGCAGTGGCAGCCCCAAAATCCAGCCTTGGCTGAGCCCAGGGTGGGCAGCAGGGAGGGGAGGGGAGGGGGGTTCTGCCCCTCTGCCCCTTGCTCAGGTCAGAGCCCACCTGCAGAGCTGCCCCAGCACAGGGAGGAGCTGGAGCTGCTGGACAGAGCCCAGAGGAGGCCATGGAGATGCTCCAGGGCTGGAGCCAGGCTGGGAGTGCTCACCTGGAGAAGGGAATGCTCCAGGAAAACCCCAGAACCCCTTCCAGGGCCTAAAGGGGCTCCAGGAGAGCTGGAGAGGGACTGGAGACAAGGCATGGAGGGACAGGACCCAGGGAATGGCTTCAAACTGAAAGAGATGAAATTTAGCTTTGTTAAAGGGAAGGAATTGTTCCCTGGCAGGGTGGGCAGGCCCTGGCCCAGGTGCCCAGAGCAGCTGTGGCTGCCCCTGGGTCCCTGGCAGTGCCCAAGGCCAGGCTGGACACTGGGGCTGGGAGCACCTGGGACATGGGAGGTGTCCAAGCCATGGCAGGGGTGGAAAAGGTCTTTAAGATCCCTTCCAGCCCAAAGAATTCTGTGATTCTGTGACAGAATATTGCTGCTTTTTAAATTCCTCTGTTCTTCTCCAGCCTTGTTTGCACCTGAAGAGGAATGCTAAAATAAAAATCCTTGTTATTCCCACTTAATTTTTTTAGTGTAATTTACCTCTTCTCCTGGGCCCTCAGAAAACTCATGATCTCAAACCAGGGTGTTCCCAGTGTGCTGCACAGGGCAGGGGATGGCACCTGGAGGCTGATTCAGTGCTGGGAGCACAGAGCTGGGCTGGCTGCACACCCAGTGCCTGCTTTTGCAGGATGACAACTGCTCTTGCAGGAGCCTCATTTGTCACGGCACAGCTCCCTGGCAGCACATCTTGGATGTTATTTGGATTTTTGCTACTTAAAAAAAAAAAAAATTAAAAAAATCCCTGAATAGAAGAAATTACAGCGTGATTAAAAGTGCATTTCCACAGAGTGTAGAGTGAGACCTTTATCACTTTCCTTCAGAAAATTATCTCTATGTAAAAACACATCCTGCTTTATCCTGCTTTCCTCCCTGCTCCCTCCCAGCATGCTACCTGCTAAGAACAGGCTGTGGGAAGCAGCTGCTCTGGTTTTGGGGTGTTTTGGGATCTCTCTTTGGGAGTGGGATCCCCTCCAGGGCTGGACCCACAGCAGGGGCAGGGTCCCAGTGAGTGAGGTCCCTGTGCTCCCCTTGCCCCCTCCACCAGCACCTCACCCTGTTAGAAAACACATCACTCCCTTGATGTTTTCAAGGGCTTATCATTCTTAAAATGCTTACTACACTTTTTAACTCAAAATACAAGAAAATGGTGCAGAACTCTGCGGCCGCCCCTTCCTGCTGCAGATGAAAGGAGGCACCTGAAGCAGGGATGGATTTAGAGGGCTTTGGTGTCTAATTCTCCCACCTCAGATGTGCCATACAGTGCTGGGGAACTTTGTTCATCCCTTTATGCTGCTCTTCTCCAAAGCTTTTTTTATGCCTGGGCTTTTTTTTTTTTTTTCCCCTCAAAGCAGTGGGATTTTGTTAAAGAAAATTGCAATCTTTGGGGAGATTACTGCTGCTCCTCTGGCAGAATCTTACAAAACTGCCTGGTTTAGGAGCCCTCTCCTCTCTGCAGAGATGGGGAGTGATGCAGGGTGGCGTGGGATGGATGTGGAGGTACATCCTGACTTATCTGGGATCTCTTGGATAGCTTCACTGCTGGCTGCTGATTCATACCTGCTCACAGCTGGCCCCCAAGCTGTCTCACACTCATTTTTATTAATAAATGAGGAATTTCTGTCCAAAACATTAAGGACTTTCTGTCTTTTTTTCCCTATCTGGGAATTGAGTGCTCTGCACCCAGGGCTGCTGGAGGTAGGAGTGAAAGGTGTGTCCACAGCTGCACAGAGCTGTATTTGTGTGCCCCTGCAGACCAGATATATGCATATATTCTAGAGAAAATCAATTATCAGCTCATGCTTTTATAGTGGAATGTGATATACATGAGCCTTTGTAGGCTGATAGATCCACATGCACACAGGGACAGAAACTTTTGGTGTTATTGTTCCAAGGAAGGTCAAGGAGAGGCTGCTTTGTGTTTGTATCCAGGAGAGCTGCAGGGATCTCTAATATAATCCTTTTTCATTTTTGGGTTTGTTTCTAGTGTGTAGCTCAATGTTAAAGTGATTTACAAGCAGTTTAGCCTTAAGCAGTCTGCATTGGGTGCAGATAAAATCAATTATTACTTTTCTTATCAGGAGTGAAATGCTCCAAGTGCTTGTGGGAGCTGTTGGCTTGGTTTAGATCCGAGTGTGAACAAGAGCAGGGCTCTCCAGTTTTCTCTGCAGGTGCTTTGGCTCTTGCTGCCCCTCCCAGCTCTGACCTGCCCAGGACATGGCCCCACCTCACTGGGGCAGCTCTCAGAGCCCTTTAGCTCACTTGTTGTATTCCTTGCTGGAAACAGTGTGAGGGCATGGTTTGGACAGGGTTCAGGCAGAACTTCAGGAGCCCCTTGGGGATTTGAGCACAGCTTGGGGAATCAGCAGAGCCTCAAGGACTGATCAGAGACAAGGGGCTGTAGCATCAGGAAATGTCAGATTTGGGTTTCTCAGCTGCCTGCTCGTTGCTCAGCCACAGCATTCCTCATCAGGGCTCAGCCAGAAGCCCAAATAAACTCATTTTGAGTGTCCTTTGCCTCTGCCTATGCCGAGGGTGTGGGTTCCAAGCAGTGGCACAGCCCTGCCCAGCCCTGGGTGGATGGGCTGGGCTGGAGCTTGGCCAGCTCTGGACAAGGGCCTGCCTCAGCATCACAGGATTCCTGAGTGATTTGGGCTGGAAGGGATCTCAAAGCCCATCCAGGGCCACCCCTGCCATGGCAGGGACACCTCCCACTGTCCCAGGCTGCTCCCAGCCCTGGCTTTGGGCACTGCCAGGGATCCAGGGGCAGCCACAGCTGCTCTGGGCACCCTGTGCCAGGGCCTGCCCACCCTCCCAAGGGAACAATTCCTGCCCAATATCCCATCCAGCCCTGCCCTCTGGCAGTGGGAGCCATTCCCTGTGTCCTGTCCCTCCATGCCTTGTCCCCAGTCCCTCTGCAGCTCTCCTGGAGCCCCTTTAGGCCCTGAAAGGAGCTCTGAGCTCTCCCTGGAGCCTTCTCTTCTCCAGAGTGGACACCTCCAGCTCTCTCAGTCTCCAGAGCAGAGGGGTCCAGCCCTTGGAGTGTCTTCATGGCCTTTTGGACTCCTCCCAGCAGCTCCAGTTCCCCCTGAGTTGTGCTGCTCCTGAGTTCTCCTGTTTTTCACCCACAGCGCCTCAATGAGAACCTGGCCAAGCTCACAGCCCGGTTTGAGAAGGCCACCTCAGACAAAATCAGGTGCCAGCAGGAAGCTGAAGCCACAGCCTGCACCATCTCCCTTGCCAACCGCCTGGTGAGTGCAGCAAGGGCAGCTCTGGTGGCCCCAGGGGGAGGGAGCAGGGCTGGGCTGAGCACCTTCCATCCTCTCAGGTTTTTGGGAATGTCTCCTGCACTGCTGTCACTGTCACATTTTCTGAAAAATCCCTTCGCCAGGATTGTTTCTCCTGGGAAGGTGAGAAGCCTCAGAGAGAAATGAAAACAATAATTATCTGATTGCTTCTCCTGTGTTCTGCTGCTTTGGAATGTGGTTTGGAGATTGTTTATCCAACGTGTGAATTGTTTTCATTTAATGACCAATCACAGTCCAGCTGTGTCAGGACTCTGGAAGCAGTCACGAATTTTTCATTAATATCTTGTTGAGCCTTCTGTAAGATCCTTTCTCTATTCTTTAGTATAGTTTAGTATAGCATTCTTTAATATAATATAAGTACATAAAATAATTAATTAGCCTTCTAAGAGCATGGAGTCAGATTCTCAATTCCTCCTTAGTCTTGGGAACCCTGAAAATATCACACACTGCAGCAAGTTTCAGCAGTGAAAATGCTTTTACAGAGGTTGTTTCCATGAGGTTGTGGCAGAATGTCTTCTCTTTCTCAAAGAAACCAGGAGAGGCAGCTGCAGGAAGTGTTGTTGCATTCCAGATGCTTTGGGGCAGCTCTGCTCCTTCAAGTGCCTGGCTCTGCTGCCATCACAGCTCTCAGCTCCTTCTTGGGGCTTAAATGTGTGAGCAGGTGCTGATGGGCCAGAACAGTGTAAGTCAAAAATGGCATCATGGAAACAAAGGTGTGAACGTGCCCGTAGCTTTGCAGGGTCTGAAATGACAAGAATTAGAGAGAAAACATCTCTAAAAAGCCTCAGTCTCCTCCAAGTCAGAGTACAAAGGTTTTAGAGAGGGGCCTATGAGGAACTGGAGAGGGATTTTGCATCAGGAACTGCAGTGATGGGACAAAGGAGAATGGGTTCAGACTGACAGAGAGGAAATTTAGTTTAGATATACGGAAGAAATCCTTCCCTATGAGGGTGGGGAGGCCTGGAAAGGATTTCCCAGAGCAGCTGTGGCTGCCCCTGGATCCCTGGAAGTGTCCACGGCCAGGCTGGAGCAGCCTGGGACAGTGGGAGGTGTCCCTGCCACGGCAGGGGTGGCACTGGATTGATTTTAGGTCCCTTCCAACCCCATCCATCCCATGGTTCTGTGACTCTGGGACACCACATCCCAGGCCATGCTGGTTACCTCTCTTCCCCACCCCATGACGAGGGAACAGCTCCCAGTCTCAGCAATTCTGTGATTTTTTTACTGTCAGCAATTCATCATTTCTGCAGTGCAGGCAAGGAACTGCCTGCATCCCAACTTCCTGCTGTGCACTGCACAGCATCTCCTGTGCCACCCTGGCTTTGATCTGGGAGCAGCACCTGACAGCCCTCACTGATGTGCAGCTCATTTGACATTCAGGAGGTGTCACTGGTGTGGCTGTGGGTAGAAATGAGTTCCCAGACTTTGAAACAAACACTGAAGTTGTGTGAAGAATGCAAGTGAACGTAGGGAGTGATGCTTTGGATTGACAAGTGAACCTGGGGGATTGAGGCAAGCCCAGCTCTCGCAGTGCCAGGCTGGCATCTCATGAGCTTCAGGTGGCCTGAGGAAGATGCTCCAGGATCCAAAGGACAGGATCTGTGCAGCAGAAAGGGAGGCTGGCAATGAGTGCTGTTTGTGAGGGGGTGTGTGCTAATGCAGAGGAGGAAATTTAGTGATGACAAATGCTAAATAACGTGTGCAGGGAAAACAAACTGTAATCATGCAGTTACATGGATAGGGCCTAATTGCACTATTATCACTCACAGAAGAGCTCTTGGAGTTGTTGCAGAGAGTTCTCAGGAACAGCAGCGTGGCACTTGACAGGAGGAAAAAAGACAAATTGAATATTACTAATTGGTAGGAAAAAACCTCAGGAAACAGAAGTTAAGCGTCATTGTATTGGGTCTGTCAGTGCCTGCATCCCACACGTGGCCACCTTGTCTAGGAAGGGTGTGGGCAGCCCAGAAAAGCTACAACAAAGTACAAAACCACTTCCATATGAGAAGAGAGGGAATGGATTAGGGCTCCTTATTTTGGAAAAAGTGCAGAAGCCTCTGAAATCATGGCTGGTGTGCAGAAGGTGGGTGAGGGATAGTTTTTACTCTCTGTCATTATCAAAGAGGCAAAGGTAATCCAAGGAGTAGCTTTTAATTTGCCTCTTGCTAAATAAAAAGAATTCCAATGACTTCCAGGATCTGAGGTGGGAGACACCTGGGGTGTCTTGAATGTATTAAAAGGGGCAGTAGTGTGTGATCCAAGCAAAAGAGAAGAAGAAAAGACTTCCAGGACCTAAGGAGATAAAAAGTAACCTGAAAAAATTAATTAGGAGTATGGAAGCACCTCCAAGTACCAGGAAAATCAGATCAATAAAGACTTCTTGGTCTTAGAGGGGCTGTGGGACTGCCTCTGGATCCCTGCAGTGCCCAAGGCCAGGTTGGAGCAGCCTGGGACAGTGGAAGGTGTCCCTGCCATGGCAGGAGGTGGCACTGGGTGACCTTTAAGGTCTCTCTCAGCCCACAGCAGTCTGTGATTCTGTGATTGTATGAATCATAAATGAGCTGGTGTGTGGGAGCTCGCACGGCTCCGCAGTGATGATGTCAACTGTCTGTAAAGAATTGTAAAAACGATCCCGGGTGATGGAGGGATGAAACACCACGTAGATAAATGTAATGTAAAGTACACTGGAGAAATGAGGTTTTACTTCACATGGCCTGTAAGAAATGCTGAGCTGATCGTTATCACTCAGCAATGAAAGGATGGAGTTAAGAGTGCTGTGAGCTCTGTGCTCCCAGAAGCAAAAAGCTCTCACCAAACCCAAAGCCCCTCTGAAACCGGATATTAGGGTTTATTAGGAAAAGAAGGGAGAACAAAACAGAAAAATCCCCATCTTGCTCTGTGAATACCTGCTAAATAAATCTTGAATGGGCAGCATCACCACTGCCCCCTCTGCTGCACCTCAAAGGCTGGAGGAGAACGGGAAATGGTGCAGAGCCAGCAACAATAAAAGGAACCGGATAATAAAGATTGCATCACTCGGTGCAGATAACGATTGCAAGGAAAATCAAAAGGCTGCTTCTGTCTGAGGAATTATTGAAGAGGCTAAAGCTCTTCAACCTGAAAGGAAGACAGCACAGGGGTGCTGAGGGCTTGGAATCCTGAGTGGTGCAGAGAAGCCTGTGCCAGCAGGATTGTTCCCTGGTTTTGCACTGGACAAATGCTTCAGCAACTGAAAAGTTCAGGCAGCACATCAAAGGATGTACTTTTGTGCAGCAAGGTCAGCTGAACTGTGGATCTCCTGCCCATAGGATGCTCTAGGTGCCAAAAGTTGGGTTGATATCCACAGCAGCTTAAGCTCAGTCATGAAGTCAAAACCCATCAGTGGCTGTTAAGCACAGGGATTTGAGCTCTGGGTCAGGAGGTCCTGAAGCCTGCAGCTGTGGGAAGCTGGAAGCTGTGTCCAGAGCTGTTCTTGTGTGTGCAGCATTCCCAGGACAAGGGCTGCTGCCAGCTGCAGGAGCTGGGTGTGCCCTGCAGAGCTGGGCCTGGGGTGGGGGTTTCAGAGGGGAACCCAAAAACATCTTGGCTTAGGAGATCCTGGCTGTTTATCAGGGGAAATGGAGGTACAGGAAGATGGAAAGAGAGCTGTTTGATCTGGAGTGTCTGCAGGACAACCAATGCCATAGAAACAGCAGCTAGTTTGTGTTGGGAATGTGAAGGTGGCCCTGACCCTCAGGAGGCAGCTGGAATTCTGCTGGAAACAGGACTTGGTCAGGTTCACATTCCGTGATTGTACGAATGATCAATTTGACTTGGGAATTTGCAGGTTGGGGGGCTCGCCTCTGAAAATGTGAGATGGGCTGAGGCTGTGAAGGACTTCAAACAGCAGCAGAGCACCTTGTGTGGAGATGTCCTGCTGGTCACAGCCTTTGTGTCCTACCTGGGCTACTTCACCAGGAAATACCGCCAGGAGCTCCTGGATGGCATCTGGAGGCCCTATTTGCACCAGCTAAAAGTAAGTCCTGATTGCTCTGAGAAGCCATTGTTTCTGGGATTAATGGGGCCACAAATCCTGGTGCCCACAGGGGATCTCTCAGGTGAGGGACATCACTGTGTCCTCAGGGTGTGGCCATGCACTCCTCCCTGGGGAAAATGTGGGGTGTCCTTGCTCGATGAAGTTCCTCCATGTACACAGGAAAATCCCAAACACAGAGCCCAGCTCTGCAGTTTTGTCCATGGCCATGAAGGAGGTAGGAACATGGAGAAGGGATTGGAGCAGGCAGAGCTCGCTGCCAGCTCTCCAGGAGGCTTGGAAAAACTCCAGGTGTTTTTTCATTCTGGACACGAGCTCTGGTCGTGCTGGCCATGCCTCTCAGCTGGTTTTACCCATGTCTTGCAGTTAGGACCAGATGGAGATCATTGTGCTTGAAACTTGTTTAATATTTCACTAATTTTAACAGGTTCCTCATACAAATGGTGCCAAGAAGCTTTTAAATAAGGTCCCAGAGATGCTCAAATCAAAGGGCTGACCAAAGCAGACAGTACCTTAGGCTGAGAGAGGGAAACTTCATTCTGTATTTCTTAACACTGATCCAGAAACTTAGTTAAGACATGGTTTCAGAAATGACCTGACTGTGCTTAGAAATGTCAAGGAAGTGTCTGTAATTCCAATGGAAATGAAAGGACATTCTGCTCAGACACCTGGCACAGGTAGCTCTGGTTGGCACACCCAGAAATGGCCTCCCCTGTCAGAGAAGTGTTTCTGGAGCTGCTGATGCTGGTTTGTAACACAACAGCAGCCTGAGGAGGGCATTAATTCTGTCCTTCCACGCTGGCTCAGGGATCTGAACAGGGCAGGGAGTGACCCCAGCCAGTGGGGCTGGGCTGTGGGGGGCAAAACCCCTTGGATTGTACAACAGGATTGGGAAACAAAACCAGACTGCAAACATCCTTTAGAATGGGAAACCAATGATAAATCATGGAATCTGAGAATACTTTGTGCGGAAGGCACCTTAAAATCATCTTTCCAACCCCCTTGCCAAGGGCAGGAACACCTTCCTGTAGCCCCCGTCCAACCTGGCCTTGAGCACTCTGAGCACCCTTTATGGTCACTGAACATCCCTTTCCAGGGATCCAGGGGCAGCCACAGCTTCTCTGGGCACCCCGTGCCAGGGCCTGCCCACCCTCACAGCCAAGAATTCCTTCCCAATATCCCACCTAACTCACCCTCTGGCAGTGGAAGCCATTCCCTATGTCCTGTCCTTCCATCCCTTGTCCCCAGTCCCTCTCCAGCTCTCCTGAAGCCTCTGTAGGCACTGGAAGGGGCTCTGATGTTTCTCTGGAGCATTCCCTTCTCCAGGTGAGCACCCCCAGCTCTCCCAAAGGGGCTCCAGCCCTGGAGCATCTCCATTGTCTCCTCTGGGCTCTCTCCAGCAGCTCCACACCCTTCTGACATAGGGCACCAGAGCTGGGGCAGCGCTGCAGGTGGGGTCTCACCTGAGCAGGGCAGAGCAGCAAAATCCCCTCCAAACCTCCACTGCTGACAGAGATAAACACAACCTACCACTGTTCACCTCAGCCAGCTTTCCCTGGGATCTGCAGGAAGCCTTTTCTGTTTGCCTGGCAGGTGGCAGTGCCGGTGATGCCGCAGCTGGAGCCACTGTTGGTGCTGGCGGACGAGGCAGTCTGGTGGAACCAGGGCCTGCCGCTCTGGTTTTTAACCTCAGCCAGCTTTTCACCTCAGCCAGCTTTTTACCTCAGCCAGGTTTCCCTGGAATCTGCAGGAAGCCTTTCTGTTTGCCTGGCAGGTGGCAGTCCTGGTGATGCCATGGCTGGAGCTGCTGTTGGTGCTGGCGAATGAGGTGGCCGTGGCGGCCTGGTGGAAACAGGGCCTGCAGCCCTGTTTTTTTTACCTCAGCCAGCTGTTTACCTCAGCCAGGTTTCCCTGGGATCTGCAGGAAGCTTGTTCTGTTTGCTTGGCAGGTGACGGTGCCAGTGACGCCGTAGCTGGAGCCACTTTTGGTGCTGGCGGACGAGGTGGCCTGGCGGAACCAGGGCCTGCCGCTCTGGTTTTTAACCTCAGCCAGCTTTTAACCTCAGCCAGGTTTCCTTGGGATCTGCAGGAAGCTTTTCTGTTTGCCTGGCAGGTGGCAGTTCTGGTGATGCTGCGGCTGGAGCCGCTGTTGGTGCTGGTGGATGAGGCGGCCATGGCGGCCTGGTGGAACCAGGGCCTGCTGGCCCTGTTTTTTTTACCTCAGCCAGCTTTTTACCTCAGCCAGCTTTTTACCTCAGCCAGCTTTCCCTGGGATCTGCAGGAAGCCTTTCTGTTTGCCTGGCAGGTGCTGGTGACACCGCGGCTGAAGCCGCTGTCGGTGCTGGCGGATATGACAGCCTGGTGGAACCAGGGCCTGCCGCCCTGGTTTTTTTTACCTCAGCCAGCTTTTTACCTCAGCCAGCTTTTAACCTCAGCCAGCTTTCCCTGGGATCTGCAGGAAGCCTGTTCTGTTTGCCTGGCAGGTGCCGGTGACGCCGCGGCTGGAGCCGCTGTCGGTGCTGGCGGACGAGGCGGCCGTGGCGGCCTGGCGGAACCAGGGCCTGCCCGCCGACCGCACCTCCAGCCAGAACGCCGCCATCCTCAGCAGCTGCCAGCGCTGGCCCCTCCTGGTGGACCCCCAGCTGCAGGGCAGCAAGTGGATCAAAAACACCCACGGAGATGCACTCCGCGTGATCCGAGCCGGGCAGAAAGGGTAAGGCCACCCTTCTCTGGGAGAAGGGGCTGCTGGAGGTGGTTGTGGCTGTGGAGATGAGCTGGATGAGGAGGTGGGCTGCTGTCGGGATATCCAGCTTGTCAGATTGACCCCAAGAAAAGCTGGAAAGTCTCTTTTCCCAGCCTGGTGCTTGAAGAAGGAGTCAGGGCTCTTCATTTCTCGGTCTCAAGGTTGTTTATTGTTTCTTATCTATAAAATTCTTTCTCCTGTCCTGCCAAGGTTCACTCAGCAAGACAGTTCCAGGCACTCTCCCTGCCCCTGGGCAGTGTTATGTCTTTATACTAAAAACTACCTGTACAATATTTACAATTACTTTCCAATTGCTATCACCTATGTTAGACAGTGAGCTTCTACTCTAAACCAATCCAAAAGTGCCAACATCACAGCAGAAGATGGAGGCCAAGAAGAAGAAGGAGAAAGGCTGGACATGCCCAGATGCCTCCATCTTGCCCCCCTGAACTCCCATTCTAAAAATCCCAAAATCTACTTTTTCACCCTGTGATAAATTCACTATCATTCTACCTAAACTATCATGGCTTGTAATCCTTCTTGTATAGGTTGGGAATTGTTTTTTCCAAGGGCTAAATCAAAGGCACAGGGGTCTTGGGCTCTGTGCCAGGGGCTCTGAGCCCCCTGACAGGGTCTCAAGTCCTCCAGGGCAGCCAGAGGAATTTCCTGGGTTCCCACAGCCTGCAGTGAGGTTGGCTGTGAAGCTCACACCCAGGACTAGAGGGTGAATGAGCAGGCTTGTTGTTTTTGTCAGGATGAGGGCTGGTGTTGGGGTGTTGGGTGGCCAGTCAGGGGTCTGATGGCTCAACCTGGGTGCAGCAGCCTTCCCAGAGAGAGGTCCTGCAGGAGACAACTTTGTAGGGGTCTCAGGCAGTCCTTCAGCCACCAGGTAACCCTCAAGGGGCAGACAGCTCAACTCTGAGCAGTGATTTCAGCTCTTACTGATTTCAGCTCTGCCTTGCGAGGTGTACCCTGGCCAACACAGGGACAAAGAGACAAAGAGAGAGGTCCTGCAGGAGACAACTTTCTAGGGGTCACAAGCAGTCCTTCAGCCACCAGGTAACCTCAGGGGCAGAGGTTACCTGGTGGTAACCTCTGGAGAGCCACCAGGTAACCTCAGGGGCAGACAGCACAGCTCTGAGCAGTGATTTCAGCTCTTAGTGACTTCAGCTCTGCCTTGCGAGGTGTGCCCTGGCCAACACAAGGACAAAGAGACAGGAGCACCCTGTGGTTGTTCCACAGAGTGAGCCTTTATTCCAGCACCCTGCAAAGGACACCAGTGATGGCAGCTCCCTTCTGATCAGGGCAGAAATTGGGGGTTTAATGGGGAAAAGTGTGGGTGGTACAAAGGGGAAAAAACAATCGGTCCCAACAAATCTGCATGGGGTTCCAAAGCATGCTGGGAACTCACCATGACCACGGAGGATTTCTCAGTCCAGGAGGGTTTGAGAAGACCTGATCATTGCCCATTCAAGGGGTACCACTCCATGCCTATCTGTCTCCACACTGGGGAGCCTTCTGGCAGCCTTAGAGCTGGCCTGGGGAGGCAGAAGGTTGGTTTTGCAGGCCTGTGAGGAGTGTGGCAAGTTATAAGGGGAAGGCTAAGGCTGGGTTTATGGGCAGCTGAGTGGTTGGGGTAAATGTGTATGGTAATAGGCCTAATAGGCTGATTGGCAGGAGGAGTGCCATGTAGTGAGCCTGAGATGTGCCTGCCCAGGGTGTTTGGTGAGCGCTGGGCATTCAGCTGCACTGAGCCAGTAACACTCAGGGAAACCTGCCACTGTATCTGCTCACATTATCTGCTTGCTCATTACCAAAATGACAGATTTCTTATTAAATCAAGGGTCTGTTTAGTGCTTGGCTCTGTTACCATAGAAACTCCTCTGAAGCTGGTGATGGAGTGAGCTGAAGCTGAGTATCAGACAATTCCAGACTGGCTTGGGTGTGAAGGGACCTTAGAGACCATCCAGTTCCCCTCCTGCCCTGGGCTGGGACACCTCCCACAATCCCAGGGTGCTCCCAGCCCTGTCCAGGCTGGCCTGGGCACTGCCAGGGATCCAGGGGCAGCCACAGCTGCTCTGGACAAAAGGCCTGTGTAGACCTGTGACATCCTCCAAAGGCCCGTTTTAGCTGTAATGTCCTGCTTTAGCTTTCATTTTTAGGGTTAGGGTTCTGAAAACCACAAAGCCCAGAGCTTTAGGCACGCTGCAGCTGCAAAAGACATGCCAAAAAGAACAGAAAATTGCCACAAATTGGCTGCTTCTCCACCATTCTGCTGGGCACAAACCTCACCCCCTGCACCTTTTACACCCTCACCCAGGGTTAGGGTTATAACCAGGGTCAGGGTTCTGCAAACCACAAAGTCCAGAGCTGTAGGCACACTGCAGCTGCAAAGGGCATGCCAAGGGGAACACAAAACTGCCACAACATGGCTTCCTCCACAGCTTTCTCCTTGGAACCAGCCTTAGCTCCAGGCTGCATTTACTGCCTAGGGTTAGGGTTTTGAAACCACAAAGCGCAGAGCTCCAGGCACAAAGCAGCTGCAGAGGGCATCCCAAGGAGAACACAAAACTGCCACAACACGGCTTCCTCCACAGCTTCTTCCCTGGAGCCTTATCCAAGAGGATCCAAGAGGGTTCCCTACCAATTGGAGAATGAGAGCCTGTGTATGGAGTGGTCGCCACGTGTCCTGGGCACAGAGTTTCATTTCCTTGTTAGGAATGAATTTGTCATAAGCATGACCCTCAGCTCTGGGCAAAACAGAGCTGAAAGCTGGTCTTCATCTTTGCTTTAAGATGAACTGTATCATTTGGCTCTGGAGAAATCAAAATGTGTTCTGAAAATAACTCCAGGCTGTGCCTGCTTTGCTCATGGCTGCCCCTGGGACAGACTTTGTGTTCACTCTTGTCCTTGGGATGTCTGGGGCCTCATTCTCTCTGTTGGACTGCCAGGACTCTCTCTGTCAGTGCCACTTTCTGCACCAGGGACTGGCACCACCTCAGCCCTCTTCCTCTCTCCAAATGCTGGCACCCACCTGTAGCTTCCACCACAGTGAGGGTCCCCCCTGTCCCCTCCTCACTGACAGTGCCACATCCTGCTCTGCTGCAGGAAGCACCAGTGCTCTTTCCCACAGGTATCTGGACACACTGGAACAAGCCCTGGCTGCTGGAGACCTGGTTTTGATTGAGAACCTGGAGGAATCCGTGGATCCCGTGCTGGGGCCGTTACTGGGGCGAGAAACAATTAAAAAAGGCAGGTGAGCTTGGGGGGCTTGGGGACACATGTGGATGGGGGCTGGGGGCTGCTGTGCTCTCTGTTCCTGCCCTCAGACCGTGGGTGTTCACATCCAGCAGCATTAACATCCTGCCTTCAGCAGTGAGGGTGTTTTTAATCAGGCATTCACAGGTAATTCAGCCATAGGATGGCTTGGAAATCAACCCGGATTTCTCATTTCATTTCCCAGCATCATTCAATCCTCGTGTACAAGAGAGACCTGTAATTCTCCCATTGTACACTGACCTTGGGGTCTGTAATTGGCTGTTCTGACACCAAATTATTACCAAAATAGCTGCTGCTGTGTTGTGAAGTTAAAGCAGCCTTGAATTTTAGCAAACACTGCACAGCATTTAGAAACGCAGCTACAGATTTCAGCATCAAGTGTTTCTTAATGAGGTCAAGTTCTCATGGCAGCTGCTGGTCACCTCCAGCTGAGAGGAAATCAGCGAGGGAGGCAGCCAGGGGGCTCTTTTCCCTTAAGTTCCTTGAGGGTTATTTCCCTGCTTGCCTAAAACATCCCAGGCTGTTGTGAACTGGTGGGCAAGGCAAGCTGTCTGCAGAGTTTGCTGGGGAAAACACCCTGGGAAGGGTGGCTGAACATGGGTTTGGATGGAGGATGGAGGGGCAGGATTGAAATGTCTGGAGGATGTTGGGAGGGGGATGCAGCAGGGAGGGTGGCAAATCTGAGCCCCCCTCCAGTGGAACACTCAGGCATCCCCTTTTGTGCATCTCTGCTCTCAAATCTCCCTGTGAAATCGTGTGTTTGTTAACAAAGGGAAAATAAGTCATAAACCACAAAGAAAATCCCAGGGTTTTGTGTTTCCACACCCTAAGCCCAGACTCCAGGCAGATGCTGCCTGGCAGGGGCTCTGAGCTCTCCACACAACCTTCTCCTCTCCAGGCTGGACAATCCCAGCTCTCCCAGCCTGGCTCCACAGGGGAGGTGCTCCAGTGCCTTTATCAACTTCCAGGTCTCCTCTGGAATTGTTCCAGCAGCTCCTTGTCCTCCTGGTGTTGGGGACACCAGAGCTGGGCACTGCTCCAGTGGGGTCTCCCACAGACAGGATCCCCTCCTGGCCCTGCTGCCCACACCCCTTTGGATACAGCCCAGGGCACAGTTGGATTTCTGGGCTGGGTTGAACATGGGTTCAGAGAATGGTGGAATTTCCTGGGGTCCCTGTGAGCTATGGACTGCATGTCAGCAGTGCAGAGCAGGAGGATGCTGGGTTTTCCTGGCTGATGGCACCTCCTGGGAGGAGACAGCCACCACCCTCCACATGTGGCTTCACATGTCAGGCTCAGTGCAGCTGCAGAGCTGGCCTGCTCAGAGCCAACACTCTGGGTAATTTTAGCTGTGACCAGTGAAAAGCTCGAGGCTGAGAGGCTTTTACTCCCTGCAACTCCAAATTTAGGCAGAATTCAGCCTCTGCCCAAGCCAGGAGAGTTCATGGGTGGACTGGTTGTGTCACTGCTGGAAAATCTGAGCTTTCTTAAACAGGATCCAAAATCAGGAGAGACTCTCTGGGGTTTTCACCTTAAATCAGATTTAAGTGTGCCCAGTATGAATTAAATCACGATTTCTGTGAGGAGTGCCAAGCATCTGGTGCTGCCACTGACTGGGACCACCCCGTGTGCTGTGGTGACAGCTCCTGGCTGACGCTCCTTCTGCTGAAACCCCAGGTACATCAAGATTGGGGACAAGGAGTGTGCCTTGCACCCTGCCTTCCGCCTGATCCTGCACACCAAGCTGGCAAACCCCCACTTCCAGCCCGAGCTGCAGGCCCAGTGCACCCTCATCAACTTCTCTGTCACCCGCGACGGCCTCGAGGAGCAGCTGCTGGCGGCCGTGGTGCGCCTGGAGAGGCCTGACCTGGAGGAGCTGAAGGTGAGCACCTGGCAATTGTCTCTGGGAGCAAGTAGAAATCATCATCAGCAGCATTATTACACTTATAATTTAATATAATTATTGTAATTATTAGTACTGTTATTGATATTGTTATTAGTGTTGTTGTTGTTGGTCTACACTGAGAGACCTGACCTGGAGGAGCTGAAGGTCAGCACCTGGGAATTGTCTCTGGGAGCAAGCAGAAATCATCAGCAGCATCATTATTACACTTATAATTTAATATAATTATTGTAATTATTAATACTGTTATTGATATTGTTATTAGTGTTGTTGTTGTTGGTCTACACTGAGAGACCTGACCTGGAGGAGCTGAAGGTCAGCACCTGGGAATTGTCTCTGGGAGCAAGCACAAATCATCATCAGCAGCATTTTTATATTTATAATTTAATTGTAATTATTGTAATTATTAATATTGTTATTGATATTGTTATTAATATTGTTGTTATTGGTGTAACTTTCTCTTGTTATGGGTGTAGACCAATAACAGATCTGACAGGGAGGAGCTGAAGGTGAGCACCTGGGAATTCTCTCTGGGTGCAAGCACAAATCATCATCAGCATCATTATTTTACTTATAATCTAATAATTATATTAATTATTATTATAATTATTGATATTGTTATTAATACTGTTATTAATATTGTTGTTGGTCTACACTGAGAGGCCTGGCCTGGAGGAGCTGAAGGTGAGCACCTGGGAATTGTCTCTGGGAGCAAGTAGAAATCAGCAGCAGCAGCATTATTACTCTTAGAATTTAATATAATTATTGTAATTATTAATACTGTTATTGATATTGTTATTAGTGTTGTTGTTGTTGGTCTACACTGAGAAGCCTGGCCTGGAGGAGCTGAAGGTCAGCACCTGGGAATTTACACTGGGAGCAAGCACAAATCATCATCAGCAGCATTTTTATACTTATAATTTAATTGTAATTGTTGTAATTATTAACATTGTTATTGATATTGTTATTAATATTGTTGTTATTGGTGTCACCTTCTCTTGTTATGGTTGTAGACCAATAACAGATCTGACAGGGAGGAGCTGAAGGTGAGCACCTGGGAATTCTCTCTGGGTGCAAGCACAAATCATCAGCAGCATCATTATTTTACTTATAATCTAATAATTATAATTATTATTATAATTATTGATATTGTTATTGATACTGTTATTAGTATTGTTGTGGGTCTACACTGAGAATCCTGACCTGGAGGAGCTGAAGGTCAGCACCTGGGAATTGTCTCTGGGAGCAAGTGTTACAATCATCATTATCATCATTTTTTTTTTATTTTTATTATTGGTATTTTTTAATTTTTTTTTTGTTTTTAACAAACAGCATTTCACATGCCAGCTTGCAGACATTGCTGAGCTCCTCACAAAATCAGATTTCCCTTGTATGACAGGCATTGAGGGTTTTTTTCCCCCTTCACCCTTATCTTTCCTTGGTATTTTGAGAACCCTTGTCCTTCATTTTCAAGGTTTTTCTCCCAAAAATTCTCTTTATTTTTCCTCCTCCTCTTGTGACTGAAAGCTGAGTTTCTCATTGCCTCAGTTTTTTTCTGGACTTCACGGTTTTCATTTTGGAAGCAGGATTAATCTCGCTTAATTTTCAGCATTTGTGGTAAAGGATTCTCTCTGTAAATATTGTGAGGCTGGCAATGATATTTTCTCTTCTCGTTCATCCTCCCACTTTGTAACAGGCCAAAATATTTTCTCTCTCTCTTAACAAGTATGGCTTTAATTTCAAGGCAATTTTATAAAGAAAATCCTCCCTTCTGACGACACCTTTAGCAGTGTAACAAATACGAATAATCCTAAATATTTTCTGAGAGTGGGGATAAATTTACTGCTTGTGCTCACTCATTTTCTGCCTGGCCCGGGCTGGAAGTGCCTCTCTCTTCCCAGTTTTAGCCCAGTAAGCCACTGGTGGCAGTGGGACCCCGAGGGCAGGATAGAAATGGGAGCAAGCAGGACAGGAGAGGCTGTGGCTCTGCCCTCAGGGGTGAGCCTGAGATTCCTCTGTACCTGAGATTTCACACTGGTACCCATCAGGTTTTAACCCCCTGTTCCCCATGGCTGGTGAGACTGCTGTGGGCTGCAGTGGTGACAGCAGAGCTTCAGCAGGAGGAGTGAGGAGCAGCTGGGACTCCCCAGGCTGGCTTGACCCCAAGAAATAACCTGCAAAGGCACAGGATTTGTGTTTGAGATGGGGATAAAGGTCTTTTATTCCTGATTCATTTCCAGTGTTCTCCTGCATTTCTAGCCACAGGGATCAGTTGTCCTGGTGCTCTCTGTGCTGTTCCAGGTGCTCTCTGTGCTGTTCCAGGTCTCTCTTGTTGGATAAGGGGTGATCCCAGACCCCAGAGCTCTGCCCATTCCCAGGAGAGCAGGAATCAGCCCTGCTGGGCCATGGCAATTGTCAGTGGGAAGCTTAATCCCATGTGAAGCTGACTCATCCTTACTTTACCTCATCCTTTATGGCTAAAACTTCCTGGATTTATTATTTGCAGTCAGATCTCACAAAGCAGCAGAATGAATTCAAGATCACCTTGAAAACGTTGGAGGACAACTTGCTCTCTCGGCTGTCATCAGCATCTGGGAATTTCCTGGGAGACACAGCCTTGGTGGAGAACCTGGAGAGCACCAAGAGGACAGCTGCAGAGATTGTGGAGAAGGTACAAAGACACTGATAGCCTGCAGAAAAGCATGTCCGTGCTCCTTTAAGGATTTCTGGGTGGATTGTAACCTCTGCTCTGCCCATCTCTGCTCCGTCTGCTGAGCAGGGAGTAGAAATTGGTATAAATGGTAAATGCTCTTCATGCTGGAGAGCTCCAGGCCATTTAGTTCTTTGGAGCTTTTATTTGTGTTAAATGACCTATTTAAGACCAAGAGAAAACACTGGTGCCTGATGTGGAGACAATAAAATTTACACACTGTATCAAGGCAGCTTTAAGCTGTTCCAGCATAATCCTGGGTACATCACACTGCCTCTTAGGCTGGGTTTTAGTACTGACCAGGGACTGGAGACTGTGATCTCAAGTAAATCTGAAAGAACTCAGGTATTTCATACCCTTTTGTTCCTCAGAGTATAAATCAGCATTTGTGTGAGCTCCATGAGCACTGCCACCCGTCCAGCTGCCCTTGCTGGCTGCATGGGCTTAGGTAAATGCCCAGAGGTTTTTCCTTGCCACTGAGGGAATTTGGGAAGTCTGGTTCCTGTACCAGGACTGTCCCAGGGCTCTGGTGGGGACGTTCAGCTGCTTCCCTCTGCAGTCCCCCCATCTCCAGAGCCTGCACTGCTCTCCCCAGCCACTGGCCCATGCTCTGCCTGGCCCAGGCTGGAGCTGCCTCTGCTCCCAGCCAGTGACCAAGACACTGAGTGATCCCCCCTGATTAAAAAGCAGAATTATTTTCCATTCATGGTGCATCATTCAGCTCCCTGGGGAGGGGTTTCTTGAACCCCCAGAAGAGGTGTTGAAGGGATTTTTTGGTGTGGAAAGCTTGGCATCTCCCCCTTGAAGTAGGTGTTTTGGAAGTGCTTCACCCTCCAAACCAGCTGTGCTGCACAGCTGCTCACTGCCAGCAGTGCCAGCAAGGCATGGATTTTAGAGTTTGCACCTGCATTTTATGGGTCTGTGCCCATCTGGAATGCTGTGGAAGAGCCCTGTTAGAGGTTCAAGTCAAGCCTCACTCTCCTTTTGTTCTGCCTACCCAAAGAAGCTGTTCAGCCAACATTTTCCTTGCTTTGGAAGTCCCCCCTGCTCAGCAGATGAAGAGCATCTGTCTGGCCCAGCTCTGGCTCTGAGTTTGGCAGAACTGTTCCTGAGCCCAGCACTGCTCCTGGGGATGTGCAAACAGGCTCATCCCACAGACCCCACAGCAGATGAAGGCTCATCCTGTGCTTCCCTGGGTGGCTTGTTCTGCCACAGGAAGCCTAGGGAGGGCTGGAGAGGGACTTCTTGCAGTGGTAGTACAAAGGGAAGGGCTTCAAGCTGAAAATAGGCAGATTTGGAAGAAATTCTTGGCTGTGAGGGTGGGCAGGCCTGGCACAAGTTGCCCAGAGAAGCTGTGGCTTCCCCATCCCTGGCAGTGTCCAAGGCCAGGCTGGACAGGGCTGGGGGCAGCCTGGGATGGTGGAAGGTGTCCCTGAGTGGAATGAGAAGAGCTTTAAGGTCCCTTCCAACCCCAGCCATTCAGGGATTCTGTGATCCCATTGCATGGTTTGCAGGGCTGGCTGGGTCAGCACTGTCCCAGCAGCTCCTGGCCATGGTGTTAGACCTGTCTGTCCTCAGCCAGGGACTAAAATAAACCCCAGGAGGCTCAGGGGTGGCACTTCTTGCTGCTGAGGTGGAATGAAAGAACAAACAGGAGTGAGGTGATGGTTCTGCCAAGAAGGTTTTCACAAGTCCCCCAGAGCAGCTGCAGAGCCCTGCCCAGGGGGTTTGGTGCTGCTGAGGAAAGGCAGTGAAGAGCTGCTCTAAATTAGCAGCTCTCAGCCCTGGGGAAGCTGCCTGGAGCAGCACTGGGGCTGCTCAGCCCAGGGTTGTTAATGGCCTGCACAGGAGGGGGGCAATTAGCACCAGAAACTCACGGATGAGAAATTGAATTCCAGCCAGCAAAGAGCAGGGAGCCTAGGGAGAAGCCTGGAGGAGACTCAGGAAAACTGGGGATTGGGCATCTGGGAGGGGAAAATGCAGTTAAATGGAAGGTTCCAGAGGGGGAGGATGCTGGGGAGGGCAGCTCCAGCCTGGCCCCATGGTGGTCACTTGTGGCTTGCCCTGATGGCTTTGTGGCCATTCTTTATCATTGCAACAGGCCCCCAGATGGGTAATAATTGGTACAGACTCCATATATTGCAGAAGAATGATTAATAATCTTCATTAAGAAACCCATTGCTCCTTTTTATACCTTAGTTGGCTAGAGGCGGAATTGATTGGTCCTTTAGTTAAAACACCATTACTGTTGGTTAATTAAGAAACCACTCCGTGGTAAACTAATTTTCATAACACATTCCACATGTGCACAATATCAGGTGCAGTAAGTTAAGATAAGAATTGTTTCTCATTCTTTTCTCTGATTTTTCCACAGCCTTTTCCCCAGAACAATGCCTGGGAAAGTTGTGCTGCTGTCCTTGGCCAGAGCGCTGCTGCCCTGAGTGTGGCAGGGCTGTGGCAGTGCCCAGGGCTGTGCTGACAGGATTTGTGCTGTTTCCTTGCAGGTGCAGGAGTTTAAGGTGACAGAAGGCAGGATTAACGAGGCCAGGGAGCAGTACAGGCCCGCGGCCTGCCGCAGCGCCATGCTCTACTTCAGCATGAACCAGCTGCACAACGTCCACCCCATGTACCAGTTCTCCCTCAAGGTACCTACCCTTGGGGTCCATAAAATCACATTTCAGTTCTCCCTGAAGGTACCTGTCCTTGGGGGTCCATAAAATCACATTTCAGTTCTCCCTCAAGGTACCTGCCCTCATTCTGGGGTTCATAAAATCACAATTCAGTTCTCCCTGAAGGTACCTGCCCTCATTCTGGGATCCATAAAATCACAATTCAGTTCTCCCTGAAGGTACCTGCCCACAATTCAGTTCTCCCTGAAGGTACCTGCCCTCATTCTGGGGTCCATGAAATCACAATTCAGTTCTCCCTGAAGGTACCTGCCCTTGGGCTCCATAAAATCACAATTCAGTTCTCCCTGAAGGTACCTGCCTCTGCTTCTTGGGTCCACAAAATCAGAATTCAGTTCTCCCTGAAGGTACCTGCCTTCTGGGGTCCATGAAATCACAATTCAGTTCTCCCTGAAGGTACCTGCCCTCACTCTGGGCTCCATAAAATCACAATTCAGTTCTCCCTGAAGGTACCTGCCCTTGGGGTCCATAAAATCACAATTCAGCTCTCCCTGAAGGTACCTGCCCTGTGGGGTTCATAAAATCAGAATCCAGCTCTCCCTGAAGGTTCCTGTCCTGCTGCCCTCTGCCTGTGGGGTCCATAAAATCAGAATTGCAGTCACAGTCTCACAGAATCACACAAGGCTAGGGTTGGAAAAGGTTTAAAGCCCATCCTGCTCCACCCCTTCCTGTTCCACACCTTCCACCATCCCAGGTTGCTCCAAACCCTGCCTAGAAGAAGTTGCAGCTTTAATATTCAAACTTTTTGTCATATAAGAGAGGTATTTTGGGGGATGGAGGGTTAAATGAGCATCCTGGTCCACAGCTTCTTCCAAACGATTTCTTACCTTGACAAGTGACCTGGAAAAAGGAATTGAGGAGACACTACAAAATGTTGAGCCTCATCCACAAAGCAGCTTTTCCTTTTGATAGCTACGACTCGTTTGTTGAAGTAATTTTATCAGAAAAAATGTACAGAATATCTTTTGTGCCTTTTGAAAGATTCATCCCTCTCACACACATAATAGATCCAGGGGTTCCTGAGGTTTCACCTTTAATCTGTGTCTCCTGCAGTTAGTTTGTTTTATGTTTTCCAGTGAACATTAGCAGCGTGTATATATACATGGAAAATTATTGGGGGAAATGTTTTTATCTAATAAATTTTGATGACAGATCATAAAACATTGTGTAAAGATGCACAGGGATGATTTTAGAATACTTGCCACACAGCTGGGAGCCCATTATAAATTAGAACACAAAGATTTATGTGCTGCTCTGCAGCATGTTTTAACACAATTTAAAGAAACGTTAAGCAGGAAAATGCATTCTGCAATTATTTAATAATGCATTCAGTATCAGTGTTACTTTAATTTGTTGAGGCATCATTTTTCCTTTGTAGAACCCTAAAAATAAGGCTGCCAGCACGGTCATGCCTTGTCCAGTTGGTGCCATCAGTGTGTATTGGCCTGGTTATTTCCTTTAGCTGGGCCCAGCACATGGAGCCTTTGCATTGCTAAGCAGGACTCAGGGTTTATGCTCTTGTTAATTTTCTTTTTTCAGCTGCTTTTGATAATTTGCTCATGCTTTTAATTTGGGCGACTCTGAAAGTCGTTTGTCTTTTCTCATTTAGATCAGAAATGTTGTTGCAATAATCCTTAACCTCTTATACAAGAGGGTTGTTCTCAATGCAGACACCCACCCTTGAGGGGACTTCAATGACTGCTTCAGCTCACTGCTCCCTGCCCTCCTCAACCAGTCCTTTGCTGGATCCAGACAGTAAACCACTCATAGGGCTTTCAAAAAATTATTTTTATTTATATTTTTTTGGAGGGACTGCTCTTCTCTGAGTTGAAATACTTGTGCAGTGGGAGATCTGCTTTCCTCCTTTGCTCTACTCTGCTAAGACCCCTCCTGGAGCAGTGTCCAGCTCTGGGGTGCTCAGCACAGGAAAGGTGTGGACATGATTGAGCAGCTCCAGAAGAGGCAATGGATGTGATCCAGGAGTCTCTCTATGGAGCCAGCTGGGAGAAAACTCCATGGAGACCTCAGAGCCCCTTCCAATGCTCTCCAAGAGAGCTGGAGAAGGGCTGGGGACAAGGCATGGAGGGACAGGGCACAGGGAATGGCTCCCACTGCCAGAGGGCAGGGATGGATGGGATATTGGGAATCAGGGATTGTTCCCTGGCAGGGTGGGCAGGGGCTGGGGTGGAATTCTCAGAGCAGCTGTGGCTGCCCCTGGATCCCTGGAAGTGTTTAAAGCCAGGTTGGACAGGGCTTGGAGCACCTGGGACAGTGGAAGGTGTCCCTGCCATGGCAGGGGTGGCACTGGGTGGGTTTGTGTTGGAGTTTTTCCCCTGTTTCCTCTGGGAGCTCCACTCTCTGCTGGCTCCACATTTGCAGAGGATGTGGCTGTGCCATCCCAACGGGAGCACACTGGGCACAGAAACATCTCCTGTACCCCTGTGTGGCAGTTCCCTGTGCCCTGTCGGGGTCCCTGGGGATGTCACCACTGCCAGGTGTCTCTGGGGATGTCACCACTGCCAGGTGGTGTCACCTCTGCCAGGCAGAGCCAGGGGCTGCTGGGTCTCTGTGTGCTCCCTGCGAGGCAGGACCTGAGCTGGCATCGCTGTGATATCCAAGGGCTGTGCAAAGGGCATCTCCCACTGCCCCTTCCTGCTGTGTCTCCCCTCCCAGGCATTCCAGGGGGTGTTCCAGAAGGCCGTGGAGAGGGCAGCCCCTGCTGAGAGCCTGGCAGGGCGGGTGCTGAGCCTCACAGACAGCATCACCTTCTCCGTGTTCCAGTACACGGCCCGGGGGCTCTTCGAGAGGGACAAACTGACCTTCAGTGCCCAGCTCACCTTCCAGGTACCAGCAGCACCTTGTGTGCCAGGCTGCACTGCCAGAGCAGCCCATGCAGGGGGCTTGATTGTCTTCTCTGCCTCTCTGGGAATCATGGAATTATTCAGGCTGGAAAAGCCCTCCCAGACCACTGAGTTCACCCTGATCCCCACCCTGTCCCCAGCCCAGAGCACTCGGTGCCACCTCCAGGAACTCTCTGGACACTCCAGGGATGGGCACTCCAACCCTCCCTGGGCATTTCCAATCCCTGAGCCCCCTTTCCATGGGGAAATTCCTGCTGTGCCCACCCTGAGCTGCCCTGGCCCAGCCTGAGGCCGTTCCCTCTGCTCCTGTCCCTGTTCCCTGGAGCACAGCCCAACCTGGGGCTGTCCCCTCCTGTCAGGAGCTGTGCAGAGCCAGAATTTGCCCCTGATCCCCCTTTTCTGCAGGCTGAGCCCCTTCCCAGCTCCCTCAGCTGCTCCTCACAGGATTTATTCATGCCAATAACAGGCACGGATGCTGTGCTGGATTTGAATTACACTGACAAAGGTTATTTGAGAAATTCCTGCTTGCAGGACCTGCAAGAAATGGCAAAGCAAACTGGCCTGGAAGGGCTCTTGCATTGAACCTAAAGAAGTGCCTGCTGCAGAGCTGCTGTCCCATGTCCTCAGTGTTTGTATAATTTTATTTTTTTTCCCAATCTGGCTCTGCTGTCAGTGCTCTCCACCCCCGTGGAACTCAGCCTTTACCAGGTGGTTTTCCCAACTTTTTTCCTCTTGCCAATCTCCACACTCATTCCTGGTCCTCTTTTGGGACACCCACAGCACCTACATGGTGTGTCCATCACACCTCTCCAGCACAGGGCACCCTACATTTCAGCCACACATTTTTCAAGCACGTTAATTGAATCATTAATCTGCTGCTCTGGGTGCTGGCTGCTCTAGGATGTCTTGTTTCTTTGGAATTACAGATACTTCTGATGAATAAAGAAATCGACCCAGCAGAACTGGATTTCCTGCTCAGATACCCAGCACAGCCTGGAGTCACCAGCCCTGTGGAGTTCCTGTCTGACCATGCCTGGGGAGGAATCAAGGTACCTGATCCATGGGAAATCAGCTCCCTTTATCTCCTCTACAAACCCTTCAGGGGGTCTGTGGTGTTGTGAGGTCCCCAGGACGAGGTGAGAGATGAGAATTTGACTCCATGTTCTCAGAAGGCTGATATATTAATTATATTATATTATATTATATTATATTATATTATATTACATTACATTACATTACATTATATTACATTTATTATATTATATATTACATTACATTAATTACATTACATTATACTATATTATACTCTACTATACTATATTATACTATACTATATTATATTATACTATATTATAATACACTATATTATATTATATTATATTATATTATATTATATTATATTATATTATATTATATTATATTATATTATATTATATTATATTATATTCCATTACATTCTATTATATTGTATTATACTATATTATACTATATTATATTCCATTACATTCTATTATATTGTATTATACTATATTATACTATATTACATTACATTCTATTACTATACTAAAGAAAGGAAGGATACATCAGAAGCCTAGAAAAGAATGATGATGAAAGCTCGTGACTGACTCCTCAGAGTCTGACACAGCTGGACTGTGATTGGCCATTAATTAAAAACAATTCACATGTTTGGATAAACCATCTCCAGACCACATTCCAGAGCAGCAAAACATGGAGGAGCTGAGGCTTCTCATCTTGCCAGGAGAAGCAATGCTGGTGAAGGGATTTTTCAGAAAATATCACAGTGACAGGGGTCCTTGTGGCATTTGGTGAATTTAGGTCTTCCCCTAAGAGGGGGCAGCACAAAGAGGCCACAGACATGGAGAGTTCTGCAGGTCCAGCACTGATTTTGAGGGCTTTTCCTGTGCCCTCCTGTGTGTCACCAGGAAAATGGTTCTTCCCTCTGAGAATCAGACCAGACTGAGAACACCCTCAGCCTTCTCAGAGCTTGGAGTCAGATTCTCTTCTCTCACCTCCCCCTGGGACCTCACAAACACCACACTGCTGTGCATGGGAAGGTTTCCAGGTGTGCTGCAACCTCAGGTGTCCTCAGCCTTCCTCTGATGGCCCCAGGAGCTGCACAAAAGTCACTGCCCGGTAATCTGCACTAATTTTATGAATTTCAGGACTTTCTGATGGTGAATTCTGCATTATCAGACACCAAGTACCCTTCAGATTGTCTTTTGTGATGACTGTACTATTGATTTTGCTATAAATAATATGGTGTCAACTTTTATTAGTGTTTGTGTTGATGTCTGTTGGTTTATTAACCTCTGAGGTTTTGGCAATTCTTGTTGCTTGAGGCATGGGTTTAGTAAAATCATATTTTGTCACAGACTGCTATAATTAGGTTAATTAGTCATGGATTCTACACAGTTTATTAGCAGGCTAAAATCTCCTTTTCTTATATCAAGAAGATTAAATGCTATAATAAATTGTTTTTTCAACAAAGCTTGAACAAAGTACACTTCAGATTTATATTTCAAATTCAAAGTGAAATTTAGCATTCTGCTGATTTTTCACAGAAACATTGCAAATGCTCCAGCCCAAAGGACTCCTTTTGCCAGGGCAGGGTCTGGCCAAGATAGTGCCAGCAGAAATCAATATTGATATTTGTGGCCCATTCTGAGCCTCCCACTTTGGGCCCATTAACTTCCAAGGAAACCTCATTAAATGTTGAGGGCTCTGGGCATGCAACTGGCCTTGTGTGACTTGACCTATTATTTATTGTTGTGGGTTGATTAATAATATATAGAGGCCAATAATCCTTTGCAGTTGCTTGGCTGTTTGCAGCTCGTGGTGCTGGAGCATCTCATTTAGGAAACACTCATTTATGATTTAGTTTCCCAGCTTCTTTCAAGTTCAGTACAAAGTTTCACAGAGCCTTTTGCTGTAACCTGTGTGCCGGGGAAGTTTGGTATTCACCCCTGGCTGAAGAAAACCTGGCCAGAAGGAGGTGGTTTGTAGGGAAAGGTAACAGCTTTAATTATATCTGCTGAGAGACCTGGGAAAATGGGCACATTTCAGGCTCTTTAAAGCTGAAACAGGAATTGAATTCGAGCTAAAGGCTGGGGAGAGCTGTTCTGAGCTTGTTCTGTTCATCAGTGAGATGTGTGGGAGGCAATGGCACCTGTGGGGGAGCTGTGCCTGCCCTGGGGCAGGGGAGGTGTTAGCAAAGGGCACAGTCATTGCCTGGGTGCCAGCCCTGCCTCTGGCTTACTGAGCATTAGCTGGGAGCAGGAAGGGCTCAGAGTTTTGTCATTTAATTAAAGCAGTGCCTTTGCTGAGCCCCTGCCTTTGGTGCTCAGTGGAATTGGTCATTTCAGTCCTAAGGCCTCTCATTTGCAGGGGCTTAGCAGTGATCCCTGGAGAAGGCAAAAGTGTTCTTTTGTTCCTATAATGAGGGTTTCTGTCTCTTTTCAATTTCCTTTATTGCAGCCTGTTGTGCTGTTCTCCCTCTGAGTTCCCAGAGTCTGCCTTGAAAGTTTTTATTTCTGTTGGGTACTTCTGAAAACCTTTTCTGTGTCCATGCACAGCTGGCCATGTCTCCTGGCTTGGCTGGTGGTTTCCTCTCCAGGAAAAGTGTGGACACACCTCAGAGCACAGTGCTGCTGTGGCCACAGCCAGGTGCAAATGCCACTTGGGAATTCTCATTGTGGGATTGAATGAACCCAGAATCCATGCAGGGGTTGTCCTCTGGAGGGTGAGCACTCTCTGAATTCATCTCTGAGGTGATGCTCTGTGGTCCTTTGAACCCTGTGTGAAGGCAGGCTGTCCTGTTGAGCTGTTCCTGGCCACACAGCTCCTGTCATGACTCTTCTCTGAGCATGATGTTGAAATGATATCATTTGGTTTTAGGGTCTTTGCTGGGTCTGTCAGACTGTGCCCAGACTCAGCAGTAAGATGGGCCAGCAGTTGTTTGCTGCCCTGAGTGCACCCAGGGAAACTCCCCTGAGCTCCCAAGCCAGAGGCACCTGCAGGTCCTGCCCTGCTCATGCCCAGGAGAGCAGGAGAGTCCACCCAAGCCCAAGCTGAGCCAGCAGGACAAAGCTGGCAGATTGTGTGGCTCATCCTGAGCTGTGCCTGGCCACCTCCTGGTGGAGCAAATCAGCAGGGAGGGAGCAGCACCTTCCCCTCACTGTGCTGGGCTCTGAGACCCACAGCAGAAACTCCTGCAGCCCATGTCTGACCCAGCCTTGCTCTGCAGGTGTGGGCTTAGGGCTGAGTTTAGACCCTGGCTCAGGCACAGCCTCACACAGGGCACGGTCCCACCTTCTGCCCACACCAGGGGTGTCCCAGGGGTGCAGCAGAGCCTGGGTGTGTGCCTGGCATCCCGAGCATCCCCTGGGCCAGCTGGGCTCTCCTCCAGCTTCACCACTGCTGATGGAGCCACTGGCTGCGCCCTCGTGGTCTGCAAAACCAAAACGTTTTGGCTTTGGCCCACGCTAGGAGGTGAGGGCTGTTCTGAGGCCGTTCCCTGGGACCCTGGGATGCCAGGCTCCCCCAGCTCCAGCTCCTCCACGGTGCCCTGTGGCTCCCTGTGGTGCACGTGGCTGTCCCCATGTCTGGCTGTTCCCAGGAGCTGGAAATGTGCATTTCCCCAGCCTGATTTCCTTTGTGATATTTCCTGCAGTGCCTCTTCAGCGCTGAATGCAGATGTGTCCCACGGGATAAGTGCAGTGAGTTAATGCACAGCAGGAATACACCTGGCCAGCCTGGATTACTTCTTATCCCAATCATCTCCCTCATCTTTTTCTGAAGAGGAAGAATTTTCATTATGTAGATATGAAAACCCCACTGAAAGGGCATTGTTTAATAGATGTGATGTTGAATAATGAGCTCTAAATACTGAATTCAGCTTTCGAGGAGGAGAACAGCCCTAGACAAAGTCGTATATTAACTCCATATTTATAATTTTGCAGAATGCAGATGATAAGATTGCGTATGTGGCTTAGGAGATAAAATACCAAATCATTTTTTTTTTGCATTTAAGAAAACTGGATTTTTTTTTTTTTTTTTGGACAAAAGAACAAAAATCTCTCTTCCAACTTTCACTTCTTGCACTTTTTAGATGAGGAAATTTTTCATTCTTCTCCAAGATTGATTGTGGCACAATCTGCTGCATACATTGTGCTCTCTGTGCATATGCAATGTCCTTTGATCAGGCTGGTCAGACAGGAAAGGCTCGCAGCTCACAGCTTCCCTCCTACATTCAGGATTATTATTATGCAAGAAAATCATAGTTCTTAATTAAATATCTTCCATTAACTCAGTTCTTCAGATGTACAGCCTTTTAGAGCATCTTTGATAGAAAACATTGATTGTGACACTTCAATGGGCATTTATCTGCTCTCATCTAGAAGTTTCCTAAGGACATTCTTCTGTCCTCTGTATCAAGTCTCAGAGAAATATTCCCAATGTCTCACAGAAATGCTACTTGAGAAGGTTTTACCTTTTTTTTTCCCCTTTTCTTTTCTAACCTGCTGGCTAATGATCTGATGCTTATCTGAAATATGGCACAGATTGTGATCGCATCAAATATTTAAGGACGCACTTTGTCGGTTTGATTGCAGAGTGGAAATTGAGTTTTTCTGGATGCTCTAAGCCTCTGTCTTTCCCTCTCAATCCTCCCTGACACAAAGCCTGCTGTCAGCTGAGCATTTGGAGTGTAAAAGCCTCTTCACCCTCTAAATGGGAGGAAAGGGAAGTAATGGCTGCATCCTGCCCTTGGGTCACACCAACCCCAGGCTGGGGCAGAGGGGCTGGAAAACTGGGAAAGGCCCTGGGGGTGCTGGAGACAGAGGCTGTACATGAACCCAGGTGTGCCCAGGTGGGAAAGGGGCCAGTGGCACCTGGGCTGTGGCAGCAGGGCCAGGGCAGTGCCCGTCCCCTGTGCTGGCACTGCTGGGGCACCTCCAGTGCTGGGCACAGCTCTGGGACAGGAAGGACATTGGGGGGCTGGAGCGTGTCCAGGGCAGGGAACAGAGCTGGG